CGTTTCAGGTGGAGGCCAGCCTGTTCCGTGGCGTGCTGCGCACCACGATGACGGTACTGGGCGGTACGCTGGGATACCTCATCATGCTCAACGGCGACCTGGCCAACAACCCGTACTGGGTCTGCGCCTGGGTGGCCGCCTTCAGCTGGCTGGCGGGGCTGCTGGCGCCCGACAAGAGCCTCAGGTGAGGCGGCCGAGGCGGCAGCGGCGGGCTGCGTGGGCAGCTGGCTGCGTGGGCAGCTGGCTGTGCTGGCAGCATCCCTGCCCACCACCACCTCCCTGTCTCTCTGTCGCACAAGTGAATACACACCACCACCACCAACAGTAATACCCACACGCAACGCATCAACTCACCTCACACCCACCCGGCCACGCCCCTGCAGGTATGCCCTCTTCCTGGCCGTCTTCACCTTCAACGCCGTCGTCCTGTGCCAGTACGTTGGCTGCTGCAGCGTGGCAGGGGACCCAAAGGTCTACGCCGGAAAGGTGCGCCTGGGCAGCAGGGCCCCCGCCCGGGCGTGTGTGCCGGGGGGGTGTTGTGATTGTGTGTGCCTGTGCGAGGGTGGAGTGGGGTGGTAGCACGTCGAGACAGAGAGAAAGAGAGTCAGAGTTGGTTTTTGGCAGTGTTTCGTCACCAGTGGCGCATGGGGGGCGGGCACACGGCCCCGCACATGTTGCCTGGCCAGGGGAGCCCCGCGCATTCGCACTTGCTCGACGCTGCCGCCACCCGCCCACCCTGCCCCCACAGGTCGTCAGCACCGTGATTGGCAGCACGGTGGCGCTGCTGCTGGGCTGGCTGGTGCTGCCTTACTACGGCAGCGCTCGCATGCTGGCCGACCAGGCCGGCGTGATGCAGGCGGCGCTGGGCCTGCTGCGCAGGTGAGCGGGGGCCCTGGGCTGAGGGGTGGGCTTTGGCTTGGCCTAGCTGGGTTGGGCAGGCTGGACGTGGTTTTGCCTTGGGGCCCAGTTCTGGGGAGCAGCAGCATGTTCTGAGCACTCGGATCCAAGCCAAGTGATCTCACCCCCTGCCCTGCGCCGCGCAGGATGCATGTGGAGGTGGCGGCGGCGGCCGCGGAGGGCCGCGCCGTGGCCACAGGCGGCTGGCTGGAGACGATTGAGAGCGACATGCAGGTGCGGCAGAGGAGCGGGGACGTGCTGCGGCTTGGCCTGCACCTGGCCGTTTGCCAGCTCGACCGTTTCGGCATGGCAGCAGGCAGCGCAGGAGCGCACGGCATCGGTGTGCACGCATTCATTCAGGGGTCCTTGCTGTGCTGCGCCTCCAGCGGTCCCTGCTGTGCTGCCCCCAGGCCCCCCTGAATGCTGTCGCCGCCGATCTGGAGCTCAACACCCTGGACCATCGCCAGATGCCGCTGACCTGGCACCTTCTGCCCGACCCGCCGGTGCTGCGGCTGGAGCAGCTGGCGCTGCGCGCGCTGCGCGACAGGCTGGCATCCGCCGCGCTGGCGCTGCGCCAGGTGGGGGTGAATCCGCCGATTGTGTGGCCGGCCGCCTCGGTAGCCGCCGCCGCCGCCGCCGCGGCTCTCTGAGTGCCTCCTGCCCTTCCTGCACTCGCTCGCTGGACGCGTGCGCTGTGCGCATGCTGGGCCCGCATGCACACAGCATGCCGCAGCCCTGCCAGCCTGCCCTTGGCGGCCCAGCCCCAGAGGCACCGACACGATGCGCGCCTCCCCCGCGTCCCGTGCTTTCCACCTGTGCAGGATCTGTTCACCCCCGGGGGGCACCGCCTGGCGGGCTGCGAGGGCGAGGTGGTGCCCGGGCCGGTGTTCCGGCATGTGCTGCCGCAGCTGCAGCCACATGTGGAGCACACAATGGCCTCCCTGGACACTCTGGTCGAAGCGTGCACAGGCAAGCTGCAGCGTGCTGGTGCCCTGCCGCGCCTGGGTGCATGTTGGCGGCCTGCTGCCGGCTGGCTGCTCCCTCAAAGGCCTGGCCTTTTGCTGCACTCGCCGCGGCACGGCGGAGCCTGGTACACGGTGTGAAGCCGCCTGCATTGGGCGGCCCTGTGATTACCCGCCTTCGGCCGCGCCCGCGTGCAGCCAACATGACGGCGGGCGCCGCCGGCAGCCGGCTCAAGCCGCAGCGCACGGCGGTGGTGGAGGCGGTGGGCGCCACCCAGGAGGCGCGCTTGCAGCTGCACCGTGCGTACCTGGAGGCCCAGCCCGGCGCGCTGGCGGCCGCCGGCGGCCACTCCCAGGGCGACTTTGCCTGCCAGGCCTGGCTGCACGCCGCGCTGCGAAGCACAGACAAGGTGGGCGGCCACGCGGCGTGGATGTTTGCTTGCCCTGGCTGTGCCTGCCTGCCTTCCTTGTGGGGTGCTTCCCTTCACATGCGAGGCTCCCTTCCACTCGCCTTTCCACCCGCATGGCCGCCCCGTGTGGCGCAGATGATGGTGGCAGCCAGCCTGCTGCTGCAAGACGCCTCCCAGGACAGAGACGTGCTGGGCGGGTGGGTGCGGGCGTGGCGAGGCCGCCGCGCGCTGCCGTCGAGCTGAAGCGCCGGTTGATGTCGCCGCCAGGCGCTGAGATCGGCACCGCCGCACTTGCGGGCTGCGGGGCGTTACACACAGCAACAGTAATATTAACAAACATCTCTCACGACATACCGACGATTCATCTTCCATTGAACGTACACACTGTCCAACCTGCCGTGTAAACCATGCATGGCGAAACGAGGGAAGTTCAACATGTTTCCACCTCCTCATCCCACGCCACATCCTCGCCCGCCGCTGTCGCTATCGCCACCCGTCGGGCCTTAGACGTCGCCTCTCAGTCCTCCTTGACGCCCGTGAGCAGGGGGTAGAAAGGGCGCACAGCCAGCAGGTAGACGAAGAGGCCAGCTGGGCCCAGGTAGAAAGTAGTCACCAGCGGGATGGCCAGGATGCGCTGCAACACGCCCGGGGGGTGGGAGGCCCCGCCCCTCCCTTGCAACAGGCTTGCCGAACCCAAAGCAGCCACCACAAAAAACCCTTGCACGCAGCCCAGCCCAGCGCCAAGGCGCCAAAGCGCAGCCAGCGGGGGCAGCGTTGGCTGACGGGAAAGAAAGGTGCTGCCCCCTGAGGGGATGCCACGGCCACGGGCGTCCAGCAGCTGGGATCGTCCCACCCACAGGTCGAACACCAGGGTGTGCACCCTGCGGGGGCAGCGTTTTGGTGCGGCAGGGCATGCATGGTGGGTGGCTGCTGCTGGCTGTCGGCTAGGCGGCAGCGGGGCAGTCTCGGCCCCGTGACGGCCTGCCTTCGACTCACCACACCGGCAGCACGATGTTTTCCTTTGTGAGCAGGTTGAACACGCCCTGGTACGTCCAGAAGTCGAGCACGATGCCGCCTGCAAGCGCGCGGTTTGTGCACAGACGCAGCGCGAGCGCAAACGAAGTGGCAGCTGGAGAGGCGAGGATGCACAAGCGCCAATTTGCTGCGGCCCCGAACTGTGCTGCACCAAATGCCGAGCTACGCATGCAAGTGTTCCAGGGCCTGGCGCCGGCCCCTCTCACCTTTGCAGATGGCAGTAGCGGTCAGCAGCACCCACAGCGTCAGATAGAATGTGGCGGTGGCTTTGACCAGGGGCAGGGTGTGCTTCCAGCGGGGCGCCACCCACAGCGACACCCAGGCCGGCATGACGAGGTACTGCAGCTGGAAGAGCTGCGCATCCGTGAAGGGCAGGCCGACGATGGGCATCCTTCCTGCGGCAGGTGCACAGGGATTGGGCGGGGTCGGCAGGCGCGCCGGCGGCGGCGGGGCACCCAGCCGCCAGCGATGCAGGGCAGCTGCGCCCCTTGCTCCCTGCGGTGCGGCAGGCTGCGAATGAGCCAGCAGATCCTCTGCGCACAAACGCAGAGCGCAGGAAGCGGCGCACGTTGTTAAGGGTCGTACTGTGGTCGATGCGGGCCCTGGGGCACACGGTGATGCCTCTGCCCGCTGATTTACAGTGGTGAAACGTGCCATGGGCGCAAATCCGCCGCAGAAGCCGCCATGTCGGAGAGTTATGTCAACGTGAGTCAGGGGTCTGCGCCAGGCTGGCGGGCGCCGGCGCCCCTGCAGCTGCCAGCCCGCACTGGACCCTGGCCACCCTGCCCACTGTGCGTGAATAGATCTCAGCTGTTGTTTGTGTGCAGGGGGGTTCTGTTCAAAAACTCCTCGAAACTATAACGCAGACACACAACACGTTGTGTTTAGCACATGCCCTGCTCACCCGCATGGCCGTGCCCCGCCACCAGCTCCGCCTGCACATCGTCCTCCAGCTGGTGCACGTCAAAGTCGAACGCCTCCAGCGCGGCCAGCAGGTCGTCGCTCGAGGCATTGGACTTCGACGTGCACCGGCTGGAGGACGATGTGCTGGCGGAGCTGGTGGCAGGGCACAGCCGCATGGGAAAGCAGGGCATGGGCTATGCACAACATCCCCTCATGACCATCTTGCTTAGCAGAACAAAGCCACCGCCCAGAAGACTCTAGGTGAGCCGCTGCCGCTGCCCGAGCCCCAGCCATCCACCCAGGTCAGTCCTCTTTGCCTGCTGCTCTGCGTTCGGGGAAGAAGGGCCTGATGGCGGCCAGGTAGAGCACGAGTCCCGCGGGACCAAAGAGCAGCGTGACAGCGAGCGGCACCGTCATCAAGATCTGCATGCACCCATGGGCTGTCAAGCGGATGCAGAACCACAGCTGGTGATCAAACGGCAAGGGCGAGGAGACAGCGCACGCGCTCGCCTTGGGGACGCCGCGGCGGCAGCCGTCCAGAGCCTCCCACCGGCCAGCCCACAGGTCGCAGACGACAAAGTGCAGCCAGACGGGCAGCACAATGCTTCTCTGCTTCAGCAGCTGGGCCACGTCCTCAAAAGAGAAGACGTCGGTTAGGCCGCCTGCAAGAGGAAAATGCCAGAACAATGCGTTCATTAGCCGCAGTGCACAAACTGCAGGTTGCGTCAGGGCGGGGCTGCCTACCTTCCATCACTGATGCCACCATGAGCGCCGCATAAAGCGAGCCGTAGAAAAGCGTCATGCCAGTGACGATGGGCAGCGTCAATTTGTGGCGCGGGGCGATCGCCAGCACGGCCCACGCCACAAGTGCGGCGTTTTGCAAGGGAAAGAGCTGCTCATCAGTGAAAGGCAGCCCGGGGATTGGCATGACTCCTGCAGCATCAAACCAGCTCCAGCGTCAATACACTCTGCTCGATGGCAGGGTGGCGACGGCACCGCCAACCAGCTCCTGAACTGGCTCGCGGCGCTGGGCGGCTGTTCGGCTGCTAGAACAGCGGGACCAAGATGCCAGCCAGCGAGGTCCTGGCGAGCAGGTCCCTCACCTTGGCACGGCCAAGATCGGCCACAACCCCTTTAGCCTGTGCTTGCTGCCGGTGGATGCTGCTGAAAGCTCGTGGGGCCGAAATCACCGTGCAGAGGATAGAGCATCTCCGCTCCTCTAGCTCCGATGCCCGCTGACTGGGCGCGGGCGCGCTGAGCGGCGTTCGGCGGAGTTCCTGGCCGCTTTGCTTGTGTGGGCTTAAAGTCTGGTAAAGCAAGAACTAGCTTGCAACATAGACTCCCCGCCGAAACGGGACGGGAACCGGGCGAAAGCAGAGAAAGCAATAAAACAGGGGTGGAGCAAGGCGACATGCTTTCCCCAAGCAGCAATATTGCTAGTGCAAAGGTTGACTACACATGGATCTACTAGAGATCCCGCACAATGCACCAGTTGCTGGCTCAGTGACCGTCCACAAACACTGCAGCTGCCGCCAGGTTGCTGGCCAGGCGTCCCGAGTGATTAGTGGTGTGTGTGGGGGGGTCTGTTCACAAACTCCTCGGCAACTCTAATGCACAACACGACACATGTTGTGTATGCACAGCATCCCTCCGACCATCTTGCTTATCAGAATAAGCCACCATCCAGAAGACTCTAGGTGAGCCAGCGGCAAGCCGCTGCCCAAGCCCCAGCCATCCACCCAGATCAGTCCTGCTTGCTGGCAGCAGGGCGCTCGCGGAAAAATGGCCTGATGGCGGCCAGGTAGAGCAGGAGGCCGGAAGGGCCCAGCATCAGCGTGAAGAAGAGCGGCACCGCCATCAGGATCTGCATGCAGCAAGCAGGAGTGAATCCTAGGGCGCCGAAATGGGTGCATGGCCGGCACGCATCGTCATCAGCGGCGATGAGAAGCGGCCGCCACCGCCTCACCTGGGGGACGCCGCGGCGGCCGGCATCCAGCACCTCCCAGCGGCCAGTCCACAGGTCGAAGACAACATAGTGTATCCAAGCGGGGAGCACCACACGCTGCATGGACAGAAGCTTGGAGACGCCAGCATATGAGAAAAAGTCTGGTGTATCGCCTGCGGGAGGAACTCCAGACGGAGTCAGGGGGCGCGGTTCGTAAGCAAAACCTCACCCAGCTCAAGATTGCACGGCTGGCTTGTGCAGGGGGCCTACCTTTCCCCATAGCGTCCGCCATCAGCCCCACATATAGCGCAGAGAAGAAGAGCGCGGTGGCGGTAACAACACGCATGGTGAAGCGCGCCCGTGGGGCGACCGCCAGCAGCGCCCACGCCACCAGCACGCCGTTTTGCAGCGGGAAGAGCTGCTCGTCGGTGAAAGGCAGCCCTGGGACCGGCATCTTTCCTGCAAAATTCAGTCAAATACAGGCGAACAAGTGAATTTTCACTGGTGGCGGCGGCACGGCGACGGCTGGCACCTGCACTGACCAGCTCGTGAGCTGGGGTTGCCAGTTTCACTGTTGGCGGCTGCTCGGCTTCTGGGAATGTGGACACAGTCAGCGAGGGCCCGCAGTGTGCACCTGGTGCTTGCGATGGGAATCGACCAGACTGCTGCCGGCGTTGGGTGCTCCTGTTGCACGGGAAGGGCGATTTCACGCGATGGTGTGGCGCGAAGGCACGCCCGACATCAGCTTTGTTGGGTTTCCTGGTCGGCTGCCGAGGCTGACGGGGCCCGCCACAGAGCGCAGGCGGATCGAATGTTGCCGACAGACGTGCGAGGGAAGATGTGAAGAAATACCAATCAAATGAATCAGAGCGTATATGCATGGCACAGCCGGTCACGGGTTGACGTTTCGCACCGCCCACTCCGCTGCCGCGCCTTCCGCTGCGGCTGCTTCTCCTGCCGCTGCCGCCGCGGCCGGCTGCAGCAGGTACACGTGGCGCAGGTTTCCATTGAGCTGGATGTGATCCACCTCCTCCACCTCCAGGCACACCAGGCAGAATGTGTCCAGGACAGGGTCCTGCGCCGTGGGCGGATCTGCGTGAAGGCAGGCGGGCGGCCAGCAAACGGAGGGTTGGCGGGTTGGCGATGGCTGCTGCTGGGCCCTGGCGGCCTGGCCTTCAGCGAAGTTCCCTCTGCTAGCAGCAGCAGCAGCAGCAGCAGAGCAGCATGCGGCAGCCCCAGCAGCCCGCGCATCAAACGCACCCGGCCTGAAGATGCTATCATCGCCGCCGCGCGGCTCCCCGGGCTGCGGCCACAGGAACTGCTGCCACCCGGGGTCCGACATGCTCTTCCACGCCGCCAGCCGCCCCTACACACACACAGAGCGCAGCACAGCAGCAGGAAACATGTGGTTGCGTCCAGGGGCCTGGCGTAATAAATGTGCGCCCACAGCGGCTGCCGGCCGCGCCCGCTGCGGGCACGCGCCCCGCATGCTTGCTGCGTGTCCGTTCTCTCCCTCCCGCGGCGCCCGGTGCCCTTCCCGCCCCACCTTCTGCAGCGCCGCGTCCTCGGTGGCGGCGCCCACCACAGTCAGGCGGCCCAGCAGGCGGAACTGCTCCCGCGTGCCTGGAAAGTACCAGGCCACCTCCCCCCACGGGCTGCGCGCAATCTCTTCTATCTTCCGGCTCCTGCAGGCCACGGGGTGAGGAGTTGAGGAGGGCAGGGAGGAGTGCAATGGCGAGGCTCAGGAGGTTGGCTGGCTAGCCCTACAGGGAACAGGGCATCTTGGCGGCGCTTGGCAGCGAGCCCGGCCTCCCCTGCCTGCATGCAGCCCCTGCCCGCGCTGCAGCTCCGCTCCCACCTCGAGTCTGTGACAAAGGTGAGCACTTCGGTGTCGGCCAGGAAGCCGCGGTAGACGACGGTGCGGTTGGCGGGGCGGCCGTCGGGGCGCACCGTCGCCAGCTGCGGGTGGGCATGCGGGCGAGCGGGGCGATGCGCTTGTTTTGCTCTCAAGGGATCCACCTCTGGCCACCGCCGGCGGCCTGCTCGATGCCCAGTAATCGTGCCAGGCCAGTTGAGCATTCACCTGGAGGTAGCGCGAGTCGCGGGAGCCGGCGTTCTGCTTGAGCGCCCGCTGGAGCGGCTCCCTCCAGGGCGCCGCCATTCGGCCTGCCAGCGCGATGGCGGCCTGCTGCATGCAATGCGCCCCAGCAAGGGCAGCTGCCTGGGTGTGTGGTTGACGGTGTTCAAGGGCCGACGGGTTGGAGTTGGTGACGGGTGATGACTGAAGGGCTGTGCGATCGGGCGTTGTGGCCAGAGCCCCCGATCGCCACCGCAATCGGCACATGCACACAGCAGTTCTGTTGGCGTTGTATGCAGGATCCCTGGCCAGGATCGCCACGTGGCGAGGGTTTGGGGACGATTGTGACGGCGGCGCACAGCCGGGAACCCTCTTCCCGCCTTGCATGGCACCTGCACCCACCTGGTAGGCATTTCATACCTTTCCCAGGCTTGCCCAAGCCTCCAGCACAAAACGTGATTGTGCGGGCTGTTGCTCCCAGGCCCCGCTTGCACCATGGGCAGCTCCATGATGCCCTGCAGCACTGCCAGACCCCGTCTGGCGCAGGCCCTGCCCGGTAGCGCGCGCCTGGCAGCTTCTGCCGCGCCCCAGACTGCTCGGCGGCGCACGCTCCTGCGGATAGCGCCCCAGGCTCGCCGCGGCAGCCTCGACGCAAGCCTTGACGACACTACCACAGCAAACGTTGCTGCGCTGGAGCAGCTGTACATGGCGGCCGCCATCCCGCCCGAGCGGCTGCCGATGCTCAGCAGCTCGCAAGACGTGCAGCAGCTGCTGAGCAGCGGCAGCCAGCAGCCCCACCCGCACCACAACGAGGAGCTGTGCGGCAAGATGGTGTGCGTGGAGCACACGATCGATGACGAAACGGGAGAGCCTGTTGCCGACGAGGCGGCCGACCCGCCGCCCAGCCCCAGCCTGCTGGGCCGCCTGTTTGACATGCTGCCCGTCAGCAAGCGCACCCGCGGCATCGTCATGCTCAACTTGCTTGTCCTGCTGGTGGCCACCAACTGGGTGAGTGGACGGCTCCGCACGGCGGCAGCACACACCGGCGGGCAGCGGGATGCGCATCTTGCGGCGTGCGCTGCGCTGGCGGCAGCTGCACATCCGCCCGGCAGCTAGCCTGCCGTCAGCCGGGGGTGGAAGAGGTATCGCCTGCGCGTACTGCCGGACCGCAGCCCCGCCAGGCCCTCGGCGCCGCACTCCTGTGGCCCCTGCGCCCTCACCTGCGCCGCACCTGCCCTGCTGCCCCCGCCCCCTCTCCTCGCCTCGCCGCCGCAGGTGGTGGTGAAAGACGTCGGCGCCAGCTTCGACCCCTTTGGCTTCGCCTTCCTGCGGTTTGCCGTGGCGGCCCTGGCCTTCTCGCCCTTCATGAAGGTGCGCCGCGCTGCCCCAGGCGCCTGCGCTGTTGACGCACCCGCCGCCTCTGCGCCTCAGTTGACCTTCATGCCCGGCCTGCTTCCACGGCCACCGGCTGGCCGGCGTGGCGCTGCGCGGCCCCCGGCTGGCTAGCGGGCGCCTCCCCACCTGCCCGCCCGCTGCCCGCCGCCTGCCCCCGCCATGCTCACCCTCACCCTCTCGCCGCGCCGCCTGCCGCCCCCGCCTCGTCGCCCCGCCTGCAGGCCGCGTCGCAGGACAGGCGCATCATGAGTGCCGGCATCGAGCTGGGCGTGTGGACGGCGGCGGGCTACATCACCCAGTCGGCGGGCCTGCTGACCACCGACGCCTCCCGCGCCTCCTTCCTTTCCACCTTCACCGTGCTGGTGGTGCCCTTCCTGGCGGGCGTCACGGGCAAGGGCGTGTCCCTCGTCACCTGGGCCTCGTGCTTTGCGGCGCTGGTGGGCGTGGGGCTGCTGGAGCAAGGCGGCGCTGCGCCCGGCGTGGGCGACATCTGGAGCTTCTTGTCGGCGGTGGCGTTTGGGGTGCAGGTGTTCCGCACCGAGCACCACGCCCGCCAGCTGGGCAACGGATCCAACCTCAGCCTCATGTCTGTGGGTGAGCGAGCCCCGCCGCCGCCCGCGCAGCTGCCCGCCGCTCCTGCAACCGCCGCCCCGTGTCCAGCCGTGCTGCGCAGCCCTGCGCGGCCGGCGCGCAGCCCTTGCCCCACGCCTGACGCGCGCGTGCCGCCCGCCTGCGCCCCCCCCTCCCCCCCGCTGCGCCGCCCGCAGTGCTGACCACCACCATGCTCTTCTCGGCGGTGGCCGCCGGCATGGCGCACCCCCAGGCGCTGGCCGACATCCTGCACAACCCTGTGCTGGCAGAGGGCCTGTTCAACAAGGACACCTTCCCCTGGCAGCAGGTGGGCGCCGCGCGCCGCTTAGCTTCGCGGCGGCGGCAGGCAGCAGGCAGCAGGCAGCCGGGGCACGGTCCGGCCCTGGGGGCCGCGGTGCCGCGTGCCAGGCCTGGCACTCTGCGGCACCCAGGTTTCGCGCCGGGCCTGCCGCCTCTGCCCTGCGGCACCACGTGCCGACGTGCCGCCTCCCTCCTGCCTGCTCCCCGTACCGCCGTACCGCAGGTGCTGTACTGCGGCCTGCTCACCACCGACCTGGCGCTGATGATGGAGGTGTTTGCGCTGCAAGACGTGTCCAGCGTGGATGCCGCCATCATCTATACCCTTGAGCCCGTGCTGGGCGCCGCCTTTGCCTGGGTGCTGCTGGGCGAGCGCATCGGGTCCACGGGCATGGTGGGCGCCGTCATCATCCTCGCCTCCTCCCTTTTCTCCCAAGTCATGGGCGGCGGCGGCGAGGCGGCGGCGGAGGAGCCGGCCGCGCTGCCCGCCGCGAGCAAGGACGAGTGAGGCGGCGCGCCGCGGCACGCGCCGCCCCGTCCATTCTTTGTTGCGAGCGAAGCGAGCGGGCCCCGGACGCCGGCCGGCCAGGCTGCGGCGCCGGGCCCTCGACGTGCCCCCCCACGCAATATAGAGACTGATGAGAGAGCGCGGCCGAGCCCCCGGCCTCCCCTTTTTTGTGTGTGCACTACCCCCCGTCCCCTCTTCTCCACCCGGCTGCCGCGTGCCAGCTGGTGTTTGCAGCGGGACCACGCTCCTTGCTGTGTGTGCGAGGGCAGCTGAATGCTGCCCCAAGTGAGCGCCTGTAGCCCGAAGGGAGCCCCTGCAGTTACTGTGCCGCCTGTGTGCGGCACGTACCTACCCCGCCCTCCCGCTTGATGCAATTCAACCAACGAATTGTTTGCCAGAGCACCGTAATTTTGTTCCACCCCTAACCTTTCTGAACCTGATCTTGATTTCTCATCCAATGAACGATGCCCCTCTTTGGCCTCCCTCCCATGCTCCGTTTCCCCCGCCCCCTGTTCTTCGCTCGAGAGTGTGGCCCCTTGTTGCCCCCACCCCCGCTGCTCACCCTCCTGCATGCATACACACGCGCGGAGTGCTCAAGCCTACGTATGAAACCCATGCATGCACTCTTTTTCGACCTGCGTGCCACCTGCTACTTTGAGGCCTGAGCGCGTGTTGCCCCTCTCCCTCGGTGTTACTCCTGATCCAGTGCCAGCTGCCTCCCTCCTTCTGAGTGCCTTTGCATGCTACATACCCATTCCAATTTTGAAGCCTGCTCATTACGTTGGACATGTAATGCAAAGAGATTGAAGAGGCGCTGATGGCCGGTGCAGCATGCAGCGCGATGGGCGGGTTGGGGCGGCCGCCACAACAGCAGCGCTCCTCCTGTCAGCTCTCTCATCATCAATGGCACTCCGCCGCCCCTGCAGCCTCCACACATCGATGGTCTCTGCCGCACGGCTATACCTTGTGTGAGGCACCTCTGAGCTCCTTCTGATCAAACCGGGAGGCCTGGCGGCCCTGCCTGCAGGGCAGCCACGATGGAGATGATTGTGAGTTGCGATCACGGTTGTCTGGGGGGTGCCGCGAGGCCTGTGGCAGCCCGAGCACCGAGCGCTTCGCCCTGCCTGCAGAATGCCGAGATTTTCACGCTCACCTACGGCAGCATGGTGCGGCAACTCATAGCAGACCACGAGGATGTGGAGGAAGTGAACGCGCAGCTAGACAAGATGTGAGCGGCGGCCGCCGCCGCCGCCGCACGCCGCTCTTTGCTAGCAGCACCATGCATGCTCCCTGCCGCCCGATGGCTCAGCCAGGCGGGCGCTAGCGGCTCCAGCAGTAGCCGGCGCTTGCCGCCCCGCTGCATGCTGCCGCTCGCGTGGCCTCCCGCCCCTGCCACCCCTACCTGCCCTACGCCCCTGCCACCCTCTCCCGTCCTCCGCCCTGCCGTGCAGGGGCTTCAGCATAGGGCAGCGCCTGATAGACGAGTACCTGGCCAAGAGCAAGACGCAGCGGTGCTCCGACTTCCGGGAAACGGCAGACAGGATCGCAAAGGTGGGGTTCAAGATGTTCCTCAACACCACCGCCACCGTGGCAAACTGGAACGCCGAGGGCACCGAGTGCAGCCTGGTGAGCGCGCGCGGCCCGCGCCGCCGGCAGCCCCGCGCATGCTGCACCGCCGTGCGGATCACCCGCTGAGGGCGTCGCGGGCACCAAATGCCGGCAACCTCCACAGCTGCCAGCATGTGCATGCGTCCATCCCACCTGTCCTTCATCTGGCCTGCTGCTGCCACCTTGCCACCTGCCACCTTGCCACCTGCCGCCCGCCAGATCCTGGAGGACAACCCGCTGACCGACTTTGTGGAGCTGCCCGAGCAGCTGGGGGCGCTCAAGTACTCCAACCTGCTGTGCGGCGTCATCCGCGGCGCGCTGGAGATGGTGGGCCGCCGGCGGGCTGCGCTGGGATGGGCCGGGCCGGGCTGGCGTGGGTGGCATGGGATGGCTCGCTGTGGTGTGCGGCCGGGGCTGGCAGCAGCTGGCACATCGGCGCGGCGCGCATGCTGAGCTGGAGCTTGTTTTGCATTTCGCAGCCCGCGGCGGCTCCCCCCCGGCTATCTTCTCGTCCCCCGCTCCACCAACCCTGTCTTCCTTCCTCCCCTGCTCGCCGCCCGTGCGCCGCCGCAGGTCAACATGGACGTGGAGTGCGCCTTTGTGCGTGACGTGCTGCGGGGCGACGACGTGTACGAGATACGGCTCAAGCTGCTGAGCAGCAGCACAGAGGCCTACCCTTTCAAGGACGACGACTGACACCTGGGCTTGCTGGGCAGGCGTGCTCACCTGCCGCACATGACTGAAAACTTACATACATACCGAATACAGCCTAGTACAGGGCTGTGCGCAGTGCCGGCATATTTATGGAACAGGGCAGGGCCCTCATGGGCAGAGGAAACCAAGGATAGCGTACAGAGGGCCAGGCAGCAGGGGGGGCGGAAAACAGTGGCGCTCGAGCTAGGGGTGTCGTCCTAAGTGGTGGGAACAGGGAAAAAAACTGGGTAGTATGTGTGCGGAACAGGGGAAAACATTGGGTAGTACGTGTGCGGAACAGGGAAAAACATGGGTAGTATGTGCACATGCCGGCAAGTGCCATTTGCATCACGCAAGCAGGCAGGAGGCAGGCAGAGGGAATGCATTCATTCGCGCTGCGCAAACAGGCGCTGCTAGGTGCAGCAGCGACCAGGGCAGGCGGGCAGCGACCAGGGCAGGCAGGCAGCCGAGCGCCCCTGGCTGCCCTGGTTGACATGAGGGCTCAGCCCGGCAGCGCGGGGCCGGTGCGTCCCACCGCATAGCTGACGACGTCGCTGATGGCGGGCAGGAGCATGGCGGGGCGGCGCAGCACCAGCAGCGCCGCATCCATCTTGCTCACGCCCAGCTGCCTGTCCAGCTGCCTGAGGCGGCGCCGCGCCAGCCGCACATCCAGCTCCCCCAGGGCCGGGCAGCGGGACAGCACAGACCGCGCCTGCGCCTCGCTCATGCACAGCTGCAGCATCAGGGGAGTGGGGGAGGTGGCAGGGGCGGGGTTAGCATGTCACCAGCTGGGCATGAGAAGAGAGCAGCACGCGAACCAGGCTGGAAGAATGGACGCAGCGCGTGGCGACCCCCACCCCACCCCCCACCCCACCTCGGCCTGCAGCCAGCGGCGCATGCACTCCTGCCGCTGGAATGCCGCCATCCAGGGGTACAGCGTGACTTGCGCCTGGCCGCGGGGAACCTGCGGCACAGCCCGCAGCATCCGGGGCGCAGCTGTTGGCGCCTCGGCTGGGTGTTGAGCAGCTGAGCAGACCTGCCGACACATGTTTGATTGTGTCTGTCTCAACAGATGCATGCAGCCAGGAAGCCTCACCTTGAGCCAGTCTGTGTGGTTCCAGTTGAGGGGCAGGTCAAAGACAGCCCGCACAACGAGGGTTGTCTGCCGCCGTTGGCGCCGATGGGCGGCAAAGCCGGCGGGAGGCGGCAGGCTGGTGCCGCGCCGACGGGAGAGCAGCCTCCCGCTCGCATCACCTGCCCGGAATGCTGAGCAGCGCTGAAGAGCCAGGGGCTGAGCCGGAGGCGGCATGGGCCGATCGCTTGGTGCAGCCTGCGGGGGAGTTGCGATCAAGCAGCAGACCGCCAGCGTCGTGCCGGTGCAGAACAAATGCGGGGTGAAGACGGGAGCGCGACAAACCTGTGAAAGCGCCTCAGGGCGGCGCGCCAACCAGTGACCGGGCCCTACCACGGCGCGATCCAGTCAACTATGCTTGCGTAGTCCAGCCAACTATGCTTGCATGCAAGCTAGGCTGCCAGCACGCCAATGTGATGGCGAGCGCGGCGCAGGCGCCGTCGCACGCCGACTTTGCCAGCCTGCCTGCTGCAGGCTGCCTGCTTCACCTAAACTTTCCACTACCTGTCGCAGTGTCCTGATCCGTCTGATCAACCAAGGGCAACTAATTGTGGACATAAGCATGCCAACCAAAGCACGCTCCTGCCAGCCCGGCTGCAGCACTGGGGCCCACTTGGCAAGTGCACATGAATTACTTTATGAATTACACCTAAAACAAATGCAGCCAAATCAATCAAGGGTTTGTAGCCAATTCCAAGCGTCGCTGCAAAACTCAGTGTTGGGATCAATGATCAGGTCGGGGCGGCGTCGCTGCGCCTCCAAAACATGCGCCACGTCATCATATGAAGGAATGCTACTGTAAGAATGGCCTGTTGAACATAGATGCAGCCTCTTCAGCTGAGGCTGCTGGGCCGCCCATCGCACAATGGTGACCAGCTGCTGTGTGTCAGCATACGTTACGCCCAAGCGCTCCAGCTGCTGCGCGGCACCCAAGGCTTCCAGGCTGCCCACAACCAGCTCGCTGGGCGCAACAAGGCGCTGCAAATTGGCCAGCCAGGGGCCAGCATGCAGGGACACGTCATCGCCGGCTCTACAGCAGCACAGGCTGTGCAGCTGGTTGAGGGCGGTCAGCGTCAGCGCGGTGTCGGCCGTGATATCTAGCGCCAGCCTAGTGAGCTGGGTAAGGTGCCGCAGCTGCCGCGGTAATTCTTCGATGTCCTCTTCATCAACATACGTATCGTGGCATACTGACAGTGATTTCAGCTGGGTGAGGCGGGACAGGCAGTCGGGCACGGACCAGCGGACGGGCACCAACTCCAGATGCTGCAGGCATGTGAGCCTCGCCAGGGGTGCATAACCCTCAGCAATGTGCCCTGGGCTGCACAAGGTGAGGTGGCGCAGTCTGACAAGCTCTCCAATCTGCAAGCAGTGCAGGAAAACGCCCCGGATCAGCTTGCAACACGGCCAGTGTTTGCATAGGCATCGACCAAAGTGGCGCACATGTTCCAACAGGTCTGTAAACTGACAGCCGCCCATGCGCACCTGATCGGGCATGAAGTCAAAATCCTGCTTATAACCAAGGCACAAGCGAGTGAGAGACACCGGGAGGCGGGCCTCGGGTGTGAACCTGATGCCAAACTCGCGCTCTTCCGGCTCCAGCTCCAGCGACTCCAGCGCCGACAGAGAGCGAAGGGAGCCGGAGATCGACATGTGGCCACCGCTGTGGATGCGGATGTGGCGCAGGCTGGCCAGCGCCAGCCACGGGCCAAGCGGGAGCCTCCTAATGCTGAGGCCGGTCAGGTGAAGCTCGGTCATGCTGTTGCACGCTGTCAGGGAAGCGGCCAGCAAGACCAGCGCCTCTGGCTCCTCATGTGTGTGAATAGCGTCCGGGCCTCCCAGCTCCAGATGTAGCCGCCGAATGTGCCGCCCTGCGCGCCGCGTGAGCCACTCGCACAGCGACCGAAGGCGCGGCAGGTAGTTGACGTCGTCGAGACCGTCGTTTTGGAGCGACACCTCTACCAGCCTTGGCTCAGGCTGCCCATTGGATATGGTGCTCTCAAGGTGGAACCCCAGCAGCTGCGGGCTATGCAGCAGCTGGAGAAAGGCCTGGCAGACGAGGGGCAGCGAGCGGTGCCTGCACCGGGGCGGAGCGGGGCAGGGGGGGAACAGCGGTCAAGCAAGGTCGCTCTGCCGCACTGCCGCACTGCATGCGCTTGGTGGTGTCAGATGTCAGAGCCACGAGGGGAGAGCCTACCTCTCCAGCAGCGAAAGCTGGTCGAAGACCAAAAGCAGCACCTCGCCGGGCAGCGTGTCCAGGGAGCCCATGCTGCTGATTGGGGTTGACGGTGTGTGAATGGAAGCGAGGAGAGCGGCAAGGAGTGGGTCAAAGTTGACCGACGTCGGTTCAGCTTTGAAGCTCGTATTTAGCATGCGACAGAGCGATGGGAGAGAGCGGGCAGCAGAGATCTCCACAGCTGGGGCGGCTGGATCATTATGAGTCGCCGCCACACGCCAGCTGGGCCGCCAAGTGGACGCCCGCCATGGGATGCACCAGTTCCTGGGCGACTCCAACATGAATGGAGTGGTCTCAGAACAAGTGGTGCTTACACGAGATATCTACATTGGCTACTGCCAGGCCGGATTGCATTTCAAGGTAAGGCTCAGCCGTCGTGCGGCGCAGCCCGCAGCAGCCTGCACGCCGCGCGGTGCTGCGGCCACTCCTGCCGGCTGCACGCCTCGCTGCAGAAACGCACCGTGCGGCAGCCGCTGCAGAGGCGCCCCCTGGGGGCTGCCGCCTCGCTGGCGCCCGCCAGCCTGCTGCACCGCGGGTTGGCGCACTTGAGCAGTGCCAGCGCCCGCGCCCGCCGCACCGCCAGCTGCTCTCCCTCGGGGCCGAGGGGCTGCCTTCGTGGTGGGGCGCCGTCGCCTGCAGCTGACTGCTCCTCCTGCTGCTCCCCAACCAGCGAGGCAAACAGCTGCAGAGCCTGCCTGTGGCGCTGCCCATCTTCTGAAGCCAGCCCCTCCACACACAGCCGCACATCACCCTGCTGCGCAGGCTCCACTTGCAGGTGGGGTGCCAGCAGGCCCAGCAGGCCCAGCAGGTGCGGCTCCAAAGCTTTGGCCTGCATGCAGGAGGGGGAGACAGCCACATTGCTGTTGAAAGCCGCAGCAGGGCTCCGATCCCAGGCCACCAGCTGTCCAACCGCAGCAGCACCACCACATCACGAAGGAGGCATACGCCCGCCCTGCAGCCCGCAGCCCACCTGCGACGCCTGCCTGGCGGCATCAGCCAGCGCCGCGGCTGCCGTGCACAGCGTGCGCATCAGCGCCCCTTGAGCCGCCAGCCGCGGCAGCACACCCGGCTCCAGCTCCACCAGCAGCTCCAGCAAGTACAGCGGGGCCTCCCAAGGAGCAGAGCCGGAGAAGTCGCCGGCAGTCGCACACAAGAACTGCGGGGGGTGCGGCATGTGCAAGAAAGGCATGGCCGGTGCAGCAGGGGGTGACACGATGCGCGGCGGGCAGAGACAGCCAGCAGCCACCCACCTGCAGCGCGCGGCAGGCCACCTCTGCCAGCAGGCTGAGCGTGTCCATGCCGGCGGCCGCCACGCTGGCAGTGCCCAGCAGCAGGCGCCAGAGCGGGGCCAGCGCCACCTCCGTGCTGCTCAGCATGTGGCACAGCAGCATACACCGCCGGCAGTCCAGCTCGCCCTGCCTCCTATCTAGGGACACTGGCAGCTCTGCCAGGGCACTGAGGTACAGCAGCAGGCAGCACTCCAGCCGCCTGCGAGGGAGCCAACGGCGCGAGCTCCGCAGTCGATCACTTGAGGGGGTCATGGCCCGATCAGCAGGCTCGCCACAGCACTAGAATGCGCTGCCGTTGTGTTGACATCACAAGGAGATGCACACCTGGCAAACGGGCCTTGCTCGTTGGGTGGCAGCTCCCGTAGCAGGCCGCTGATGTAAGCGTAAGTCTGCATCGTACATTCACATAGGCAGCGGCCTATGGTCGCAGCTGATTTCTCAAACACGATTGGCTCGTTCATGCCTGCCTCTGCTGGGGCCGAGCCGCCTGCACCGCCGCCAGCTGCTGGCGCGCCTGCCGCCGCACCGCTAACGCCACGGCCGCCCCTCTCGCTGCTGCCAGCTGCCTCCGTGCTGCAGGGATGCAGGTGGGGTGCCATTGCGTGGGTGTGCCGGCAGGCAGTCACATGGGCTTGGAAGATGGCGAGGGCCGTCTCTGGCGAAATCTCTGCCCCGGGGAGGGACAGCAGGGTTGCCACCAGCTTGGGCAAAGTCATCGTAAGCCCCAGAACACCTGCTGCTCCCTGATGGTCGCAGGGCAATCCGGCCCGCAAAAACGCGTGGGCGCCGCCAGCCGCTGCCACCACTGCGCCCAGGCTGCGCCAGCCGCCGCTGCTGCCGGGCGCCGGCTCCTGGCCAGGCTGGCACGGCAGCAGCGGCGCCAGGCGCAGCAACGCCTCGCCGGCGCGGCAGGCTGCAGCATACGTGTCAGAGCTGCATAGCACGCTGGAGAGGTCGTGGTGTGCCAGCGCGACACAGTACTGCATCCAACTGGACAGCGCCGACGTCCAAGGTCGCACCAGTACAGTTCCCCAGCACTGCGCGCCAAAGCTGTTGCTGTCGGCTCTCGCCGCTGTGCTGCCTGCAGCAGCGCTCCCCGACGCCGCCGCCACCTCCCCTGCCAGCTGGCACAGCAGCGGCAGGCCGCCGGGGCCGCCCAGCTGCTGCAGCAGCGCCGCCATGTGCGCTTCAGGCAAGCCCTGCTGCCTCAGCATGGTGTGCCCACGCTGGGCGTGTAGGGTCAGGCAAGGCAGCGCCAGTAGCGCCTGTGTCGCCTGTGTCACGCTGGCCTCGGGGGCCAGCCCCAGGTGCGCGCGTGCTGCCAGTGCTCCCGCCACAAGCAGGAAGCTGACGCCACCGCCCGCTGCCTCGTGCTGCTGTATGCCGGCTGCGAAGCAATCCGTTGCCAACAGCTGAGCCATGCATGCCAGCAGGTTGCGCCGGCGATTATCCTGCATGGCCATCTCCAGCTCGGCCTCTGGCAGCACAAGGCAGCGGGCGCACAACCGCACCACCTGCTGTTGCCCATCGGGCTGCCGCTGCACTGCAGCTCGCAAGCCGGGGCAGACAGCTGTGGCATAGAAGATGTTGCGTAACGACTCAGCTGCCATATTGGGGGCCACATGGGTTCCTGCACGGCAAGCCGACAGAGCAGGACAGGAGTTCCATCCAAGGAAGAGCTACAGGACAGAAAGGAGTCGGCGCTGCCTGCTGCCTGCATGTCAACGCAGTGCTCGCTCACCCTCGGCCACCATCAAAGCCAGGGAGGCTTGCGCGGCGGCATCAGGGGCGGCTGTGCTGCCATCAGGCTGGCCAGCAGCGAAAACGGAGCACAACAGATGTTCAGGTATGTTTTCAGAGTGGCTCGGCTGACGGACATGATGGGGCCAGACGAGGCATCTGCCGCCAGGTGTAGCAGCTTGGGCCGTATCAGCTCCGCCGGCACGGCTGTCACACGAGGTGGGGGCAGGCAGACAAGCAATGCACTTTCAAGCAGCTCAAGAAGCCGTCTGCAATTTGTCCACGGCTGGTGGCGCTGCAAGCTGTGCCACCCACCTGCCGCAGTCAGCAGGCGGACCCAGTCGCCTTCCGCCAACTCCAGCGCTTTCTGCTGGAGCACGGAGAGCGTGGCCGCGAAGGCATCGCAAACCAGCAGCATGCGGATTCCATGCAAACGACCTGCAAACTCCTCTGTGCCTTGCGACCGCCTGAGAGCCAGGGTGACATCCGCCAGGCGCGCGGCCAGCTCGCCAAACGCCCTGAGTTGACGGCGGCGGCAGCGGGGAGCAAGCTCAGCGCTGTCCCGCGGCCCGGGTTCAATCATATAGTGCATCACCTGGTTACTGAGGGCGGCGCAGGGCCAGCAGGCAGCGCAAGGACACATTTTTCGCGGAAACGTTGCGAGGTCTCCAGGTCCACAGCCATCTGATCAACATTTGCCACAGACGTCAGGTTGGCATTGACTGTGCGCAAGAGCACGCCGAACTGCTGCCAGTCCAGGGGCTGGCCAACCTCGCCAGCCACCTCGTACGCCTCCATCTCCTCCAGGTCCGCAGGAGGCAGCACTAAAAGTCAGTGGATGCGTCGCAGATGTGCTGCGATGCTAGTTTCTTTTGCACGGCTGGCGCCACGATGTAATACCGCCGCCACCTGGAAAATTTCCCAGCAATGCACCAACGAGGTGTTCATCCAGACACACCAATCAAGAATGAAGGCCAGGAGACGCAGGCCAGGAGACGCAGGCAGGCGACAGCAAGCACCAGGTACCAACAGGCGAGCCACGTTGGGTTTACAAAGTCAGCGTTCGGAAGGAGGAAAGGCTACAGAAGGAACATCGCGGCGCCAAGGCCCGCATCGTCACCCAATAAACGACACACGGAATGGAACTGCAGCGGCTCAAACACGTGCTGCCATGGCAGGAACGCCGTGTTGCTGCAGGCGCCGAGGCTAACGCCGGAGGCTAATGTCCGCAGGCGGCAGCAGCAGCGCAGGCACCGCACGGAGGCCGCTAGCATGCGCACGTGGAGCCGGCCGAGCCGCCTGCGCCTGCCTTTGCTGCTGAGGATGGCGCCAAGTTGATGTCAACCAAATCCTCCTGCAAGCGGGCAGGCGGGCAGGCAGAGCAGCAGGCGCAATTTCAGCACCGGAAAGCCCACTCTCACAACCAGCACCCGACAGCGCTGTGGCACCACCACGGCCCACAGCGAGGCTGCACCACCAATGCAGCACCGGAAGCACCCACAAACACACACGTACACCCGCACACAGATGCGCCCAGCGCAACACACCCACGCGCACACCTGCTTGGCGCTATTGAGCGCCTCCATGCCCGGCAGCGCGGCGGCGATCTTGCGGAACAGCGCCTTGATGTTGAACCCGGCCTTGGCGGAGGTCTCAATGAACATAACATTCAGCTCGCGAGCCTTGGCGTCGCCCTCCTCTATCGACACCTGCCAGAAGTGAATACAAAACAGCAAGCGGACAGTGAGGGTAGTGGGAGCGGTGCCCATGGACAGATGGGCAGGCGGTGCGACCTGTCGGAGTGATAGGGCAGAAGCAGAACGGGGCGGAGCCGCCTGCGCAAGCAGTAGCCGATGGTGGCGGCGGCGGCGGCTGCGGCAGCGGCAGCACAGACGGACGTGAACCCACGCGCAGCGCGCCCCCGGCACGCACCTGCCGCTTGTCCACCAGGTCTGTCTTGTTGCCCACCAGCACGATGATGACGTCGCTGCCCCGCTCTGCACGCACCTCCTCCACCCACCGCTGGATGTTGAGGAAGGACTGGCGGCCTGCGGCGAGCGTCGCATGGGGAGGGACAGCGGAGCGCAGTCAGCCTCAGACGCTGCATCACTCCTCCCAGAACCACAGCACGACTGTCTGCCTGCCGCGCGACCAAGCACACCCAGAGCAGCCTATTGGGTGCCGCACGCCGGCCAGCACAGCCAGTTTGCCGGGCGGGCCGCCAGGACAGCACAGCTACCGACACAGGCAGCTGCGCCGCTCACTCGTCACGTCATACACCACCACCGCCACCGAGGAGTCGCGGATGTAGCTGGGGATTAAGCTGCGGAAGCGCTCCTGCCCCGCCGTGTCCCTGCAGCACAGCGGCCCACGGCAGAAGGCCCTCATGTTCGCTACTCCATGCACAGCTGGCACCTGGTCACAACGGTCCTCCTCATGGCTGAGCAGCCTTGCCCGCTGCTGGTCAACTGGGCAGGCCTTTTGGGATGCTCCAACAGCAGCCATGAAGCACACAGCACTGCCACAGCCCTCCACCCGCGTCTGTCTTGGGCAGCCGCCTCACCAGAGCTGCAGCCGCACAGTGCGGTCTTCAAGGTACATGGTCTTGGACAGGAAGTCTATGCCGATGGTGGCCTGCAGGTGGGAAACAGCTGGAGGGTGCTCACAGCAGAAAGGAGCAGGCAAAAGGTGCCCCAGCTGCCGTCCACTGTGTGCAACGGTCCCATGAGCAGTTGCCGCACCTGGTATGTCGTGTCAAACTTGTCGTACATGAACCGCGTGATGATGCTGGTCTTGCCAACGCTCTGGTCGCCTGCAGCAAGCAAGCGCCTGCCGTCGGACCAACGCATGCCCGAGCTCTCACCGACAGGCTGCCTTGCGCCGCCGGCCGACAGGCATGACAAGCACTTGCAGCAAGGGGCAGGCAGCATCAATTACCAAGAAACACCAACTTGTACTTGGCCAAGGGCTGCAGACCACAAGGGAGAGGGAGAGCGAGAAAACGGGGAAGTCGGCGGCGGGTCGGGCGCCGGGAGGGGAGCGGCGGCCTGCTCGAGGTGCCCCAACTCTCTCTGACCGCCGCCACCGCGCCCCCCTGCAGCGTTTGCCTCGCTCACCTGCACCTGCGTCGCCGCCATCGTGCCCCGGCTGTCCCCGATCAAGGCTGCCGTGTTTTCTTGGTGATGCTGCAGGCCCCCGCGGCCTTCCGTTAGGTCCTGGAGCTTCTTGGTGAATGGAGGGAGTTCGTCAAGCGGGAAACACGCCGCTGTCAGCGAGCGGGTTGGTTGAAGCTGTTCGAGCGTGGGGCAGTGCCTGGCCCGCTCAGCCAACGCACAGTCGATTTCAAGGGTCGCAGCGATCGGCAGTCGCCAAGGACACGGATGCAGCAGGTCATGCTCAGCACCCGGCCGCCCGCCTCGGCGGCATCGCCTGGCGATCGTCTGCAAATGTGGCAGTGCAAGCACCTGGCGGGCGAGGCGCAAACTGCTCCGGCATGTCGCCTCGCCCTTGGACAGCAGCCCCTGCACCTCACTTTGCTGTGATCAGCCCACTGCCGCCACCTGCTACCAGCTGCCATTCAAGCGGCCAGAGCCCTGTTGCCCAGCGTTGCTGGTGCATCATTCACAGCGCGAGGTTACAACCGCCGCTGAGCGGCGACCATCAGGTCGCGTGGGGAGGTAAGTGCTTTGAGGAGTAGGCGAGTGCATCATGCACACAACAGAAAAGGTCAGAGGGCGGGATTGACGGCAGTGAGGAGCAAGGGAGGGAGCTGAGGGTTTGTCGCTGCAGGCGGATCTGGAGGGTGGGGTTTTCCAGGGTTTTGTTGGGTAGCAGCGGCACAGCCGCGTGCCGCTGGCATTCGTACGTGCAGGCGCCGCCGGGGGCGGATAGTCCGCCGCCGTCGCGCCATGCTGCTGCTGCTGGCTGCTGCTGCTGCCGGGCCGGGCCGGGCGCTGGGCCGGCGCCAGGGCAGGTGCCTCACTTCGTGACGGGCTCGGGAGGCGGGGCGGCGCCGGTGGTGGGCAGGCCAACGTACACCTTGAACGCATCGTAGATGCCTGCGCCAGAGGGCGTGCGGGTGTGGGCAGGCGGGGAGTTTAGGGGAGGCGTGTGCGGAGGCCTGGACACGAGCGAGCGCACCGCAGGCGCTGCTGGGGTGGCAGCTTTTGCACCCCATCAGCCGCTGGCAACAGCGAGTGCTGCCCGGGCTCACCCCACTGCAGGCCGGTCAGGGTGCCGATCATGACGATGCGCAGGGGGAGGCCGCGGGTGAACAGGTTGAACCAGCCCATCTCCTGGATGATGGCGCCTGCGGGGGCAAGGGGCACAGGTGGCACAGGGCATGAGGGTGCGGCAGGCGAGAGGAGACGCGCGCCAGCGCAGGAGCGCCAGCAGGTGCACGCATATGGTGGGGCGGCCAGCGCTGGGCTGCGCGGGCCAGCGGGTGGGCCCCCCAGCCCGCCGCCGCTCCACACACCCGCCCGCGCTCCCAGCCCGCCGCCCCTGCACACCCGCGGCGCCCCCCGCGGCACTCACTGGCGGGCACGCCCTTGGCGGCATTCATCTTGGAGACCAGGTTGTCGGCAGGGTGGGACACGACGGCGCAGAAGATGCCCGCGATGTAGCCCGCGGCAAACGACACGCCCAGCTGCTCCGGCTTGCTGCACTCCGCCTTGGGCTTGGGCACCACATACTTGTACAGCGCCTGCACCACGTTCTCAAAGGCGCCTGCGGGGCGGGGCAGGGAGGAGGGCTGAGAGCGGGAGCGTCGGTGGGGGGTGCCTGCCTGCCTGCCTGCTGCGATGGCTGGCAGCGGGCCACGCTCCGCTGCTGCCGGCCCCGGCTGGAGGGGCCGTCCACGGCTGCCTCCAGCGTCAACCGGCACGCCGCCTGGCCGCTCAAAGCGGGGCTGCCTGCTGCCAGCGAGGCCGCCAGCTCAGCACACACCGAACTTCATCATCGTGTACGGGATCTGACGGCCCCACAGCGGCGTGATGCCCTTGAACAGCCCGCCCACGCCCTCTTGCTGCACAAACTTGGGCAGGCCGTCGGCGAGGCCGCGCGCGTACCCCGGCACCGTCTGCACCTTGACCTGCAGGCGGGGAGGGAGGGAGGGGACGGGCAGGCGGCCAGGCAGGAAGGAGGCGGGCGGGTGAGGGAGCGCGGCATGTGGCCTGCATGCAGCCGCTCGCGGCTCGAGCACCAGATGCCGCGCGCCGAGCGCCTGCCCAGCCTAAAGCCGACCTGGCCCGGCCCCGGCTGCCCTAGCCCAGCTCCCGGCCCAAGCCGCAGCGTCCAGCTGCCCATAGGTGTCCAGGTGCCCATAAGTAAAGCCCCAGGCCCCCATCCCCAGCCCCGCACCTTGACGGCCTCCATGGGGCACAGCGCAATGTCCGCAAAGAACTCGGCGGAGGCGGAGCCGGCCAGGAAGATGAGGTTCTGGTACTTCTTAGCGGCCTCGGGGCCCGCCATGTCAGAGTACGTCCTGCCGGGAGGAAAGGAAAGCGCACCGGGAAGGCGTCAGCATGGCGCATGGCTGCTGCGGCCGGCCCTGCGGAATGCTCTCAGCGCTGGCGCGCTCGCCTCCAACCCCATTGCCCGCATGTACAAACTGCCGCACTGCGCCAGCCGCGCCCGGCTGCCTGGCCCCGCGCATCCCGAGCAGCCCAGCGGATCCGATCTGCAGCCAGCTGACTCCCAGCTCATCCCGGCTCCTCCCCGGTGCCACTCACTTCTTGAAGTACTCGTACAGGCCGAACTGCAGGAAAGAAAGCAACAAAACAACCGCACATGAGGCACATGAGGATGATGGGGCAGGTCCCATGCCCGCCAGCAACGCACTGGCAGCAACATGCGCGCCGCGGGCATGCAGGCGCAGCAGCAGTGCGACGGCAGTGCAGACACAGAGGCAGCGCAACGGCGGCACACGGGCCGAGCGGCGAGGCAGCAAGGGGGCGCGCGCCCGCAGAGGAGGCCCCGCCGCGCACCTTGAAGGCACCCTGCGCCGAGTAGCCAATGGCGGTGGGCACCCAGCCCTTGAACAGGCCCTTGAAGCCCTGCTCCGACGCAATCTTGCGGAAGCCCTGCATGGCAGCGGCGTGCGTGGCAAGCATGCATGCTGGACGGCGCCGAGCTGCCAGGCTGCGCCGTGGGCCACAGCAGGCAGCGCGCCAGCGAGGCGCGCACGTCGGCTGCCTGTTCCGAGCTGCCAGGCCGCGCCGTGGGATTGCGGGCATGCTTCCTCGAGTGGTGCGCATGCTGCTGGCTGCTGCTGGCTACAGAGCCTTGCTCAAATGCCAAACACGTTGGCGCGGCAGCCCCACCTGCGCAATGCCTGTGTAGTTTTTGGGGTCGGTCTGCAGATTGCACTTGACGACATCCAGCGGAGTCACCATGGTGTGGGTCAGGCCGCACGCCACGATGCCTCCCAGGCTGCACGCGATGTAGAAGTCCTGCAGGGGGCGGTGCCAGCGAAGGGAGCCTTCTGGTTGGCAACATTGGCATGTGGGGCGGCGGCGGCGGCGGGCCGGCGGCGGCGGACAGTGTGTCATCTCTACCGCCGTCGGGCCAAACCCATAGCCGCCGCCGCCCTGGGAGCGTTCCATCGGCCACAGTGCGCCGAGCGGAGGGCCCAGCAGGCGCGCAGGCCTCCGATTTAAGCTCCTGGAGCTTGCCCTGCATCAACCCACCTTGCTGTACATGGCGATCTTCTTCTCCGACGCGGCAGGCACCATTGGGGCGTTGCCCATCAAGAAACGCTGCTTCACGCTGCTCTCTGCCACCGAGTAGGCCACCGTTTGCTGGGCCTCCCTGTGCTGGGTAGCCAGCGCCGCCAGGGGCAGGCCGGCGCTGTACAGGGACCCGGGCAGCAGGGGAGCCATGTTTGCAACTGAGCAGAAGGGCATATGCGACCAGGGCTCTTCGGTTGGCATCTGGGTGTGGGAGGACTTTCCAGGGCAATTTCCGCCCCCAAACCAGCTCATTTTGAGCTGCTGCGCCTGAATTGGAATGCCAGACGTGCATAGGAGCTTGGCTGCAGCCCTGAAGGTGGCCCAGCTGGGTGTGTGTCGGGAGTCGGCGTTGACCGGAGCATCGCAAGTCGGTGCGCAGCAGGCAGGCACGCTAGCAGCGGCAGCACCTGGTGCTGCAGACGCCGAGAGTGCAGCCGGGCATCCCCAGCTCCACCATGGCGGACCCGCCGCCACTCCCATCACCGCCGCCACCGCCGCCGCCGGTGCTTCACCTGCGCTTGGAGCTGACTGGCGATGAGGCACGGCCGCTGGCGGTGGTGCTCCAGCTTGCGGCAGACGAGCGGGTGCGGCTGCAGCTGGATATCCAAGACGATGGCAGCGTGGCGGCAACCCTCGAGCCTGCTCGCACTGGTACCGCGGAAATGTCGCCCGCCGGTGTAAAGGCAGAGGAGGCTGGCAGCAGCGCAGACAGCGCAGCCCCAGAGCCGCAGGCGCCGACACTGGAGCAACAGCACGCCGATCTGCTGCATGAGAATGGGCGCCTACAGGGCCGTGTGCGGCAGGTACCTGGGCCCTCTGCCGCCGCTGGCAGCAACCTCGAGTATGTGGCGCTTCCATCCTGCGCCTGCGGCAGCGCATCATGCAGCCTTCTGGTTACAGTGTGACTCACCCTGCAATGCCTTACCCGGAATGAAGAAACTCTCTCCCGCTGCTGCCCGCCCGCAGTACCTGGACGGCATCACCAAGGCCTCCCGCAAGACGCTGCAGCACGCCAGCGGGCAGCTGATGGAGGGCGCAGAGCAGCGCTACCTGCTGGCCCTGCAGCAGCTGCGCCTCCTGCGCGGCGAGCAGGCATCGGCGGCGGTCGCCGCAGAGGCGGCGCTGGCGCCGGAGCGTGCGCGCCTGGCCGCGGCCGCCGCCAAGACGCAGGCGCAGCGCGAGGCGCTGCTGCGCTTCGTGGCAGACGCGGCAGCGGCCTCGGAGCGCGCAGCAGCTGCTGGCCGCATCAAGGCCGCGGTGTCGTCGGCGGCGCTGCAGCGCTTCCTGGCAGCCGAGCCGGCCAAGGGTGCGGAAGTGCGGGCGCTGCGCGCATGCCACGCGCGGCTCAGACGCCAGCTGGAGGCGGCCGAGCGGCGGCTCAAGGCCGCCGACCAGCTGTCGGCGGAGGGTCTGCACCTGGTGGACTACGAGCAGCTGCGCATAGAGAATGCCAGCCTGGCGGCCAAGCGCGAGGCACGGGCGGCAGAGGTGGACAAGCTGCGGGGCAAGCTGGCGCAGGCGGTGCAGGTGGGCTGGCTGCGTGCATGGGGAGCAGGGGGATGGGTGGCTCCACGGACCAGCCCGGCAGAGTTGCAAGGGGGGATGCCCTGTGGCACGCCAGCCCTGGGAATGCGGGTGCTGAAGCACAGCTGCACACGCCGGCTGTTTCATACCGTGCCTGCCCCTGCCCTGCTCCCCGCCGCCAGATAACGGCCCACGTGCGCGAGAAGCTTCACTGTGTGGGGCTGGAACGTGGGGCGCTGGCTGCCAGGCTGGAGGCTGTGGAAGGCGAAGTGCAGCAGGCGCGCGCGCAGGCGACGGCGGCGCGGGCGCGGCGGGAGCGCGCCCAGCGGCGGCGCGGCGACCTGGCACAGGACTGGCGGGTGGTCACCGACCGCCGCTGCCTGGCCGACATGCAGCAGCAGGAGGCGGAGCTGGCGGAGCTGCAGGCGCAGGCCGCGGCGCTGCGGGCGCGGTACGAGGCGCTGGGGAGCGGCGGCGGCGGCCAGTCGGCGGCGGGCGACGGGCGATAGGTGGCACAAGCGGCGGCCTCGTGCAACTTCTCCTCCAACGCTGCCGTTGATTGATGAGTGGATAAGTGACATAGTGACACAGTAATTGGTATAACATAGTAAAGCAGGGGTTGAAATATGTGGGCAGCGAGCAGCGGTCGTGAGGCGTGGGCAGGTAATTGATGAAATGGATGAGTGGTACCAGGCGAGTGAGGGGTGGTGAACTTGTACCAAACACAATCGAAATTCAGGCCAAGGCGCGCAAAACTGGGTATTGTCAGAGAGATGCACCATACGTGTCGGCGGTCGGGGCGCGCTCACCTCTCCCAAATCCACAGCAGGCAGCAGGCGGACCACAGCAGCGTGATGAGTGCCCACCAGCGCAGGATGAGGGTGGCGGCGCGAGCCCATTGGGCGATGCCGCTGCCGTGGCAGGGCGCCCTGAGCAGCCGCAGCCAGCTGTACAGCTGCTCTTCCGCAATCGGCGGCGGCGGTGCCGCTGGGCTGGCATGGGCACCCCCCCCTTCGGTCCCTTCTTGCTGCTGCTGCTGCTGCGGGAGCGCCAGCGGCTGGGGCGGCACCATCAGCAGCAGCATAAGAAGCAGGTCGATGAATATGTAGCAGAAGAGCAGCAGCGCGCGGCAGCGGTGCTCCGGTCCTGCGCCAGGAAGGGGAGCAGGCACGGAGGCGAGGCGGGAGTCGGAGGCGGTGCTACAGCCCCGGCCCGGATGCCGCCTTGGATGCCGCGCCTGCGCTGCGCCACGCATGCATGGCGGGCGCGGTTGGCGGCCTGTCGGCATGGGGGGCAGCACGCAGTGCAGGCAGCTCACGTGACGGGATGAGCAGGTCGATGGCTGGCAAGCTGCTCCCCAGGCCGCTCCCAGCGGCAGCAATTACGGAATGAAGCGTGTCTGCGGATGGGGCGGGGTGGAGGTGCAGATGGAGTTGGAGCGAGCGGCATATGATGCATGGGGCCCAGGACATCCAGCCAGCAAGCAAGGCGGCAGTCCCTCAGGTGCCGTGGAGACTCGGGGAGGTGCCTCCCCAACACGTTTGCAAGCCACCAGGCGCAAGGGTGCAGGCGTGGCGCCGCACCTATGCGGCCCTGCATGACCGGGTGGCGCAGCACGGGGGCCTGGCAGAAGTCTGCGGCAACGACCCGCCGCAGCGCCAGCAGCTGCAGGGCGATGGATGGGTAGAGCGGTGCGCGGGTGCCCAGCGTGGCAAAGCACAGCCAGTCCAGGCGGCAGCCTGCACCGCATGGGCACGGCACACCGTGTGACGGGCCGGCGTGTCTGCCGCCGCTTCCGCAGCACATGGCCAGGGAGCGGGGCTGGGCGTGACCATCAGGCGTGACCTTCAGGCAGTGCTGTGCACCGTGGAGGCAGCAGGCTGTCAGGCCAAGCCGTGTCTCTCACATGTGAACAAGGCAGCTGCATCCAGCAGCCAGCCGATGTAGGGCACAGCCGAAGGCGCCGGCTTCAGGCCATGCAGCGCGTCCAGGGAGGTGAGCACAGGCAAGCAGTATCCCAGCAGGACGAGCAGCAGGCGTACGGTGGTGGAGTGGCGGCGTGCCCCTTGCCACGGCAGATGCCTGCACACGGCACAGGGCGGGGAGGATGGGAGTCGGACAGGGGAGTGTACGGGTGAGGGTGAGCGGTCCTGGATGGAAGGTGGGGCGGCTGAGCAGTGTGTGGCGTTCCGCTGAACGTGCTCTGCACATGTCTGCACGCGCCCAGCAGGCAGCGGCGGGCCCTCACAGTGCCAGCACAAAGGCGAGGTGGCAGAGGGCCTGGGCAGCCATCTGTGCGGTGTCTGCCCAGCCGACCCGCGGCGACATGAGGATGGCGAGGCCCAGCATGATGGTGCCAGACATGGTGTAGGTGTGCCTGCAGGCAGGCGCAGGCAGGGAGGGAGGGAGGCAGCTGCGGGGGCGAGATGCCGGTGGACTCCACCGACTCCGGGAGTTGGCGGCAGCGCCAGCAGCTGGGCGCGGTATGTATGCGAAGAGCAAGGGCACACACCATCGCTGGTGAAGGGCTTGCGGCGCGTCTGGCAGCCCACCTGTCCAGTGCGGGGTTCACATCCCAGCTGGCTGTCAGCGCCGCAAGGCGACGGAGCAGCAGCGGCACTGCCTCGCCGGTGGGGACCGTACTCCGCGCCATGCCCCGCGGCCGCCTACCCGCGGGCTGTGCGCTCGGTTGGGGTGCTGAGATGGCCAGCCCGACCGCAAACCCGGCTGAAGGGCACGCACGTGCTTCGCAGGGCGGACTTCTATTGTGGGCGGCGGCCGGCTCGCGCGCACCCAATGCAGGATCGACGAATGTCATGCTAGAATGCTGGCGAAAGGAACTGGCTTGCATTGGGGCAAAGCCCCTGCAGCCGGTTGGAAGCCGAGGCACTTATCCCGTCTTCCCCTGACGACAGGCCGTCGTGCTTCTTCGTGTAGGGAGCAGGATATGCTGCGCAGCACGGGGGTGCCATGCAGCATGTTGATGCCAGCGCGGCGGGCGCATCGCCGCAGCGGGCTGCAGCGTCACGGAGCGGACAGTCGGCGGGGTCGATCATTCTGCGCCGCGCCCCTTGGCAATTGGAGCACGTCACTTTGTGGGAATATGGGAGGTCGTGAGCTCAGGCACCATCCCCGGCCGATGGCAAACCGCAGGCTGCTGTCTCAAGTCAGTGCGCACGTCGCCTGGCCGGTCTCAGTCGGAAAGGGGAAGCCGACTTCGGCGCACACAATGCCCAGCAGCGGTGGGGTACAGCACGCATGCAGACACACCATATCACAGCCCGTGCACACCAGGCAGATGGTGCGCTGGGCGGCAGGGGTGCAGACGGTGAGGGCAGCGGCCGGCGGGAGGAGCTGCCGCCGCTCCTCATCAGGTAGACTGCGGAGGATACAATACCATCAGCTGCAACCTGATCAGAGGAGCTCCGTGGGGGGCACCTGAACGCCGCTACCTGCCCCGGGCGGCGAGAAACTCATGAGAGTGTGCCGGCAGAGAGGTCAGCAGCTGGTGGCTAGTTTGATGACCCTGAGAAGTGATCCGATGCCCGAGCAGCAATGCGAACCCGCCTGAGAGGTCTCCAGCGCCTCTGTACAGACGTACTTCTCGCATGGAAAAGGCCGCACACCTGTCTGACCCCCGCTATTGAGATCGGGCCCTGCACCGCTCGCCCTGGCCGTTGCCGCGCACAGCAGCCAAAGGGAGGCCGCTGGCCGCACAGACGGCATCCAAAGAGAGTCCAAACACCGCTCCCCCTGCAGCCGCAAACCACACACAGCAGGGCGGTGGCGCAGGGTTGCGTGACGACCAGATGAGCGACAGCGACGACAATGTGCCGCTGGCCCAGCGGAAAGAAATGGCTGCTCCAGCGGCGCCACCAGCGGCCCACGCCGCCCAGAACGGCTCGGTTAAGCCAGCAGCAGCGGCCGCTGCCACCAACGGGGTGGCCAAGCCGGCGGCGCACCTGCATGGGACGCAGGTGGGCGGCAGGCTGGCGCCGTGCTGGGCTGCTGCTGCGGGCTGTTCTGCAGCTCTGTGCACATGTCGGGCTGCTCCGGACGGGGAGAAGAAGCCCTGTGTGGCTGGGAGTCTGGTCTGCCGCTTCGGCCACCAAAGGCACCGCCTTGCATGGTCGCCGGTCCCGAGGTGTGCCCGGGGACTCCCTCTCATGCGCCTCTCCGCTCCTGCTGCCTGCCTGCCCCGCAGGTGGTGAGTGATAGCAGCAGCGACAGCGACAGCGAAGACAACGCGCCGCTGGTGAACCGCGGCGGCAAGACGGCCGCGGCCGCGGGCAGCAGCGTCGCCAGCAGCGCCGGGCGCGGCCAGCCGGCGGCGCCCGCCGCGGCCAAGCCGCCAGCAGCAGGAGGCGTCAAGCCCGCAGCCGCCGGCAGGCCTCCCATCCCCAAGCACCCAGGACTGCTAGACGACGCTGTGGTGCTCGCCGCGGCGCCCAAGCCCAAGCCCAGGCCGCCGCCGCCGACGACGACAACAAATGAAGAAAGCGAGTGGTCGGAGGAGGATGAGCCGCTGGCCAAGCGCCAGCAAAAGATCACGCCAGGTGCCCGCCGCCGCCGCTGCCCCTGCTGCCTGCCGCCCGCTACTTGGCGGGGTGTGGAGGCTACTAGCTAGTCGGCAAAAGGTGGATGCAGCATATGGGCTGGCGGTACAAGGTGCCGCCGCCCCAACCGCCGTTGCCAACCGCCACGTGGCCCGACCGCCACCCCCTGCATCCCCTGCGCTGCCCCTGACTCACGCATGCCGCAGCCTCCGCCAAGCCTGCCAAGAAGCTGCGGGAGGGTGGCGGCGAGAAGAAGGAGGGGAAGCGGCGCAGCACGCGGTCGGACTCAGAGGAGCCGCGGCGCGCCTCCAAGCGCAGCAAGACCGAGGGCGGCGGCGGCAAGGTGAGGGCCGGGCCGGCGGCCGAGGCTGGGGGGGACGGGCAGGCGCTGGGCTGGCCAGCTGGCATGTACCAGCTGGCATGTACGACAGCGCGGCGGGGCTGCTGCGGCGAGGCATGGGCCCGCGCTTGGCGCCGCATGCGATGCAGCAGCCAGCCAGCCGGCCAGCTCGCAGGGCAGTGCCGGCTGCCGCGTTCCCAGCTCCCGCCGCTCCCACGCCACGCTCACCACGCCCGCGCACCCTGCCCCGCGCACCCTTTTTCCCTCCCGCCGCTCCCCCTCCCGCCGCGCCTCACGCCTCCTCGCCTCCCCCATGGCCCGCCGCAGAAAATGTGGGACACGCTGGTGCACTCGGGCGTGCTGTTCCCTCCCGAGTACGTGCCGCACAATGTGAAGATGCTATACGACGGCGTACCCGTGGACCTCACACCGGAGCAGGAGGAGGTGGCAACCTTCTTTGCGGTCATGAAGGAGACGGGTGCGGGCTTTGCTGGGGCCACTGCCTGGGCCGCCGCCTGCCTGCTGCGCCTGCTGCCTGCCTGCTGGGCCCGCTGCCTGGCCTGCTGCGCCCGCTGGACCTGCCTGCTCAAGCTCGCCTGCCATCGGGCTCGCCCGACCCAAAAGCCCGCTGAGCCTGCCGCACGCGGCGGCTGCTGCTGGCACCTGCCCCCCGCTGGCCTCCGCCTGACGTGCCGCTGCCTGCCGTACCGCTGGCTGCCGTACCGCAGACTACATGAAGAAGGACACCTTCCTCAACAACTTCTGGGAGGGCTTCCGGGAGGTGCTGGGCCACGGCCACGTCATCAAGAGCCTGGACAAGTGAGCGGCACCGGGGGCTGGCTGGCGAACTGTCCCATTGTTTGTAGTCCCGTGTGGTTTCCCAGCTTGCCGTGCGCCTCGCCTGCCCGCCCGCCTGCCTGCCGTGTCGCTGTGCATGCACTCAGTTGTTGGGTACCCATGGGCCCCCCGCCTGTCGCCAATGTTGACCGGCGTGCATGCCTGACGGGGCGGCTGGTTGCTTGGTGCCAGGTGCGACTTCCTCCCATTTTACAATTGGCACATGGCTGAGCGGGAGCCCAAGAAGAACCTGAGCAAGGAGGGCGGGGCCTCCCAGGTTTCTTGCTTCCATGGTTTTGGGGGCAAAAAAGCGTGCCAGAGCTCGTTTGTTGCGGTCCTTCCCGGCTCCGGGCGTGTTTTCGGGCTTGGCACCGCCCCATTGGCGGAGCCGGGTTTGCAGACCTCGTCTTTGCCCCCCTGTCTTTTCTTCCTGCAGGAGAAGGAGAAGCTGAAGAAGGAGAAGGACGAGGCGGAGGCCAAGTACAAGTATGCGTTGGTGGATGGGCGGCAGGAGATGGTGAGGAGCAGTCGCTGTGCCCAGCTGCGCTGCTGCAGAGCAGCTGCAAGCGCTGCCCGTGGGTTGCCATCCGCTGCAAGCCCCGCTGGCGACCCGCGCCTGCCTTCTTTCTCCACCCCGGGCTGCCTCCTGCAGGTGGGGAACTTCCGAGTGGAGCCGCCGGGGCTGTTCCGGGGGCGCGGCGAGCACCCCAAGATGGGGAAGATCAAGGTGGGGTGGGCGGTACGGTTGTGTTGTGCCGAGCGTGTGTGGCCGGGTGTGCCTGTGGCGGAGGTGTCCATGTGAGATGCACTGCATGTGTGTTTGATGATCTGGTACTGTACTGCACCGCATTTTTGCTGTACCGCAGAAGCGCATCTATCCGCGTGACATCACCATCAACATTGGCGAGGGGGTGCCCATCCCGGGGCACCCCTTCACCGGTGGGTGGGGTGGTGGCGGTGGTGGTGTGTATGCTTTTGATGCTGTGGCATCACGGTGGTAGAAGTAGAAAGCGGGGCGATGGGGCGGCTTGCAGACGGAGCCTGGGGGGGCTGGCGTAGAGCGCAGCGCACGGCCCGAGGCTTGCCCTGGCGCAGCCCCGGCCCACCTGCCTCCACGTGCCGCCCGCCCGCCTGCCTGCCGTCCCGCTGCTGCGCAGGCCAGCAATGGAAGGAGGTGAAGCACGACAAGAGTGTGACGTGGCTGGCCTTCTGGCGGGACCCGGTGAACACCAAGGAGTACAAGTGAGTGTACCACCTGCTTGTACCGCCTGAGTGTCTTTGTGCTGCTGGCTCCAGGCCGCACTTCAGGCTGCATGATGTGGGGGGAAGGGTGTGCTGCTGGTGCACCTCACGGCTGCCTGCGCCGCGCAGCTTCCTGCAGTGCTCGCTGCCCTAGGCTGAGGTTTGCCCTGGCTGGTCCTGATCAGTGCCCTCCCCTGGTGGCTCCTGGCTGCAGGTATGTCTTCCTGGCGGCCACCTCGACTTGGAAGAGCGAGAGCGACCTGCAAAAGTGAGGGCAAGGGTCGGGCTGGGGCGCAGCCGGGGTGGAGGCTGGCCGGCAGGCCGGGTGGCCCTGCCCTCCCATGCACCAAGTGCCACAGCCGCCTCCATCTGCCTCCACCTCGCGGCCGGCTCCTTCCCGCCGCGCTGCTGGCGCGGTGCTGGCGCTGCTGCCTCGCCCACCTGCCTGCACCTCCCCCCCGTACCGTCCCGCTCGTACCGCTGTCGCAGGTACGAGAAGGCGCGCAAGCTCAAGGACTTCATCGGCGGCATCCGCGACACCTACACCCGCAACTGGGACTCGCGGGACCGCGCCGAGCGGCAGGTGCGGGCGGGGCCGGCGGCGGCTGGCGGGGCGTAGGCTGGTGCTGCGGCGCGGCATGCTCGAGTCGTTTGCTGAGCTGTTTCTGACTTTGACTGGCTGGCTCCTTCTGCCTGCATGGCTGGCTTCTCCCGAGGCCAGGTCCTGAGCCCGCGCCAGTGCGCACGGCACCAACCTGTGCCGCCGTACTGCCTCCTGTACCGCAGATGGCCACCGCCCTGTACTTCATCGACAAGCTGGCGCTGCGTGCGGGGCACGAGAAGGACGAGGACGAGGCGGACACAGTGGGCTGCTGCACGCTCAAGGTGCGCCCATCCTGGCCCGCGCAAGGGACGAGGGCTGCCAGCCGTGGCGCGGCTGGTGGCGGGGCCGGTGCATGTGGCGGCACCTCCTGCCTCCTGCCTCGTCAGCGCTGCCCGGACCGCGACGCTCCTGCTGCGCGCATCCTTCTGTGCGTGCAAACGTGGTGTTGTGTTGGCGGCGCGTTTGCAGGTGGAGAATGTGGAGTGCGCGCCGCCCAACCACATCAAGTTTGACTTCCTGGGCAAGGACTCCATCCGCTACGAGAACACCGTGGATGTGAGCTGGCGGGGGCGGGGGCGCTGCGGAACGGGGCTCTGGGCTTTACGTAGCAGCAGGCCAGATTGCTGTATACCAGGAGTTCAATCCAGGAGTATGTGGGCTGCTGGTCCCTGGGGCCGCCTGCGGTGGGGGCTGCTCGGCGAGCTGCCCCCCTGCCTGCTGGCTGAGCCGTCCACCACCCTGCCTGCCTTTGTTCTTCCTTTCTTTCTTCCTGCAGGTGGAAGATAAGGTGTTCAAGAATGTGGAGCTGTTCAAGCGGGAAAACCAGAGCGGCAAGCGTGAGTGGGCCTGCAGCTTGCCGCGGGGGCCTGCCATGCCAGCCTGCACATCTGCCCATGGCCAGTGCCTTGCCCTGCCCTGCCCCCTCCTCGGCTCACCCGCCTGCCCGCCGACGTCGGCCATGCCTGCCGCACCTGACGCCGCCACGGCCCGCCTGCCCGTGCCCCGCTGCCGCCCTGCAGCCAAGAAGGAGGGTGACCAGCTGTTTGAGTGCTTTGATGCCCAGGACCTCAATGTGCGCCTCAAGGACCTCATGGAGGGGCTGTCGGTCAAGGTGGGTGCCAGTGCTGTGGCGGCGCTGTGGCGGTGCTGTGGCGGCGCTGTGGTGGTGCTGTGGCGGTGCTATGCTTGCTTGGATGAGGCAGGCGTGGGCGAGTGTGAGAGGGCCTGTCGGGCACGGTGGGCATTGGCTGTGGTGGTGCTGGGGTGGGTTTGTGTAGGGAGGCTGAATGCAAGGGGAACTGGGTGGGTAGGCGACGTGCCTCGCCGGCCACCGCTTCGCAGCCGTCTGCCCGCCTGCCACCACCTGTCCCGCCTTCTTGACCGTTGATTGTACCGCGTGTACTGCCCCCATGTGCCGCCCCTCGCAGGTGTTCCGTACCTACAACGCCTCCATCACGCTGGACCGCCTGCTGGCGGAGGGGGAGGAGGCGGCGAGCGCGGAGGCGGAGACTGTGGAGGGGCGGGTGGCTGACTACAACAGGGCGAACAAGGAGGTGGGCTGGCACGCTGTGCGCGCTTTGTGCATGCCAGCGCGGCGCAATGCGCTGAGCCGGCGGCGCGCGCTGCGCTGGCGGCGAGCTGAGCCGGTGGCATGCCGGGCTGAGCTGGCGACATGTGAGGAGCGGTTGCCTCCCCGCTCCCTGCCGCATGTTGAGACATTGTCGTGGCTGTGGGTGCCCACCCGTCGCTGCCCTCTGCTTTCTGCCTGCAACTGCGCCCCACACCTTCTCAGGTGGCCATCCTCTGCAACCATCAGCGGTCGGTGCCCAAGGCGCACGAGAACCAGATGGAGAAGCTGCAGGAGAAGCTGGATGCTGTGAGGCAGGAGGTCAAGGTGGGTACTGCAGCCGGGTACTGCGCTCCCTCTGCTTCCCGCCAGGGGGCAAAGGCATGCCGCGCCTGCTTGCCCTGGCCGCCGTCTCTTACCCTCACTGCCACATCAACAACCACCTCCGCCTCACCCTGCTCTGGTCGCCTCAGGACCTGCAAGCCGACCTGAAGCGGGCCAAGGCGGGGAAGAAAGGGGAGGACGGCAAGGTGCTGCGGGAGGAGGTGGTGGCGGGCAAGCTGGAGAAGAAGCAGGCGCAGCTACTCAAAATGGAGATCACTGCCAAGGTGTGGGGCCCTTGCCTGGGGGGGGGGGCTGGCGAAAACAGGGTGCTGGGGAGCATGGGGGAGGCTGGGCGGCGGCGCTTCCTGGGCGGGACCTGCACATGGGGGCAGCGTGCGCAGCATGGAGACACCCCCCTCGCGCCACACACACACACACACACACACACACACACACACACACACACACACACACACACACACACACACACACTCCACACACACCTGCACACTCCTCACTCCACACACACACACACGCACACTATGCACAGACATGTGCGCCCCCGCATGCGTGCCCCCACTCCCTGCGCAGTCCAAGGAGGACCTCAAGACTGTGGCCCTGGGCACCTCCAAGATCAACTACCTCGACCCGCGTATCACCGTGGCGTGGTGAGGCAGGCGGAGGCGGCGCATCGCTGCCTGCATCACGACCGCACCCCGCCCACTGTCTTTCTTGCGTGCCCGCTGGCAGCCCCTTGCCCTGCGCCCGCCCCGCCCCGGGCCCACGGAAGCACAGGGTCCTCCCGGCCGCTCCCTCTCCTGCCGGCGCTACGGGCTCCTAGGCTGCCCCTGGCAGCTGCTCGGCCCCTCCCCTGCCTCACCCAAAGCACCCGATTGGAGCGAAGCATGCCCCCTGCGGTGCACCAACTGCCTGCAGGTGCAAGCGCAACGAGGTGCCCATTGAGAAGGTGTTCAACAAGAGCCTGCTGTCCAAGTTCCTGTGGGCCATGGATGTAGAGCCAGAGTTCCGCTTCTAGAGCTGTCAGGCGGCGGCAGCAGCTGCGGCGGCGGCCGCCCCTGGCGCAGCTGCACCGCCAGCAGCAGCAGCAGCAGGCGGCCTTGTAGCGTGGGCTGGGCAGCGTCGCATGTGCGGCCCCGGCCCACCCCTGAGCGGAGCGGCCACTGCCGGCCGGCCGGGCTCTTGCCAGCCCGGTGGCAGGTGGCGGCGGCAGTATGGCAGTACAGCACAACTCACACCTGAGCGGCATCCCATCATTGCTGGATATCCCACATTTTCATGAAATCAGCTACTTCTTTTCTTCTGCAACAGCAAGCCCGCGCTTGATTGCACAACCGCGCTCTGCTTGTTCAACAGGCATTACCCTGCGACTCCATGCATACGTCGCTGCAGCGCTTGGCCCGGGGTGTGAACAACTATTTCATGAGCAGAGCGATGCAATTCAGATCTGATGAGCAGAGGTGGGAGGCCTGAAATGTCTGGGACAGCGAGGTGCCGTCGGCCGTTGCCCCTGCTGCGGGTGCTGCGCTGGTCGGCAAACCCTTGGGAGCCTTATGGCATGTGCATGCACCTGCATCGCGCAGTGAGATCATGCAGAGCCTTGCCTGCAGCTTGGGCGGGCGCCCTGGGGCGCTCGCGGGGAGGCAGCGAGCCGGGAGCGGGCTCTGGCGCCCAGTGGGGCTCCGCCGCAGGGCGGCTGGCCGGCTTGCAGTGCTGCCAAGAGCAGCCCAGGATAATGGAAATGGAAGCACCAAGGCTCCTCGGGTCAGCGCGAAAGGAATAGTGGTGCGTCATGAGCAAAGCCCTACAGCGCTGCCTTGTTTCGCCGCTGCCCTGCCAGCGAGGTACCGTGCTCAGCTGGGCCGTGTCGCAGGCACCGGATCCCGCCTGCCGCGACTTGGGTCTGCCACTCTCTCCGCCGCCGCCGCCGCCGCCACCTGTCGCCCAGCCGTGCCGCCGCTCGCCTCCCTGCTGCCGCAGATCTCCCCAGAATCTGCCACGCCCTTCCGCAAGATCATGGCTGCCAACCGCGGCGAGATTGCCGTGCGCATCGCCCGTGCCGGCATCGAACTGGGCCTCACGACGGTGAGACCGTTTTGGCGGCGCGGCCTGCCAGGGTGCAGCGCACAGCAGCAGAAGCAGCGGCGGCTGCAGCTGCAGCGCTCTGCCTCCTGCTCCCAGCCGTGCAACCAGCCCAAAGCTCCTCGCCTTTGCCGCTCTGCTTCCCGTCCCTCAACTGCCGCACCCCCCACGCCTCCTGCCTTGACCCTCACACGCCCCGCCTCCCCTGCCGCTCCGCAGCTGGCCATCTACAGCGCTGCCGACCGGCTGCAGCCCCACCGCTTCAAGGCGGATGAGTCGTACCAGGTGGGGGCTCCCGAGATGACACCTGTGCAGTGCTACCTGGATGTTCAAGGGATCGTGGAGGTGGCCAAGAGGCAGGGAGTGGACGTCGTGCACCCGGGGTGAGCAAGGGGCGCTGCCGGGCGGGCTGGGGTGGGATGCGGCAGTCGGGCTAGGCGGGAGGGCAGGCGGGAGGGCAGACGGGGAGGCACCCAGGCCGTTCCGCGCGCGCTGCCACCGCTGCCACTCGCGGCCAGCAGCAAGGGCGACTGGCGCCGGTGCCGCTGCTGCTGATGGCTGCATACTGCTGCCTTCCACTGCCGCGACTGCTGCTGAGCCTGTGTGGCTGTGCCGCTGCTTGCCCCCTCGCATCAGGTACGGCTTCCTGTCGGAGAATGCGGCCTTTGCACGCGAGTGCCAGAGGCAGGGCATCACGTTTGTGGGGCCGCTGCCAGAAACGATTGAGGCGATGGGCGACAAGACGGTGGCGCGGCGCCTGGCGCAGGTGCGGGGCGGCGCTGGGGAGCAGGGACGGGAGCCTATTGCATAGGATACTTTGCAGGGAACGGGGCCGGTTGCTTGGGTGCCCAGAGAGTGGGGTGGTGGCGTGCATGGCGTGGCGTCGCGGGGTTCCGCCCTGCCCTCACCGGCCTGCCTGGCTTCTGCGGGCCGCAGGAGTGCGGCGTGCCTGTGGTGCCCGGCACGGACGATGCCCTGGCCAGCGCAGAGGAGGCGAAGGTGTTTGCGGCGGCAGCAGGCTACCCGGTGATCCTCAAGGCCCGCAGCGGCGGCGGCGGCCGCGGCATGCGCGTCGTGCGCGCGGGTGCGGCCGGCTGCCGAGCTGCCCCTGCTGCGTGGCGCTGCCGCTGCTGGGAGGACGGCAGAGGGCAGCCTGGCCAGCCGGGCAAGCGGATGCTGAGCAGCACTCTGCCCTGCCCATGGCTCTGCCCTGCCCTGCCCTGTGTCGTCTTCTCACACCTGCCCCTTCCCCTCCACACCTGCACAACCCTACCGTTGCCTCCCTGCCGCAGAGGATGAGATGGAGGACCTCTTTGCCCGCGCCTCGAACGAGGCCAAGGCCGCCTTTGGCGACGGCGGCATGTTCTGCGAAAAGTGAGCCGAGCTGGGCGCCCTCACCACGTGGGCTTGCCCCTAAGCTTCCACCGCAGCGACACAGCGCTCCACGCCTGGCGCCGCCTGATATACGTTCCCCAGCTGTTTAGCCTTTCTCCCAGCCGTTGAATTCGCCTGTGGATCCATGCAGGTATGTTGAGGATCCGCGGCACATCGAGGTGCAGATCCTGGCAGACAACCACGGAGGCGTGGTGCACCTGTACGAGCGGGACTGCTCCGTGCAGCGGCGCCACCAAAAGGTGCGGAGCGGCGGTCGTTGTCGCGCAGTCGGGACGGCAAGGCGTTGGGGTGCGAGGCGGCGCTTGGGGCCAGCAGTGGCACAGCCAGGGGGTGCAACTGCATGCTGGGCTTCTGCCGCTCAGGGCTGGCCACTTGCCTTGCCGGTGCAGGTGGTGGAGATGGCGCCCGCCCCCGGCCTGGCGGCGGAAGTCAAGGAGAAGCTGTACGAGGCGGCGGTGAAGCTGGCCAGGCACATTGGATACCGGTGAGTGCTCAGCAGGGGACCGCCGAGGCATGCAGGCTGGGCCGGGTCGGCTGCCGGTCGCCCACGTGCGGCTTGCTGTGGTGATGCGGTGCTTGTTGCTTGCCCAGCCCCAGGCTCATCCACCCCCCACCTGCTGCCCCCCGGCCTCCCCGCAGCAATGCCGGCACCGTTGAGTTCATGGTGGACAAGCAGGGCGCTTTCTACTTCCTGGAGGTCAACCCGCGGTGAGCCTGGCGTGGGTGGGAGGTGGTCTGGTGCGCACGCGTGTGCATGTGTGGTGGTCTTGTGTGTGTGTGTGTGTGTGTGTGTGTCGGTTTGCGGTTTGCGGTTAAGTTGCTCCTGCCGTCGCCGCTGCTCCCCACACCTGCCCTCCGCGCCTATGCGGCGCCATGCCCCCTTATCTCCCCCTCGTCCTCCCTTTTCTTCGTTCCATCCCTGCTCCTCTCCCTGGTTCCTTTCTTCCCTTCCACCCCTGCTCCCCTCCCTCGTTCCCTCCTTTCTTCCCTGTGTGCAGCATCCAGGTGGAGCACACGGTGACCGAGGAGATCACCGGGGTGGACCTGGTGCAGAGCCAGATCAAGATTGCAGGAGGCGCGACCCTGGCGGAGCTGGGCCTGGGCGACCAGGCCGCGGTGCCGCCCCCCAGCGGGTGAGCCGGGCGCAGGCGGCCCTGCTAGCTCCTGCCGAGACGGCGGCGGCTCTCCGAAACTGAACGGCCGCTGCCCTGCTGCGCCTGCGCACTTCCACTCCACCCCACCCCACCCGCCCACCCCACCCGCCGCACGCCACCCGGCTCCGCCGCCCTGCAGCTTCGCCATCCAGTGCCGCGTCACTTCCGAGGACCCCGAGCGCAACTTCCAGCCTGATTCGGGGCGCATCACGGCGTACCGCTCGCCCGGCGGGCACGGTATCCGCCTGGACGGCGCCATGGCGGCGGGAAACTCGGTATCCCGCCACTACGATTCCCTGGTGAGGCTTGGGGATGGTCGTGTGGGGTTGTAGGGTGGGTTGGGGGAAGCGTGTATGGTGCGAGGCGGGGGCCGGGCTCCGGCGGTGTATGTCCGATCCCTGTGTGGCCCTCCTGCTCCCGCTGCGTCCGCCCTCCCCTGCTGAGCCTCCCCTGCTCGCTGCCCCTGCGCCTACCCATCTCCTGTGCCCCTTCTCTGCCCGTGACCTCCTCCTGCCTCTCCCCTGCCCCTGACCCTCTTCCTGCCTCTCCCCCGCCCCCGATCCCACCCTGCCCCTGCCCTGCCCCCGCAGCTGGTCAAGGTCATCTGCAAGTCGCCCACCTTCATTGGCGCGGTGCAGAAGATGCAGCGCTCGCTGTACGAGTTCTACATCCGAGGCATCAAGGTGGGGCCCGCCTCATTCTTCTTCTTCTGCCGCATGGCACAAGTGTGGCGTGGCAGCGGAAGCAAAGAGGCTTCTCGGTGGCCGCCCGCCGGCGCCAACCTGGCGCCCCCCGGCCTCGCCCTGTGGTCTTGCCCTCTTATGTTGTTGAACCTGCTGGCTCGCCCGCCACCGCCACCTGGCACAGCCCTGTCCCTACACCCGCAACGCGCCCCATTGCGCCCCTCTGCAGACCAACATCGCCTTCCTGGAGAACGTGCTGCGCCACCCCGAGTTCCTGGGCGGCGCCGCCACCACATCCTTCATCGAGCGCAACCCGGAGCTGTTTGAGTTCGACACCTCGGTGGGTGGGGCTGGGGGTGGGGGTGGGGGTGGGCTGATCAGCCCCAAGTTGGGTGGCACGATGTATTGGCCGTCGTGGAGACAGCGCTGGCGTGCATGTGGGGAGAGAGAGAAAGGCTGATTTTTTAGGGTTGGCCGGCACGATGCATGGCCATTGTGGAGGCAGCGTACATGTGGGGAGAGCAAGATTGGCTACAGAACCAGGGCATCGCCACCACCCCTCGAGCCGCGTGGCATGCCTCCGAGTCCCCTCCTCCCTCCTCTCCCTCCTCTCCCTGCAGGGCTCCAGCGAGATTTCCCACCTGCTGGAGTACCTGGCTGAGCAGGTGGTGAACGGGGCGCAGCACCCGGGCGCCGTGGGCCCTCCGCCGGCCAAGGTGGCCCCTGCCCCGCCGCCGCTGCCCCCCGGGGCAGACCCCCACATCGTGCCCGCGGGCTGGCGGGACTACCTGCTGACCCACGGGCCGGAGAAGTGGGCGCAGGCGGTGCGGGAGCACCGCCAGACGCGGGGTGAGCGGGGGTGCCGCTGGCTGGCTGCCGCCGTGCCGGTGTGCTTGCGGTTCTACCCTGGCTTAGGCCCCGGCATCGCATCCCCTTTGTTGCTGCCTCCCCAACCTCCACCACCACTCCACATCCGCCAGCCCTCCTCACCCGGCCCCCCCACACACAATGTCTCACATCTGACCTGTACCTCGCAGGCGTGCTGCTCACCGACACAACCATGCGTGATGCCCACCAGAGCCTGCTGGCCACACGCATGCGGACGGTAGACATGCTGCGTGCGGCCCCCGCCACCGCGCACATCCTGGCGCGGGCGGGCAGCCTGGAGGTGTGGGGCGGGGCTACCTTTGACGTGGCGCTCAGGTTCCTGCACGAGTGCCCCTGGAGGCGCCTGGAGCAGCTGCGGGAGAAGGTGGGCGGCGCGTGTGTGCGAATGGTGGTGTGTTGCTTGTGGTGGTGTGGTGTGTGGTGGCTGTGGAGGGGTGGGGGGTGGTTGGAGCCTGCTCCTTCCCCGGCTGCCTCCCGCTTCGACTGCGCCTCGCCTCCCCAAGCTGGCCACCCAAACCCTCGCACCGCCGCGGCCGCCGTCCCTTTGCCCACCATGCCCCACCACAAACTCGCGCCACCGCCTGCCGCCTCCCCTCCCCCTGCCTGCGCATCCCCGCAGATCCCCAACATCCCTTTCCAGATGCTGCTGCGCGGCGCCAACGCGGTGGGCTACACCAGCTACCCAGACAACGCGGTGCTGGCGTTTGTGCGGGAGGCCAAGCTGGTGGGTTGGCCACCGGGGCGTGTGCGTGCATGCATGCGTGTGTGTCTGTGTCTGTGTGTGTATTGTGCTGGCAGCCGGGCCCTGGCAGCAGCACCCTGCCGGCTGCTGCCTCTGATGCACGCACAGCACGTGCTTGGGGCGATGGCTCCTCAAGCCTTGCCCGAACCCCATCTCTCCTCCTCCCTCCCTCGACCCTGGCTCCCACCACCCGGGCCACCTTGCAGGCGGGGGTGGACATCTTCCGCGTCTTCGACTCCCTCAACGACATAGACCAGCTCAAGTTTGGCATAGGTGCGCCGTGGGAGGCTGCAGGCGCGGGCCTGGGACCTGGCACTGTGGGGGGCGCCGCCCACCCAGAGGGTCTTGTGCGCCGTCCGGTGTTCGACCGCTGGCTGGCTGCCGCCGTGCCTAATTGTACTGCACCGTACCATACCGTTCCAAGCCTCACGTGGCTCCAGCGTGCCTGTGCAGACTCGGTGCGTGCGGCGGGGGGCGTGGTGGAGGGCACGCTGTGCTACACGGGCGATGTGAGCAACCCGCGGGCATCCAAGTACACTCTGGAATACTACATGGGACTGGCAGGTACCGTACTGCAGGTACTGCTGTAGGTGCCACTTCTGGCACTGCTGCCGTTGCGCCGCGCATTGCCGTGCCTGCTTCATCCCTTTGCTGCTGATCTGCCTGGCACTTCCCCATGACACTGCCTATTTATGGTACCGCAGAGAAAATGGTGGACCACGGTATCCACGTGCTGGCCATCAAGGACATGGCGGGCCTGCTGAAGCCGCGCGCCGCTACCATGCTCATCGGCGCCCTGCGCCAGAGGTGCGGCTGGCGGCGGCCCTCTGGGCGCGTCTCGTTCTGGCCTGGCAGGAACTCGGGTGTTGTCCAAGGCTCGCAGCCCCAGCAGCTGCAACACCTCGCCTGCGAAGCTGCCAAAGCAGGCCAGCGGCTGGCTGGCTGGCTGGCAGGCGACACGCCAGGCCGGCATGTCGGTGACTTTGCCGTCATCGTTGCTGCCCCTGCCCCTGCCCCCGCTCCATCCCCGCAGGTTCCCTGACCTCCCCATCCACGTGCACACCCACGACACCGCCGGCACTGCCGTGGCCACCCAGCTGGCGGCGGCGGCCGCGGGCGCAGACATCATCGACTGCTGCATCGACTCGGTCAGCGGCACCACCAGCCAGCCGTCCATGGGGGCGATCGTGCACTCGCTGGCGGGTGGGTGGGCTGGGTGTCGGGCTGGGGTCGGGCGTGCAAGCAGGGGGAGGCGTGCCGAACACGTCGACCCCGCCTTGTCTTGCCTCGCTGGTGTGCCCCTCCTGCATTGCATCACACCGGCCCAATCTCCCATACGCCCAGATGCTCTCCAACACATACACCCACCAAGAACGCTGGCGCGTCCACACACACATACCACACCGCCACTCTGCCCTGCAGGCTCAGACCTGGACACAGGCATCGACCCCGACTCGCTGCTGCCGTTGATCGACTATTGGGACCAGACGCGCCTGCTCTACGCGCCCTTCGAATCCAACCTGCGCAGGTGGGTGGGAGGCACGGCGGGGGTTAATGGAATGCGCAGGCATTGGGCACGGCGCAGTGCGGGGCTGCCTTGTTGCGCCCCGCACGGGCCTGGGCTCACAGGCTGGGACAGGCGGTGCTGCCGGCCAGCCGCCGCGCCCGGCATTGGCCGCCTGGCATCATGTGCCCACTGTACCGCCCGTGCCGCAGTTCCTCCTCCGATGTGTACCGCCACGAGATGCCTGGCGGGCAGTACACCAACCTCAAGTTCCAGGCAGCTTCCCTGGGCCTCGCCTCTGAGTGGGGCCGCGTCAAGCACGCCTACGCCGCCGCCAACCGCGCCCTGGGCGACATCGTCAAGGTGCGCTTATAAGCTAATTAGCGGTGAATTCCAGAGGAGGGGGCGATGTGTGGTGCGTAGGGGCCGACGCGCGGGGATGGATGGCTGACGGCGTGGGCAGCAGGTGGCGCACTGATGGGCAGCTCGCCGACGGGCGCGCAGCAGGCAACCGACCACCGTGCCAACCCGCCCTGCCCTGCCCTGCCCTGCCCTGTGCCGCTCCCCGCAGGTCACCCCCAGCTCCAAGGTTGTCGGCGACCTGGCCCAGTTCATGGTTTCCAACAGCCTGGATGAGCACAGCCTGGTGGCGCAGGCAGACGCGCTGTCCCTGCCATCCAGGTGGGGATGCAGGTGGTGCGGGCGCAGGGGCGCAGGGGTGGCGCCATCTCTGCCCCGGCTTGGGGCTGGGGCTTGCTGCCGGTGCCGAGTTGGTTGGCGGCTGGGAGACAGGGTCCCTGAGCGGCGGCTGGGCTGCATTGGGGCGTGCCTCATGCCCGCCGCGCCCCCGCATATGGCACGCTCCACCCCGCATCCACCACCCCCGAACCGCGACACCCAAACTCCTCCCCGCTCACCCACCCACGTCTGCCCCCCCCTTCAGCGTTGTGGAGTACCTGCAGGGCTACCTGGGCCAGCCCGTGGGCGGCTTCCCCGAGCCGCTGCGGTCGCGCGTGCTCAAGGACAAGCCGCGGGTGCAGGGGCGGCCGGGCGCCTCCATGCCTCCCATGGATCTCAAGGCCTTGGAGCAGGAGGTGCGCAGAGAGCGTGTGTGACTCCCTGTGTTACTCCCGGGCAGACTCCCTGCAGGCAGCGTGTGTGGGGTGGTGGTGGTGGCGGTGGTGGTTATGGTGGTGGTGGTTTGTGGGGGGCAGGGGGCAGGCGGTAGATAGGTGTCCTCGAGCGAGGGGCGGGAGCAGGAGGCAACACGCAGGCCCCGGCAGCCAGGCACCCCACGCGCCGCATTCTTTCTGGCGCGCCCCACCCTGCCACCACCGCAACCGCCCCCCGCACGCATGCGCCGCGTCGCTGCCGCGCAGCTCAAGGACCGCCACCACGGGTCGATGTGCGGCGGCTCAGTCTGCTCCTGCATCAGCATACGCGACGTGCTGTCTGCGGCCATGTACCCCAAGGTGTTTGAGGAGTACAAGTGAGTGTACTGCAGTACCGCCTAAATATACCACGTGTACTGCATTCGTACTGCTTCGATGCATAGCATCCTGAGCACTCCCTGCCGTGCGGGGTATTGCCAAGGCGGTCGCGGTGGAGGCATGCGTGCCCAGCTGAGCGGCGGCAGCAGCCGTGGCGGACTGCTGATACGGACTGAGCTTGCCTCACCTGCCGCCGCCGCTGGCGCTGCCCCGCAGGACCTTCACCGCGCGCTTCAGCGAGCATATCGAGAAGCTGCCCACCCGCGCCTTCCTGGCGCCGCTGGACGTGGATGAGGAGGTGCGCTAACAGGAAGAATGGAGCGTGGTGGTCGTGGTTTTTCAAAGCAGCCTGCTGCCTGGTTTCGGGGCCTCAACTGCCCTCTCAGTCCCTCTCCCTCTTCTCTCCCTTCCCGTTCCTCTGGCCCACAGGTGGATGTGGAGATGGCGCCGGGCAACGTGGTCAGTATCAAGCTGAAAGCGGTGGGGGAGCTGCAGCCCAATGGCACGCGGGAGGTGCGTGGGCACGGGTGGGCCGGCAGGCACAGCCGGCGGCGCGCTGCCGAGTGCCGGAGGGCGTTTGGCGTGGGCCGCCGCTTTGAGCAGCCATCCCGCGCCGCCACTCAGCGCCCCTCCCTTGCCTTCCCGCCTGCAGGTGTTCTTCGAATGCGATGGTGTGCCTCGCGTGGTGGAAATCAAGGATCTGGTGGGCGAGCCTGCTGCTAAGGGGTGGCGCCGCTGGCGACGTGCTGTGCCTGCTGGGCTGCCCCTCGGCGCCGCTGGCGACGTGCTGTGCCTGCTGGGCTGCCCCTCGGCGCCGCTGGCGACGTGCTGTGCCTGCTGGGCTGCCCTCGGTGCCGCTGGCGATGTGCTGTGCCTGCTGGGCAGCTCCTGGCAAGTGCAGGCCGAGGAGCCCACGGACCCAGCAGTACCGCTTGCTGACTGCCCTGCCTGCTGCCCTGCTTCTTGCCCCGGGCCGTGCAGGGCAAAGACACGGTGGCTGCCGCCCGCCGCCCGGCTCGCGACAAGGCCGACGTCGGCGACGCCGGCTCGGTGCCGGCTCCCATGGCCGGGGAGGTGATCGAGGTGAAGGCCGCGCCGGGGCACTTTGTGACCGCAGGGCAGGTGAGCGAGGGAGGGAGGGGAGGGAGGGGTGAAGGCGTGGATGCACCGGCTGCCACCGTGGCAGCGCCAGCAGCCCTTGCGCCCGCTCCCCTCCCGTTTCTTGCTTTTGCGCCGCGCTCTGGTCTGTCTGCTTTCCAGAGGCCCCCCACGCCTGCCCACTCCTGCTGGCGCGCCACCCGGCCTCCTCCCACCTTTCTTCCTTCCTTCCTTTCTTTCTTCTCCTTCCTTTCTTCCTGCCCAGGCCCTGGTGGTGATGAGCGCCATGAAGATGGAGACGTCGGTGGCGGCGCCCACCAGCGGTACCGTATCCCACGTATACGTCATCAAGGGCGGTGAGTGGCGGCCGCCTGCTGGGGGCTGCCCCGCCCCCTGGGCAGCCCCGGCCCTGCCTGCCCGCGGCTCTAACATCCTTGAGCACCGCCGCCGGCGCTGCAGCTGTGCGTTTGCCTGACAGAATTGTGCTGCGGCTGAGCGTGGGTTGAGGATGTGTGCACATGGCCCTTCCCCTGCACGCCCACCCCGGTCTGCAGACCAGTGCGAGACGGGTGACCTGCTTGTGCTCATCAAGCCCGGCACAGAGGCGCCGCAAAACGGCGACGGCGGCGGCGGCAGCGGCGCCGAGGCGGCTGCAGCCACGACGGCCGTCGCTGCGGCCTCCTGATGAGGTGCTGCTGCGAATCGTGCGTGCTCAAGAGAGCTGGCGGCTTGGCTGGGGATCGCCGCAGGCCGGCTTCCAGGCCGCTGCACTCCCCCAGCGGGGGGGCAAGAGCTTATTGCCATGGCCTCGGCACTGCCCTATCTGCCTCTATATACTCGTCTCTACCTTCTTTCTCCCATCTTTCATGCGGTGCGGGTGTATGGGCGCCGCCCATTGGCCGATAGGCCACCACCTGTGCGCAGTTGCTGTACCTCTGCTGGCTCTCAAAACTTTCCCCTTGCTGCGTATGAATGTATCCAAGCACCCATTGGATTTTGACTGACGCCCAACAGCTACTAAGTTGTGTTGCGCTGGACATCTCGAGTACCGGTTCCGGTGGTTGGAGAAGTGCTTGACCACACACCTGCCCCTCGCTTCCTTTATGCTGTTTTGGTTTGAAACACGGCCGGCCATTCACGCTGGAATGATGTAAGACAGAGAAGCCAAGCACTTGCCTTGGAAAGGTGGCAGCGCACGCTGGGCCCGCTGTGCAGCCTGACGTGCGTGGAGGGGCACAACCAACAATGTTACATGCACGACGCAACGGTCCACATCGGGATGGACAGGGTAGGCAGTAAAACAACTGAGCCAGCAGGGAAGGCAAACAAGGGCAATGAAATGTACTGCCTGAGGGCAGCTGTATGAGGCAGGCTCAGCCCGCATCGCTGGCGGCATACCAGAGGGCCACGCCATTCCAAGCGATGGACAGCAGCATCCAGTAGAGGAAGGCAACATGCGCCTTGCTGCCCTCCTGTGTCAGGGACCACACGAAGCGGTGGGCGTCTGCCTGCAGGCCGCGCCGCTGCGGCAGGCCCGCGTGCCGCAGCTGCTGCTCGTGCAGGCTGTGCAGGCACGCCTCGCTGACAGCCTCCCACAGCAGCGGCACCACCAGGCCCACGCCAATCTGGAGCCAGGCCATGACTGCGCAGGCCTTGGCGACGGGCGAGAGGCGCGCGTGCCGCACGACTGGCAGCGGCACCATCATCAGCAGGCCGCACAGCAGCTGGTACATGGCGTGGGTGACGTGCCTCATCAGCGGGCTGGAAATCAGCGCCTCAAACAGCATCTTGTTGTTCCGCATGCTGGTGCCCACAAGAACAAGTTGCGCAATCATGCTCAGGCTGCAGCCAACGAGCAAGAGGGCCAAGGGGACGGTCACCGAATGACCACGGTGGTGACAAGCACCTCGCGCTGGGATGGCATGGCTCGGCGCAGCAGAAAATAGATGCTGCTGCTGGGCTACAGCAATACAGCTGCAAACTCACCTGAGCCGCATGGGCCAGGCAAAGGCAAACATGGCCATGGTGGGTGCGCCGCTGGAAAAAATCATGAGTGTTTGCCTCGCCAACCAGAGCACTGGCTTGCCGCCCACAGTGCTCCTTGTTGTGTTGGTCGTGCTCATCACATCCGAGGCCATGAAGTGCCAGCTGTTCAGCAGCATTCATTCATTCATTCAGCACACAGCCCGGCCGCCTCTTGCTCGAGGGCGGCCCACTTTGGCCTGGGCCGCCCGGGCCGCCCTCCCCCCCGGGCGCATGTTCGGTGTTGGAGGGGTGTGCCCAGCGATAGGGGGCCCCTGAAGGCATGCGCCGAGGCCGGGAAGCGTGGTTCGGCGCTGCTGCACGCTTGGCGATTTGACCAGAACCACGTGCCGCCGAGCTGCGGCCGCAGTTTCCGGCCCACGGTCTACGGTCGCAGCCACGGGACTCGGCGGCACGGCGTTTGGGCCCAAGCTTGCTGCCGCCGCCGCCGTGCCCGGGGGGCAGCGCGGCGGCGGCGGCACGCTGCGACGCCCCCGTGCTGCCGAGCTGCGGCCGTAGTTTCCTGCCAGAAGCCCACGGCCACAGCCACGGGACTCGGCGGCACGGAGTTTCGGTCCACGGCTTGCTGCCGCCGCCGTCGCAGGGGTGCTGCCTGCGGCGGCGGCGGCACGGCGTTTGGGTCCACGGCTTGCTGCCGCTGCCGCCGCCGCAGGGGTGCTGCCTGCGGCGGCGGCGGTAGCGCACGTGGCAACCCCCCGCGTTTCCTTGCCTCCCATCCACCGGACCCCGTCCTGCGCTTCACTTTGTTTAGGGAGGGGCTGCTCACTGCTCATTGCTCATTGCTCATCGCACACTGCTCAACGCTCATTGCCCTATATCCCACCCAGCCGCAGGACTCCACTGCCGCCCGCGCCCCGCCCCATCTGGCCGCTTGCGCGCCCCATCCCCCCTCGATGGGGCCCGCCCACACCGGGGCCTCCCCCCTCCCGCCCACTGCTTTCTCAACGGCCCCGAGCCGGGGCTGCCCTCATTGCATACATAGTGCGCCTTTCCCTGCTTTTCTAGTGACCTAGCGTTCCGCACTGCCGTTTGGCCAGCCCATGCTCCCGTACCGTTGTGTTTCTCCCCAATGCGCCATGCCACTTTGCCAGTCATACACACGTTTCGATGCGTGCCCTGTCAGCTGCTTGCGTTGCATGTCGCCTTGCTCCACCCCTGTTTTATTGCTTTCTCTGCTTTCGCCCGGTTCCCGTCCCGTTTCGGCGGGGAGTCTATGTTGCAAGCTAGTTCTTGCTTTACCAGACTTTAAGCCCACACAAGCACAAGCTCGCATACTACCGACAGCCCTCCAAAGGCCATGCCTGCCATGCGTAACACTGCCGCACTGGCCTCTCGCCACCGCAGGAAGCTGGCCGGGTGGCGGCGCTGCCAGTAGCCGTGGGCTATGCAGGCGAGGCAATAGAGCACGCTCCAGACGAGGGTGGCTGGCGGCATGAAGCGCCAGCACCTGACTGACCCTGACACCGTCCAGAGCTGCAAACAGGAAGGAAGCGCGCAGCGAGGCTCGAGTCCCAGTCCCGCCGCCGCCGCTGCCGCCGGCAAGGCCGTCTGCCGGCGCGGCGCGCTGCTGCAGCTGGTCTGCAGCTGGTCTGAATAGCTCCCCGTTGCGCAAGGAAGGCCTCACATAAGTGTGCAACTTACCAGGACAGCACGAACAGCCAAGCGGTCCCTATCTGCCCAACCCCTGTTGCGCGCTTGTACGAAGGTGTTAGCTGAGAGGAATGCGGCTTGCGGCGGTGCGAGGGAGGCGGTTGTTGTTGAAGTTGCCTCGGTGATCGGGCCCCAGGGCTGCTCCGGCCCCCGTTGACCCTGCGAGCCCATTTTGTAGGATGCGGCCAATTCGCCGCCTCGCACGAGGGGGGAGCGATTTGGGGTGGCCGGCCCAACCCCGCCGCACACCTGGCGGTAGCGACGGCGCAAAACTTAAAAGGGCGTGGTGATACATCGCCTGCTAAATAGCCTGGGCTCCCCACGCCGTGTATGAACTTAAATGCGCCAGGAAGGTGGAAACAAGCATAGTCCTGGACTCCATCATGGCCCCTTCATCTGGCGGCTGCATCAGGCCGCCGCTCCGCCGCCGCCGCCAACAAACCTCGCCTGGGGCACCAGCTGGCCCAGCAGCGGGTGCGCCCGCAGCCTGGCCGCGTCCCCGGGCGCCAGCGCCATCTGGGCAAACAGGCCCTCGCCGTAGGGGGCCACGGCGGGGCGCACGATGGCCATGTCTCGGGCCCGGGGCAGCGACAGCTGCTGGCTGTGGGTGGAGGGCTGGCCCAGGCCCAGGTCCAAGTCCTGCAGGGCGGGCGGTGCAGCCGGACGTGTGCGTGGATGTGCAAGGTGGAGCGTGGCGTGGGGTGAGAGGCGGCGGCGGCAGCAGGTCTCCAGCCAGCAGGAGGCCGCCAGGCTCGATCAGGCTCGGCTCCAGCATCCGGGCAGCCGCCGGCCTGCTTCGGCAATGCCGGCACGCCCCCATGCCACCGCAGGCTCCAGTAATACTGCAGTCCTAAAGCAGTACCACGCCAGCCTTGCCTGGCTGAAGGGCATGTAATTGACGGCGCTGGTGATGCTGGGCAGCAGCCGGCCGTACACAAACGACAGCATGCGCGGCACGGGCGCCGCACACAACGCCTCCGTCTCCCGCAGCGCCGCCAGCACACGCTCCTGCATGCAGGGGACGCACCGGGGCACACAGCCAGGCAGCAGGCGGTTGTGCATGCTCAGCAGCTCTGCATGGTGCAGCGTAGGCTGCTGCAGGATTTGCCACCGGCTGGCAGGCCAGGCTGCTGTCGGAACAACAGCCATACTGCTGCATGCATGCACAGGCGCCGCCTCACCGGCTCGCTCCGGAACGCGGCCGTGGCCCGCCGGATGGCGCCCGCCAGCCGCGCCAGCGCCGCCACCCAGTCGCCGTCCGCGGGCTGCTGCGTATTGGCGGGCAGGCTGACCTCCAGCATGCGCACAGCGTTGCCGAAGTAGCCAGGCGGGGTGGGCATCTGCGGGAAGGGAAGGGTGTTGGGAGGGTGTGTGTGTGGTGTGCCTGCTGGCTCCTGCTGTGCCAGCGTTCCAGCCTTGCCGCGCTCCACTCTCTTGCCGCGGCTTACCTGGACCATAACCATCATAATCCGTGGCGCCACCGGCAGCGCGGGCCGCCCGCGCGCGGCGTGCAGCAGCAGCGCGCAGGCCGCCTGCACAGCGTCGCCGGTGGTGATTGGAGGGTCTGCCTGGTTGCCCGCTGCACCGGGCACCATGGCGGCAGGGAGACACATGTGACACACTGTTGCGATCGGCACAAGCAGCTCAGCAGGCGCTGTGCTGCTGCACTGCACCGCCTGTCAGCAGTGCAGCAGGCGGCCCGGGCGCGTCTGGCCGAGCCACTGCTGGCGGCAGCAGCTGGCAGCGCGGCCTGCCGGCCCGGGGCTCCGCGAGGCCTTGCTGCCGCACCTGCCGCCAGCCGCTTCAGCTCTGCCACCTGGTCTCGAGGGATGTGCAGCATGATGAGCGCCATGGCGTGGCGGGACGGCGCCAGCGCCAGGCTGGCCAGGCGCAGGTAGCCGACGAAGGAGGCGCGCACCCTGAACGGCGACGGCGGCGGCGGCGCGGCCTTGCTTGCGGCGGCCCTGCAGGCGGCGGCCGCGGTAAGAGGTTGGTGCAGTGCCTGCAGCGCTCCAGTGTTCAGCAGCATTGTGCGTGGGCAGGCCAGTGCGCCGGTTAAGCAGCCGGCTGTGGCAGGCGGTGCAGGCACTGCGGAAGTGGAAGGGGCACCCTCAGGGTGCAGGCTGCACCCGCCCGGAAGCTGCCGCACCCGCCCAGAAGCTGCCCCGCCATGTGCTCCGACGACAGCAGGCGGCGGTCGGTGGGGCGCAGCAGGTGGGAGGGATCGGGCGCCTCGCCGAAGGCGGCCTGCCGGTAGCGTGCCGCCAGGTGCGCCATCAGCGCCGGCCAGCGCACCCCGTCTGCGGCTTGCTTGAAGCGGGGAGGGCAGCAGGGGCGAGGTGATGTTGCCGTGGAAAGCGCTGGGCATCCCTCCGTCCCTCAGGTGATAAAGCATGGGCGGTGTGCTGCTGCTGCGCCTCGCCTGTGATAACATGGCACAGCGACACGGCCAGCACGTCGCCATCCGTCAGCCGCGTGAGGCGCACCCGCATCAGCGGCTCCCTGCCCGCCAGCAGTGCCCTGCGCAGCAGCGGTGGCAGCGGTGGCGGTGTGTGTGTGGGTGGTTGGAGAGTTGAGCACGCGATGGTGGTAGCGCGGGAGGGAGGCGAGTGGGCACGCCTCCAAGCGCGGCTAGGCTGAAGCCCCACAGCAGCAGGCGGCAGGCTCAAGCCGGGCTCACCGCCTGGTGGGGTCCAGCTGGTCGATGTAGAAGGGGAGGGCCGGGTCGGGCACGGTGACGCGGTCCCGCGGCCAGGTGGGGGGCCCCATGGCGGCAGCCAGGCTGGTGCCGCGTGCCTCGGCCACCGTCAGCTGCGCGCCGCCGCCGGTGTGGGCAATGTGCAGGCTGCCCAGGCGCAGCCCCTTCATGCGGCCCAGCCTGCAGGGCGTGTGCAACGACAAGCACGTGACTGGGCAGAGCTTGACTTGCCGGCCGACGACGCGCGCAGGGCTGAAGCAAAGCTGCAAGCATGCATGCTCGCCTGCCGGCCAGCTCTGGCAGGTCGGCAAGGGTGGCTTGCAGCGCCGCCTCCAGCGCCTGCTCGTCGATGCGGGCGCCTGGGAAGCCCCATGCCCGGCAGGTGGCTGTCATGACAGTAATGGCATCGCAGCTGGACAGCTCGGTGCGCGCAGCGGTGGCGGCGCCCTTGGCGGCGCCGCTCGGCGCTGGTGCAGGCGCTCCGCCTGCTGTAGCAGGTGCGTCAGGCAGCGGCTTCACCAGCTTTTGGGAGACGACGGTCACGCCAGGGGGAGCTCCTTGAGGCGCAGGCGCCATGTCGATCTTGCTTGCTCGAGAGGCGTGCGAGCGTGGGTGCTGAGCGAGGCTGCTACTCGTTGTGAGTGTTCCAGAGAGCAGAGGATTCACAAGGAGAGGAGAGCAGGAGGACTAAAGAGCTCTGGCCTTGCCTCGTTTGCCCAACCCAACCCGCCCGCCGCCACCCAACCCAGCGCGGTGGCTCTTGGGCAGGCAAACGAGCTTGTTGCTGCTACCTGATTGCCACGTCTCCCGCAGTGGGATATGTTACACAGGGTACCTGACATGCGTTGCTCGTGGCGTCGAGCCCAGCAAGCTGGCCGACACGATGGGGAGATGAGCAGGCACCGCCGGATAATGGCGCGGCGGCAACCTCAAACTGCAATCAATCAATGCTCACTAAACGTCCTGCATGAAAGTGTGGCTGGCCGCAAAACGCAGCTGCTGCTCAGCGTGCAGCTCAGCGTGACAAGCTTTAGCGCTGCCGAAGGAGGGGCAGCTTTTGCTCATGGGTGCCCGTCCGGCGGCGCGGGCGCCGCCGCCGTCGGCAGCGGCAGGTAGGTGCCTCGGAAGGGGGCGGGGCGGATCTGGGTGAAATCTGGGGAGGAGCCCTCCCTGAAGTCCTCATAAGGAAGGTCCCCTGCGCCGCAGGCGGCGGTCCCCCGGGACAAGGCCGTTAGAGGTGCAGGGCCGGGCTGCAGGGCTCAGGTGAGGTGAGCCAGGGAGAGGTGCGCTTTGCAGCCACACAAGGCTAGCCCCGCACCTGCAAAGTCGTACTGGCGTCGGCGGCCGGGGAGGCGGGAGACCACAGCGTGCACAGCGCGCTCCACCTGCACCGCAGCGCATTCTCACACCTTTGTGAAACCGTGGGGGCGGGTACCGTGGGCGCTGCAATATAGGGGCGGCACAGTCCCTGTCCGGCCTCCCCACACCTCCACCTCCTGCTCCATCCCTGGCAGCCCTGCTCACCTCTGGGAAGTGGTCATAAATGCGCTCCCGGGAGGCCACCAGTGCTGCCACCACCGCTGCCACCACCGCCAGCACGACAATGGTGGTCGCCCAACCGTGGCCCGAGCTGTGCTTGCTGCCGCTGGCAGGTGGCGGCGGAGGGCCGGGCGGCGCGGGGGGCACGTCGCCGCCGCCGGGGGCATCTGGCTGGGAGTGGGGGTCAGCAGGCTGACCGCCGCCGCCGCCTTGGGTGCACACCGAGGGGCTGGTCTTGGTGCACTGCCACCCCGGCTCCACCTGCAGACAGGCAGGAAGGCAGGCGGGCAGGCAGAGGCTGGGTGCGAGTGGTATGCGCGCCGCTGAAGCTTGCCTGCCCACTCTGCAGGGAGGAACGCGTGGTGGCCAGCACAGGGCCGCTCGCCTTGCACACTTCCGAGCAGCCGCCCAGCCCAACCAGGTCGCCATTGTCGCACTCCTCGAGCCCCTCCAGCAGGCCTGCGGCGCACGTCAGCAGTGGGGTCCGGTTGGGGGCACACGCAGCCTGCCCCGCAGACCCTCCCCGCGCTGCTGCCTGCCCTGCCTACCATGTTGGCAACACAGGGGGCGCAGCGTGCTGGCCGCCGCCGCCGCTCACCGTTGCCGCACACGGACAGCCAGCGCACCACCTCCCATCGAGGGTCCTCCGCTGCGGTGAGGTCGTGGCCGTGGCCGGTGGCGTCGTGCACAGTCCAGCCCTGCCCCTCGTCAAAGTTCCTGCGGGCGGCATGAGGAGGAGCAGGGCAGGCGCGGGCACAGCGCAGTTTGGGGCTCGCTGCGGTCTCACATGATCAGCACTGCTCCCACAAGCAGCAGGCAGGCAGGGGTTGGGCAGGACGGGAGCCGCATTTGAGGCCCCAGTGCAGTGGCTCAGATTGCACAGCTTGCAGCATGACCAGGTGTCCCTCCACACTGCTCCCAGACGCAGCAGCAGGAGGGGTCGAGCCGCAGGCAGGAGGGGCCGGCAGGGTGCAGCCTGGTAGGGCGAGCAGAGGACAGCCCACTTTCCTCCACAGCCCACTTTCCTCCCCCCTCACCAGTAGGCCACCAGGTCGGGGTGGTGGGGGTCCACGGCAGGCGAGTCGAAGCGCTCCCCCGTCATCCCCTTGCGGAACAGGTTGGAGCGCATGCCATCCTGGATCTGCACCGCGTGTTGCCAGAACAGGAGGCATTCACCTTGCAGCACTGAGCACCAGACTGTTGTAACGCTTGCTCGGGTGGTGAATGAGTTGCAGGCAGCGGCTCGGTGTGACGGCGGCCCATCACCCGAATCAGGCGCCCCAGGCAGCCGCTCAGCAGCAGCCGGTACCCACCTCCTGCTGGCTGCGGGCCGTCTTCCACAGCCTCATCTCGTCGATCGTGCCGAAGAAGTCCTATTTCGGGGTAGGTAAGAAAGCGCGGCTGTTGTGCCATGCATGCTACAGCACAGGTGGCGGGCCTTGCCTAAGCGCAGGCACGCATGCACCGACGTCACGTACAGTTCAAATGTACTGCAGGCGCTGCCCCGCCCCACCTGTGCGCCATACTCCAGCTCCCAATCGTCCTGGATGTTGCCGGTGGCGCCTGCAGGGGGGGCAGCCAGTTCCGAAGGAGGACCGCCAGTCTGGCTGGCAGGCGCCCAGCGCTGCGCCAGCACTCGCGGGCATGCCACGCTCTGCATCCCAGCAGGCGCCGCATCCTGCCCACGGCTTGCTCCAAGGCAGCGCACCTTCATCCGAGTCGAAGCAGCCGCCCTCGCAGTCCTGCTCCCGCCCCACCACCAGCGTGCCGCCAGGCGGGATGGTCTTGCCCCTGCCGCGCACCACAGACCACACCTGCGAATGGGCAGGTGGGTGGGCGGTGAGGTGAAGGTTGCCCTGCTGACTCGGAGGGGCAGCCTCAGAGAGAGAGCCCTGCCGCAGTAGTGCCGCCAATGACAAGCCTTCTCCTCTACCCCTGTCTCACCGCGCACATAGATTCAGAACACACGCACGGTGGCGGCGCAGCGCACCTTGACCCTGCCATCCGCACAGCACAGCGCAGCGCAGCACAGCGCAGCACCCCACAGCGCAGCACCCCACAGCGCAGCACAGCACACCACAGCACACCACAGCGCAGCACACCCCGCCCCACCCCACCCACCTCCCGCCCGTTGTCGTACAGCTTGACCTGGCCGTCTGAGGAGCGCCAGGTGACGGCGATGTGGTGCCAGCGGCCGTCGGTGGCGCCCAGCCCACTCAGGTGGTCCTGCAGGCCCCCCTCATCCTCCATCACAGACACCCCCCAGGAGTTGTAGTTGAAGAGCAGGAAGGAGTTGTCTGCGGTGGGGGTGGGAGGGCGGATGGGTGGTGAGGATGGGCGGGAGGGGGGGAGAGCAATCATCCTCATGCTGGGGTTCCGGTGCACGAAGCGCATTGCGGTGGTGAGCGGAGCGCGCGCCCAGCACAGGGGATGCGGCAGCCGGCGGCTGTGCCCGCTGGCCTCCCAACCCCACCCCCCCACCGCCTGCACCGCGCCGCCAGCCTGGCAGCGCCAGCGTGGCAGCGCCAGCCCGCCTCTCACCAGCCTTGGCGTAGCTGCTGCCGCGCGAGGCGTAGCTGAACGGCACGCCCTTGCGGCAGCTGTCTGTGCTGGCCATCCAGAACTCCAAAGTGAGCTCGGTGGAGGGGAAGTCCTGGCAGCAGGGGAGCATGGCATGGCAGCAGGGAGGAGGCTCAGGTGGAGGGGGAGACAGGGCACGCGCAAAAAAAAGGAAGATAGAAGGCCAGGAAAGCAGGAGGCGGGGACATGATGTGGCGGAGGAGCAGGTGGGGACGGCGCAAAGAGAGCAGAGCTTCTGAGCCCTGAGTGCGCCAGCAGGTTCGGCGCACGCCACCTGCCAGCTGGCACCCCACCTTGAAGTCTTTGAGGATGAGCACCTGCATGCAGGAGGGCGGCGGTAGGGGCGGTGTTGGAAGCGCAGCAGCACACGCCGCGCGCCCTGGCTGCCCGGCAGGCAGCAGCGTGCCCCGCCAGCATGCTCCAGCCACAGCAGCCGGTCGGCATCAAGGCATGTGCCTGATCCGCGCAGCAGGGCAGCGACGCTTGCTCTGCCCTCTGGCTGAGAGGAGGCGCCTCTGCCCTGCTACACTGCCAAGCAGCAGGCCTTTGTGCCGGACGAGCATTCGTTCAGGGCCTCTCTGAAAACGTGGAAGCTGGATCAGTGCCTACACGCCTGAGCGCTGAAGAGCACAGAGCCCTCGGGCCCGCACGCCACCAAGCGCCAGGATCACCTGGGCATGCGCGACAAGCTTGACAGCCAAGCTTGCAGGCACAGCCCAAAGTGATCCCGGCACGTGCTTGGTGTGCAGCCTGCCCTGCTGCCAGCCGTCCCTCAAACTGCCAACCCGCGCGCACGCTAGTGCACCCCCACATGCAAGCTCACACCACCACCGCTGTTGGCACCACACGCGCACGCACAAACACCCCCAGTAAAAAAAACAAATCCACAACACTGCACTTGCTGCACTTGAGCGCGCACACACACGCACACACACACACACAACCTCCCACCTGCTGGTCGCTGAGGAACATAGCGTACCCAGCGCTGCCGGGCCAGGGCGGCATCATGCGCTTGCCGTCGGGCGTGGCCAGCGGAGCGGTGGAGTAGACCCAGGACGGGGCGTCTGCGCCCAGCAGCAGCGAGTTGGCGGAGCCGGCGGGCCCGCTGCCATCCACCCTGCCCTGTAGGCGGCAACACGTGCACAAGCACGAGGGTGTGCCGCCGGCGCTGGCTGGGTGCAGCGCCAGCCCAACACCCTGGCGGCCTCTCTGGCTGTCCACCCCTTCAACCACCTGCGGGGAGCATCAGCGGCAGGATGCGCCAGGCAGCTGCAGGGCGCGGCGAGCAGGCACGCAGCCATCAGCTTGCCTTGCCGTCGGGGGTGCGGGCCACCTTGGCGGGGTCAAAGCTGTAGGAGGCCACCAGGCCCTCCTGGCTCGGTGGGTCCCTGGCAAACATGCCGGCGGCGACGTCCTCCCTGCAATCCGGTGGCAGGCGGCAGGCTGGGGCTGGCAGGATGTGGGTGTTCGGGCCTGGCGGGGCCATCCACACAGCAGGGCCAGCCCGCTCAGCACAGGTAGTTGTGGCTGGGGCCCTAAACCCTTCCTCAACGTTGTTAACAGATGGAGTGACCCGCCTCACTTGCTGAGCACACGGCTCCACACCCGCAGGCCGGCCATGTCGCCGTGCAGCGCCGACTCGGGGCTGAAGCAGCCGCCTGCGGGAGGCAGCGGGATGGCAGGCCAGCACAGCATGGACCACAGCGCGGCTCAGCACAGCACAGCACCGGCTGATCTCACAGCGCAGCATGGATCACAGCACAGCAGGACCACAGCGCAGCACAGCACGCAGCGCTGCGCACCGTAGCAGTCCTGCGACTGGCCCAGCACCAGCGAGCCGTTGCTGGAGCGGCTGGTGCGGGCGGCGATGTGGCTGTCCACGCCGCCCCGGCTGGGAGCCTTGACCTGCGGCGCGGGGTGCTCGCTTTGGTGGGGTGGCAGATGGCCAGACGGTAGCATGGAGCGGCCTGGCAGGGAGGCAAGCAGGCACCTGCGCTTGAGCGCGGCCGCCAGCGCATCCCCTGCCACCACTTGCCTGCACCTGGCCGGCCTTGGACACCCAGAAGGGCGTCTGTGGCTGGCCGTCGAGGTAGAGCTTCACCTCACCGCTCTCCCAGGCCCAGGTGACGGCCACGTGGTGCCAGCCGCTGTCTACCCTGCACCCAGCCGCGGCGGCAGGCCGGAGGGGCGGTCGGCGGCAGCGGCATGCCCAGGCTTGTGGCCAGGCATTCAGTCAGGCGGCAGGAGAGACCCCGCAGGCGATCTGTAGAGCAGCTCGCGCATGCCGGCAGCACCAACTGCCCCTCCCAGCCTGGATCATAGCCTGGCACGCCCACCAGCGGCAGCCTCACCAGCCCGTCAGAAAGTCGACCCAGTGGTCAAACCGCTGGCCGTTGCCCTCCCGGTTGGCGTTGATGTGGACGCTGATGGAGCCTCGGGTGGAGAAGTCCTCGAAATCCAGGTGGTGGGAGCCCTGGCAGGCGGGAAGAAAGTGTGGCGGTGGTGAGGATAAAAGGAGGTGCGACGATGGGAGGAGGGAACAAGGGAACACAGCGGTGTGTGTAAAAGGCAGCAGCAACAAGCGGCGGCAGCGGCAGGGCACAGGCCGGGTGCGGATGGCAGGGCGGGCTGTAACAGGAGACGGACAGGCACCAACCACGCAGCTGCCCGAGCCCAGGCAGGGCGCAGGCAGCAGGAAGCGACGACACCATCCGAAGAGAAGGTGTGGCGCGCAACCATTTCATTGTGGGGCCGTCTTCGCGCCGAGGAGACGAGGAGGCACCCACCCACCTTGTACTCGTCCATGTACTTTTCAATCAGGATGGCATCGTCCAGGAAGGCGGTGGGGGACAGCGAGCCTGCAAGGCAGGGGCAGGCAGCAGCGCGGCGGCAGCGGGTGGACCGCTGGTGCCGGCAGGGACCACAGCAGGCCCAGTGGACCGCTAATGCCGGCGGGGACCACAGCAGGCCCAGCGGGTCACATCGTGCACACAACTGGCTACCGAGGTGTGCCCGCAGCAGAGGCGATGCTGCCAGGCAGGCGAGGCTAGGCGGCAGGCAGCAGGCCCCTCGCTATGCCACCACAGCGTGGGCAGCCCCAGGGCAGCAGGCACTCGCCCTCCTCGTGGCCGAACGCAGAGAAGGAGAAGAACTCGGCGTTGCGCTCGGGGGTGGAATTGCGGGGGGTGTAGGCGGGGGTGCGAGCCCAGAACTCCACGCTCAGGTCCCTGCCAGGCACACCAGGTGAGGCAAGGGTATGCAAGTGCTGTGAGAGTGGGTGCTCGAGGCCCACGGCTTGTGGCAGGTCATGCAGCTGGCAAAGGGGCTCCGTAGCTGGACCCTCGGGAGGGCTGCTTGGCCTGACAGAAGTGCTGGCAGCAACAGCAGGCCCCCCGGCGCCTCCACCTGTCTAGCATGCCGGCAAAGCCCTGCGCCATGGCATAGTTGTTGCGGAAGGTGAGGGCCCCCGCCTCCAGACGCCCGCCGCCCTGCAAGGAAGATGTTAGAAATAATGGCATGCATGTGTGCCTGGGGGCTGCACGGAGGCAAACAACCGCATGTAAAAAGGTAAAGGTAAAGGTGGGGAAGAGCCTCCACAAGCTTCACTTCCCGGTTTTAACGTCTAGCTTTAGACCATTATTTGATCTGCCCGACGCGCCAAGTGCAGTACCCCCCACTAGTAGTGAATGGGTCCCGGGGAGGCCTGTGCCGAAGCCTTGGCGATTCTATTAGGCGTTCCCGAAGGAATTGGCTTGGATTGGCGCTGAGCCGGTCAGCTATGCCGCGTTTGTCCTCACAAAGTTTCGACATGGGAGGAATCGAACCTGTGCCCTCTCGGAGGGTTTAGACACTAGCTCCAGCGCCTTCAAAGAAGGCCTTTCTTAGCCGCGGCATGTGCTGTATGGCCAAGGGCCCTGCACTGCCCAGGCAGCGCTTGAATTGCACCTGCTCGATGGTCTGCATGCTGGCGGCGGGCAGCGTGATGAGGTGGATGTCGTTGCCGCGGCCGCTGCTGTCGCGCGCCACCAGCGTCTCCCTGCACGAGCACGCGACGCACCACGGTTGGAGCGAGCGAGCAGCCGAGTGGGCTGCCGGCCAGGCTTGAGGCAGAGATCCAGTCTCACGGCTCGCCCCTTTGGCGCTGCGTGAGCTTGCTGCGGTTCCACCAGACAGATGCTCCAGGCACTGCTGGTACCTGTAGATTCCGTTCAGCTCCGGGTCGTTGAACTTCCAGTAGGCGGCCAGGTCCTGCAGGCAGGGGGTGCAGCGGTACATGTGGTACATGTTAACCCCATCAGTGCGAGCAGTACAAACTTGGGGCAAGAGGGACCTGCGGCAACCGTTCTTTGGCTTGCAGCCGATGAACCCGCCTGGCCCTGGCACTGTCAGCAGCATGCCACCGATGCATGGAGAAGACAGTGCAGGCCACACGGGCGTCACACGGCAGCTGTCGGCAAAAGCAGTCGGCGCGGCGAGCCATGCTCAGAGCTGCCTGGAAGCCTTGACGAGATCGCCCCGCCAGCGGCTGTGCACCAGGCACCAGCAGGCCGCCATCCACCCAGAATTGAAAATGCACCCCAGCAGCAGTGGCACTCAGTCTCCTCATGAGCACAGCGTGTGGTGGGCGGCGCGAGCGCTCGCGCCTGCACTTAGGGTGCCAGCACGGTCGCTGTGCACGGGCCCCATGCAAAGCCACAGGAGACAGCAGGCAGAACAGCGCCAGCGCCACACGGCAGGAAAGGCTGCGCCCGGCAGGCGCGCACAGCAGCACATCACGAGGCGCCAGCCGGCGGCAGGATGCTCTTGGTGTGTGGCGCACGTACTGTCGGACCCTGACGCACAGCGGGCCAGGTGAACCACTCCTGCGGAGCAGCCGCTGCAGCAGGCTGCGACCTGTGCTGTCACTGCATGCACCTGTGCCATGCACTGGCAGCACGGGCTGCACCCATGGTCCTCTGCAGCGGCGGTCCTCAAGAGAGATGCATGCGACGAGACATGACTGCATGCCGCCTCACGAAAAGCCCGGGGCGGTTCAGAGCGGGGCACGCCTGGCAGCCGCGGCCGCTTTACCCATTGTAGCGAGTGGCTGCCAGCGTGGCGCTGGTGCAGGATGGTACATCGAAGGCGAGGATCCGAGCAGCAACACCAGGCCTGTGAATGGCCTGGTACTAAGCAGCTGTCTGCAGGGTGGCAGCTGACAGTCGCATGTCAGCTGCCGCCCTGCCCAGTTGCAGCTGTGTGACAGGCAATGTACAGCCAGGGAAGCTGCTTGGATGCTCATCACAGGCGACGCTGCAGCGGGTCAACCGCCAGCGGCAGCAGAACGCTCCCAGAGGCCCTCCCCACCCACGGACGGCATTCCAGCTGAATGAAGCGAGCGCTTCCACAGTGCACGGCTGCGGCGACAAAAGGCCGCGCCGTCGCACTGGCAGCTGCACGCCATGCCATGCGCAGGCATGCCGCCAGCAGTGCACGGCTGCGGCAACAAAAGGCTGCACTGCGCAAGCGCTGCAGCGGTCAGCAGGTGGCAGCCTGCCAGCCCACCCAGCGGCCCTCTCGGCAGAGGCGTGTACCTGTCCCAGCTACTGGGCCTCAGCTGAGCAGCACGGCGGGAAGAAAGCTCACCGAGTGGTTGTCCAAGCCAGACGCATCCCGCATGTGCCTCAGGATCTCCGCCTGGGTGCGGGCTGTGCGCCACACGCGCACCTCGTCCATCTGGCCGTGGTAGCCCTGGCCCCTGCAGCGGGAGACGAACGGGCACACGCCGCGCACTGCTGCTGACCGCCTCGCTCCCTGCTCCCAGTGGCTGCAGGGCTTCCACGGGGCCACGGCAGCCCTCTCGCCTTGCCCACTCCCAGCCTCTTCCACTCCCTCCCGCCCAGCCAGCCCAGCCAGCCCGGCTTGCCTGTCGGTGCAGCCGCCGTAGCAGTCCTGCTCGGCGCCCAGCATCAGCGCGCCGCCGGGCTGCAGCGGCCTCGTCTTGTGGGTCACCGCGGAGGCAACCAGCAGTCCATCCCAGAAGATCTGCAGGAAGGCAGGCGCAGGTGAGGATGCAGCGGTACTGCACTAGTGGCTGTAGCCTTCCCACACGCCACCCCAGGGCTGCACGGTGAATGGTTGCCACAGCCTCGCTCCCCAGCGGGAGCTGGCTGCCGCACCAGTAGAGGCGCCCGCTGCCTGGTGTCGATTCAGGCGCGGCGCCCTGCAGGGGAGCACCCTTGCCGCCCACCTGCGTGAGCCCTTCCTTGGCCGCCTCCCACGTGACTGCCAGGTGGTGCCACCGCCCGTCCCGGGTCACAAAGCTGGGCAGCTTGGCGGAGTGGTTGAATGCGGCGGTGCAGGAGGAGGCGGTTGGGTCGGGCCACAGGTCGCTGCAGGGGTAGAGCAGGCAAGGCGAGCAGTCTGCGAGGTGTGCAAGGTGCGCAGTGTATGCAGGAGCGCCGGCAGCCTGCTACTAGTGGCCTGTGGGACGCTTGCCGCCGCCGCCGCTCACATGTACTCGAAGTCGTGGCAGGCCACCACCTGGCTGGGGTCAAAGATGACCTGCGGGCGGGAGGTAGGGCACAGGGGGGTGGCAGGCGGTCTGCCAACTTTGAAAGTCCAGCGAGGGGAGCCACTGGCAGCTAACAGACCGAGAGTGTGAGCAGGTGCCACGGCCCCTGCCGGCCAGCCAGCCTGCCAATCCAGCAGGCAGGCAGGCGGGCGGGCGTGCTCACAAAGTGGTTGAAGTCTGAGGTGCGCTGGTGGGGGTCGTCTGAGGTGGAGTCGAGTGCGTAGGAGAAGAGTGCCGAGGCGTGGCAGTAGTCTGCGGGGCAGGCGGGCAGGCGGGCAGGCAAGAATGTTGCGGCGCTGGCAGCCCACTTGGTAAGCGGCCGCTTTGAGTGTGTTGGGGGCGAAGCAGCAGCGATGCCGCAGGCGCGGCACACGTGTTGGCAGGCAGGCGGGCTGGTGCAGTTTTCGGGGCAGGCGGCTGGGCCTGCTTGGGCGGTAACACCCTGGCCCAGACGCACCTGTGGTGGACAGCCAGGCCTCGAATGTGAAGGCATCGGAGCCTGCAGCAGCCCAGCGGCGACGCGGCGGCGGGCGCGGTCAGCTAGGAAGCCGCCCGCAGCGGCGGTACCAGTGCGGCAGGGCAGGCGTCGCTCCGCGCCTCGTCCCAGGTCTCCAGTGCTGCTTCTGGCCTTCATCTAGCTGCTGGCATGGCTGGTGGCGTGGCTCAGCAAGCTTTATTAAAGGCTCACCCAAGTCTCTGAAGCCCTCCAGCAGCACGCCATGGTCGCGGAAGAGCAGCGCGTGGCCGGCGCCGCCGGGGCGCGAGATGTCGGCGGCGGCGGGGCGCGGCACGGCGTCTGCAGTGGATGAAGCAGCAGAGGTGGTGGGGCATAACGAGGAGCCGAGCAGGCAAGGGAAAGGCGGCGGCGGCAGCCCTCGGAGCAGATCGGCGGCAGTGCCCGCGGGCGAACTGAGAAGGCGAGCCGCAGGCGCCGCTGCCAAGACCCCAGCCATGCAGAGCTGCTGCTCTCGTGCTCGGCTCTGCCATCCCACAAGCTGGCAGCTTCGAGCAGTCCAAGGGTTCTCTGCACCTACCCAGCCACACCGCCAGGAGGCACACCAGGGCAGGCCCCAACCCCTGCCGGCTGCCCACACTCATGGCAGCACCAGCGCTGGGCAGGAGGGGTGGCTGGAGGGAGGAGACGAGTGGCGCCGGGTGTGGCGACCGTCACAGCCTCTGTACGCGCCACAGAGCTGCTATACACGCTAACGCAGCATGTGAGCGGCCGGGAAGGCCCTCCGATGCCTGTTCCAGGGCGGGGCGGGCTGGAAAGATGTGGGCGCCAATGACCTCCCCATGCAGGCAGCCTGGCCCGCCAATCGCCTGGTTCTCAGTTACTTCGGCATCCCCGCACCCTCAATTCATCCTCACGCGCCTCGCAGGCCCCGTCCCAGGCATCGCTGTGTTGAGCATTCACCCTGCGACCTTGCCAGCCGCCGCGGCGCCTCGCATCAATCTAGTGCAGCACCGGGCTGCTGAATGCCGGCGGCAGAGTATGTCAGCCCCGAGAGGCTGCGCTTGGACGGCAGGTTCGCGCCGGGGGGACGCCAGCGCCCGCTCACAGCCCTGCATGGGTGCAAACACATATGCGGGAAGCCGATCCGCAGCGCCGCCAGTGCTGCCGCAACGTCCACCTGTGCCTGGCGACCGGCCGCCACCTGCTGCCGCCCACCGCCCCGCCCTGCGCACGCTGTGCAGGCGGCCCAAGGAGCTGCGCCAGCTGCGTGCCGAGCTGGGGGTGCTGTCCTCGGCTGACGGCTCCGCGCTCTTCGAGATGGGCAACACCCGGGTGCTGGCGGCGGTGTTTGGGCCAAAGCCGGTGGAGCAGCGCAGCCAGGAGGACGAGCGGCGGGCGATCGTCAAGTGCGAGTATGCCATGGCTTCCTTCAGCACAGGTGCGCATGAGCGGGAGGAGCGCCCGGATGGGAAATCGCTGCAGTGGCAGCGGGGAGCCCGCCGGCAGCAGGGCAGAGTCGCATGCTGCCGCCGCTCGCGTCGGTGTGCGGATGTGGGCGTTGGCGTTGGCGTTGGGACCCGGGCTGCTGCCATTTGGCGCTGGCTCGTGCACCGTGCGCCACCCAATGGCCGCTTGGTGCGCACCCCCGCCCCATCCCCACCCCATCCCCGCCTGTCCCTGCGCTCCAGGCGAGCGGCGGCGGCGCGGCAAGGCCGACCGGCGGGCCACCGAGATCGGCATGGCCATTCGTAACACCATGGAGCAGACCATCCTCACAGAGTTGCTGCCGCGCTCGCAGATAGACATCTACGTGCAGGTGTGCTGCGGGGGGTGGCTGCTGCTGCAAAAAAAGAAACCACACCGCCTGCAGCTCGCCCTACCTTGCAGCAACAGCGCCGGAGCAGCGGCAGGCCCGGAGGCCGGTGGATCGCGACTCGTGACCCGGCTGCCGTGTGGTGTGCCCTCCACGCCCCCACCCGGCCGCCGCGCCTGCAGGTGCTGCAGGCGGACGGCGGCACGCGGTGCGCGTGCATCAACGCGGCGTGCATGGCGGCGGCGGCGGCGGCCATCCCCATGCGCGACCTGGTCGCCTCCTGCGCCGCGGGCTACCTGGAAAGCACGGCGCTGCTGGACCTCAATTACATGGAGGACTCGGGGGGCGGGCCCGATGTGGCGGTCGCCATACACGCAAACCACGAGGACCGAGTGGTACTGCTGCAGCAGGACAACCGGCTGTCGATAGAGACGTTTGAGGAGGTGCTGGAGCTGGGGGTGGCGGGGTGCCGCGCCGTGGCGGCCTTCATGCGGCAGCAGCTGCTGCAGCACACGCGGGCGCTGGCGGCGGCGCGCGACGCGGGCGACGAAGCGGAGGCGGGCGGCGGCGGCGGGGATGAGGAGGGGATGGAGGGAGAAGACTTCTGACGCTGCGTGCGCTTGTGTCTGCCGCTCGCTCCGCCTCCCCGCCCCGCCATGCTTCCCTGTCCTGGTTGTTTCCCTGCTTACACTTGCGTCCTGCTACACTTCGCCAATAGACTTCCCCAAAGCAGAGCTCCCTGCCGCTCCAGCAGGGGCAGCGCGGGCGCCGCCACTCCACAGCGGTCACCCTGTGAACAGGGCTCCGCGCGGCGCGGTGCGGGAGGGCTGCGGGATGCGCATGCGCCCCTCCAGCGGCCGCGTGCTCTCGTGGAAGCGAGCCGCCTCCGCCAGCCCGTTCTCAGACACAAACCCAGAGGCGCCGGCGGTGAAGAAGTCGCCAGACAGCAGGCCCTTGCGGCTGTCGATGGCATGGGTGGCGGAGGGCGGCGCCGGCGCCCTGCACGGCGGCGTGGTGCTGGCACCAGCATTGTGGGCGTGGGCATTTTCGCTGTCTAGGAATCTCCCCGCACCTCCCCGCACCACTACGCACCCCCCCGCGCCACTCCGCACCACCCCGCACCCCTCCGCACCACCCGCACCACCCGCACCCCCTCTGCACCTCCCCGCACCACCCCTCGCACCACCCCGCACCACCCGCACCTCCTCAGCGCCTGCTGGCTGGCGGCGCCCCACGTGGTGAGGGCGGAGGGCGGCGGCGGCTCCAGGCACACGTTGTGCTGCGGGCGGTGGCCGGTGTACCCTGGCACGCGGCCCCGCGAGTGCTGATCCAGTGCCTGCATGAGGGCATCCTCCTTGCGGGGCCGCGGCGCGGGCTGCTGGCCAGCTGCCGGGCCACGCTCTGGCGCCGGCGCCAGGGCAGGTGCCACCCCCGCGCTCGCGGTGCCTGCGCCGGCATGCGGCCACCCCAAGCACAGTTGGAAAGGAAGCACAGGGGGTGAGGAGCTGGAATGAACGGAGCTCGGCCTGGCTTCCTCAAGCACCTTCCCTCGTGCAACAGCTCACCGGGCGAGCGCCACGGCCGGGCGCCGACGATGGCCTGCCAGCTGCTGCACCGCTCCACCGCCGCGCCGCTGCCTGGGGACTTGGGGCTGCCGCCGGCCGACAGGGACAGCGCCGCGTACCTCTCTGCAACGGGCAGCTGGCTGGCCGCCGCGGTAGTGAGGTAGCCGGGGCGCACCGCCGCGATGGCAGGCCTGTGTGCCGGGGAGCAGGGCGCCGAGGCGCTACCGCCGCTGGCGCCGCAGCTGCCGCCGATGTCGCTGCTGTTCCGGAGCAGCAGCTCCGCCTGGTAGGTGCTCTTGCCGATGCCCTTGTCGGCCGCGGCGGCGGCGGGGCTGGTGGCGGCGGCGGCTGGGGGGCGGCGCACGCGTGGGTCACGGCTGTAGTCGTGTTGTGGGTCGATTTGGAAAGCCGAGCCGTGTCTGCAGGCAGGCAGAGAGGAAAAAAGAGCAAGAAATAAACATGAGCTCCCCAGGCAGGAGTGGTGGCAGGAGAGGTGCCAGCCACTCTGAACCTCCCAGCCCACCCGACTCACGTCGTGCCGCCGGCGCCGTCTGCCGCGGTCGAGGGCCGGCGCTCTGCGGTGGCCAGTGGCGCCGCCGGGTCGCGCTCCGTGAGCTTAGTGTGCCGAGTGGGAGGCACGCACGCCGCTCCAGGCGTGTAGCCCTGGTAGCCGGGTACGGCGTCAGGCCGGTACGAGAGCGCGTTGCCGCCGGCGCCGGCGGCGCCTCGGCCCGCCGCCCGCCGCCGCCCCCGCAGCACGGCCCCAGGGGAGTACGTCATTGCGGCGGCCTCCCGGGGGGTACCGGAGGCTGCTGCGCTTCCCCTGGCGTGGCCCGGAAGCACAGGGGCCCTGGTCAAGCGGTGGCAATGTTGTGGATGGTTGGCTGGTGGTGGTCCTGCTGGGGCTGCGCTGCGTGCCAGGGACCTCTTGAAGTCGGTTGCGATTGGCGGAAGGCCGTGCGAAAGGAAAAATGGGCCTACTGCCTTGCTGGCGCCCAGCTGGGCCACCAAAGCCCTGAACGGCTTGCGAATGCAGCCTCTATCCCATGAATTGGATCGATGGTGTTGCTTGTGAATGGCGAGACAGTGGAGGCCGCGGGCCTATTGGAACACCCCCGCCTGCGAGCCGCCTCTCTGCTGTTCCTTGCGCAGCCTGCTGCCCTGCCGGCCGATGCCATCATTCTCTATGCGTGTCAGGGAGAGGAGGCGACAGCTGAAAGCAGCCCGGAGGCGCAGGACGCCGACAGGCCAGGCAGCTCGGCGGTGGCGGGAGCGGCGGCGGCGGCAGCTGGCGGAGCCGAGCCACCGCTGGTCCTCAGCTCCAGCGACGCAACAACCTGCCTGATAGCCGCCCTTGTGTCCTCGTCAGAAAATACCGACGGAGGAGGAGTTGCTGCCCGCATCGTGCATCATGATGAGAGCACCACGCTCAGCCCGGCAGCGCTGCGGCAGACAGTGGCGGGGCTGGGCCCGCGTGCCAAGCTGTGGCTGGCAGGCGCCTATGCCGACGCCGGCGGCGTGGGGGCCCGCGTGTCCAGCCAGCTGCTGGGATTTCTGCAGCACTGCGAGGCGGCCCTAGATGTGCGGCTGTGCTGCGTGGGCACCCACAACACCGCGCCAGACGGCTCACCCCGCTGCACAGCCCTGGCTCTCGACCTCGCCACCCTGGCGGCCTGCCCAGCAGCGCCGCCACCAGACCAGCGCGGCCCGCTGCTGCCGGCCCGCATGGCGCAGTGGGCCTGCGCCGCCGGCAGCGCTGCTGTTGGAGCAGGCGGCTGCGGCTCGCTGCGGAGCATCCGCTTCTCGCCGCCGCCGCGACAGCTGCGCATGGAGCTGCGGCACGGCCGGCCGGCGCCGCACTTGCTTCGCCAAGCAGCCTGGCTGCTCTCCCTGGATGACCAGCAGCTGCTGGAGCACTGGTCTACTAGCCCGCAGCACGAGCCGCCACACTTTCCCGCAGGTGCGCCGTTGGCCGAGAAACGGGCGGGCTGTGTGCAGTAGGTACCTCATGCACAGCTTGTCTGCACTGCGGTGTTGCTGAGCAGAGCACCGTGTCCCCGCTGGCTGACGCAGCCGTAGGAAGCTTCACCTGCCCCCGCCAGCCCTGCCTGCCTGATGCAGACATGCGCGCCTCCTTTCGGTGGCTGCTGGAGCAGGCTGGCCCCATCCGCTCTGTCGCACACAGCTTTACATGGGCAGCCGGCAAGTGGCTGCCGGCAGAGGCGGCAACACAAGCGGCTGCAAGCGCCGCAGCAGCAGGTGCAGATGCAGCGATGTTAATGGGAGGCTTGGCGCGGTGAATGGCTGTGCTGCTGTGCATGCCTTGTAAATTTTTGTTACACAAAGAAGTATGGGGCTGTGCATTCGGATGTGAGTATGTGCAGTGCCAACTGCCGTAGTCATCATGCGTCGTCGTCGAAAGAATGCATGTGCGGTGCGTTGTTGTGGTTGGTGCTGTGGGAGGCGGTCTGTCCAGTGGGCTAGTGAAAAGTGATAGTACACCTGTGCCGTCATGTCCGGGAGGCAGCGCTGGAGGGCAGCCTCAATCGGCTGTCAGTTTGATGGGTGGCGTCGAGGCTGCACAGCGGTGTGCGCTGCTGCTGTGCTGTCAGGCGTGGTGCATGGCGCGGCGGCGGTCTGCGGGCCCCGCCGCCGCCGCCGCCTGCGCCAGCTGCACCCCCAGCTGCATCTCTGTGTTGCCGGGGTCAAGCTGCAGGCCTCTGCGGTAGGCGGACAGCGAGGCGCGCAGGTGGCCCAGGCACAGCTGCGCCGCACCCAGGCGGGCCCAGCCGCGGGTCCTGCACCGCAAGGCACGCGGCATGTCGGCACACGCGAGCAGCGTGGCTGCACTTGGCCGGACCCTGTGCCTGGTGCGGCTAAGCATCCAGCAGGAGCAACAGCATCTCTGCCTCCCCGCAACCCTCACCATTCTGGGTTGAGCTTGGTGCAGTGCATGGCATCATCCAGCGCCTGCTCGTGCCTGCCGCTGTGCAGGCAGGCGGCGGCCCGCAGGTCGTACACGATGAAGCTGTCCGGCTTCTCGGCGGCTTCCTGGCTCAGCAGCCGCGCGGCTGTATCGTAGTCTTTGAGCTGCATGGCTCGGGTCGCACGCAGGATGCGCTCGTCGGGTGATGGGCCGGCGGCCGCGGCGCGCCGCGGGGCGCCTGCCTGGCCTAGCACCGCCGTCCCCTGCACGCTTTGAGAGAAAGCTTGTTGATTTATTTTGTGGTTGTGGGTTCGTCGTTTCAGTTGAGAAAGTGGCAGGGAGAGCCAGCCAGCAACCAAACCCACCGCCGTCAGGTCGGCATGCCGCGAGAGCTGCTGCCACGCCAGGGGCGGCATCGGGAGGTACACGTGCAGCCCACTGAAGCACTGTGCCGAGAGGGTATGTCGATGGGGCCTGCAGGATTTCGACAGCTTCCAGGAATGCCACTGGCCTTTTCCGGCGCCGTCCCCGCTGGCGCCACCGCAGCGTTGCCGGCATGGGGAACCCGGGAAGCCCAAACTGGGTTATGACGTCCTCGCCTATCCATCTGCACTGTTTGCAGCAGCGCACTCCCCAGAACGAAAGGACACGCACAGCCAATTCCCCAACCAGCGATGCAGCAGCCTGTACAGGTCACGATGCAGCCGCTGTCGCAGAGTGAGCAGCCCCCCGTGCCACTGCGGTGGAGAGAGGCGCTGCACAACCTGGAGGCGGCGCAGAGCACTCTGACCGACCTCAGCAAGCAGCTCGAAGGGGCGCTCTACCTCGACGACGAGGCTTGGCAACAGGCTGTGCCACACGCACAGTTCTCCGCCGCCCTGCACGTCAGTCCGCCGCCACCGCCCGGCCACGCTGCTGCCGCCCCCCTTTGCCCGGCCCGATTCCTGAGCCACACTCTACTTGCATCGTGCAGGGCCAGCAGCGCAAGATCCAGGAGCTGGAGCAGCAGCTGCGGGTGGTGGTTGCGCGGCTGGAGGACAGCGAGCGGTCGCGGCGGGCGTCCGAGGAGAAGGCGCTGCACCTGGCCGCCGAGCTGGAGAACAACGCCTCGGTGTTCAAGCTGCACTACGAGGAGCTGCTGCGGCGGGACCAGGAGGTGCACGACCTGCAGGCAGTCATCTCGGCGCTGTCGCTAGGCGGCGGCAAGGGCGGCGGCGGCAGCAGCCTCGGCAGCGGCGAGGAGGAGGACATGAGCTGAGGCGGCAGACTGTTTGCTCACTGCTGGGTTCTTTCTCCCAGCTGCTCGATTTTCTTCTGCTCGATTTGATTGTCACCTAAGGTGTCACCTCAAGGCTTGCACCATACTGCATCATGCACCCCCCTGCCTTTGCGGCACAGCATGCAGTTTACAATGGCATTGTACAATGCAGCAAGCGGTCTGGCAATGGGGTGTGTCAGTGGTGCAGCGACAGTCCAAAAAGAGCGCAATGCTTTCAGCGCCGCAGGTGGCAAGCGGTGAGTGGGGGTCAACAAGAGCGCCGGCCTGGGGGCCAACAATTCATTGTGTTGGGGCGCAGCAAGAGGGCGTGCAACACAAGAGAGCGGCGATCGTGTGGGGTTGCGGAAAGGTTGGGACTGTCCTAAAATCGAGGGGCAAGTGTGGTGGAAGCACGGGAAAGATCCACGGGAAGAATCAGGGCCTACAGAATGAATGGGTAGTGCCTAGTCGCGGGCTGCGGCAGGCGTCACGGGGCTGCCGGGCATGGCGGCGCCAATCAGCCGCGACATGACTCCTCGCAGCTCCAGGATGGCTTCTGCAAATGTGGGGCGCTCCGAGGTCTCCTGTGCCCAGCAGCGGCGGATGAGCGACACGTATGCTGCATGCTCGTCGGCCGGAAGCTGCAGGTACCAGGGGCGAAACAAGCGGGTAATGTGAGGGTATTCGCACAGCGGCTGCAAGTGCATCGCGAGGCCAGGCACTCAACATGCATGATTCAAGGGTCGCCTTGAACGAAGAAAAGCATATAGCACCAGCAGCAGCCGCGCACCTGGTCCACGCCTGGCAGCTGATCTGCTGGGGGGATGGCCAGGCGCTCGCCTCTGCTCACCATGAACACAAGCTGCATGGCAGGCACCACAGGGCAGCGACATGCTGGATTCAGCACTGCACGGTCTGGCAGTGCTTTTTCCTGCTACAGGCATGCCTCCCATTGTGCGGCAGGCGTGCCTGCCTCACCTGGTATAGATTGACGCCCTCCCACGGCAGCTGCCAGGTCAGCAGCTCCCACAACACCTGCATTTTGGAGGCAACGGGCAGGATGAGTTGAGATCCGGAACAGTAGCGATGGCCGCTTGACGCCAGATGTCGAGGCAGGCCCAAGGCATGTCGAGGCAGGCAGTGCCCCAGGCCATGCTCACCGTTCCAAAGGAGAAGACGTCGCTGGCGGCGGTGGCGTTCTGCCCCATCAGCACCTCGGGCGCCTGCAACCAGAGCGGGCACAGTGGCAGCAGCAACGTCAACAAGAGGCATGGCTGGGCAAGCAAAAGTGCGCATATCAGAGCAGCGGTATATGCAAGATGGGCACGAGCCTGCAGGCTAGCCAAGGCAGTATGGCTGCGCCTGCGGCGGCGGCTGCGCACCAGCCAGCGCGGGTTGAGCAGGCCGCCTGCCGAGCTGGAGCGCACGCTGTCCTCCAGGATTTTCGACAGGTTGAAGTCGCAGACCTGCAAGAAGGTGAGGTCAGCAGGAGGAAACAGTCGACGCAAGGCGAAGGCTCCCCACCACTCTCAAGTTTGGTTGGGGCTGTTCGGAAGGCCAGCTGGGCCATGCACCGTGGGCACGCCCAACAGCTACAGCAAAGCCAGGCTCCACCTCCTGCAGGCCACCCCTGACCTTGACCCGCCACGCTGCGTCGACCAGGAGGTTGGGGGACTTGAGGTCGCGGTGGAGGATGGGCGGGTTGTGGGCATGAAGGCACAGCATGCCCTTGGCAGCATCCAGCCCCTACAGGCAGCGAGGAGGAGCCGACAGCAGTCAGGTGCCTAGCAGATAGGTAGCAGAGGAATGGTCCAAGCAAGGGGGTTGCTGCACACTTCTTTGTGCAGCTGTCAACATTGGGAGGCTGGCGTTGGGAGCTGCGCTCACCATGCTCAGGCGGCGGACCCATGTCAGCTGCTGGGCTGCTTGGTCAGAGCACTGGGCATTGCGCAGCACATCCAGCAGCGAGCCCCGGGAGCAATACTCTGCAGGCCAAGGGCAGCCGCGTCAGTGCCGGACGAACAACAACCAGGAACGATGCGACCAGCTGGCGGCGCTCCCCAGGCACGCACCGGTGACCACCGCCGGCGGCGAGGCGCAGACGCCCAGGAAGAGCACGACGTTGGGGTGCCTTAACGAGGCCATCAGCCCCGCCTCCTTCTGCAGCTCATCCATGACGGGCAGGGGGAGGCTGAGGGAGGCGCTGCTGCCGGCTGCTGCGGCCGCGGCGTCATCAGTCGAAAGCAGCAGCTTGACGGCCACCAGCGTCTCGTTCCAGGTCGCCAAGAACACCTGCGCTCCAACAAGCAGGCAGCACAAACCCACATGTAACTGACTGCAGCCACGAGCACGAGGACGGCAGCCAAGCCCGCCGCCCACGCCTGCCACACATGCACCGGCCGGCAGCGGCGCCTGGCACACACGCGCCGCCGCCTCTGCCTGCTCCCCCACCTTGCCGAAGCTGCCCTCCCCAAGCGGCCGCTGGATCTTCAGCTCCGAGTACTTGAGCTGCCAGGGCTTGAGGTCCACCAGGCCGCTGGCGCGGCGCTGGCTGGAGGAGGCGGAGATGGAGGGCGTGAGGGTGGCCTGGGTGCCGCCACGCGCCGACTCCTCGCTGTCTCGAGGCGTGGGCCGGCTGGGGCCCTGGCCCTCCGGCTGCAGCTGGCTGTTCACCCACAGGAGCAGCGGGTCGCTCTGCACGCTGCTGCAGGCGGCAGGGGGCGGGGGGGCAGCACACGACATCCGGTCAACGCCAGGGATGCATGGCATACCGTCCCCCTGGAGCAGCTGCAAGACTTGGCTGGCTGCGGGACGGCAGGCTCGGCAGCGCAGGGCGAGGAGGTTTCGAGGCGGCGGGCGGCGGCGGCGGCTCACGTCGGCCCTTGCCGCGAGCCTGACGCCGTGCTGCCCAGCCGCATCATCTCAACCTCATCCTGCTGCATGTGCTCAGTCAGGGTGGCAGCGGGAGAGGAGAAGGGCGAGGCGGGCGGGGGTGGCGCGGAGGGCGCCGCCGCGCTCTGGGCCGCGGCCGCGGCCCACAGGTCGGCCACGCCCTGCATGCCGTACGGCGACTGCGGGGTGACGGCGCGGATGCGGCTGCTGGCGGCGGTGGTGCCGCCGTCGCTGCCCGCGTACGGCGCCACGCCGGCCGCGGCCGCCGAGATCGCCACGCTGCCCACAGCCCCAGCCTTGCTGGCTGCGCCAGGGGTGCCGCCGCCGCACTCTGCAGAATCGAGCATATCATCCAGCTTGGCGGCGCCCAGCGCGAAGCTGGGAGAGCCGGCCTCGCCCGTCGGCGCGCCCGCCGCGGGGGGCTGGTGCGGCGCCTGAGCCAGCAAGCGCTTGCGCTTCTTGTGGCGGCGGCGGAACCACATGAAGGCGCCCACGATCGCCAAGATGATGGCTGCAGGCAGGGCAGTGTGAGCGCTGGGCGTGGGCGCAATGCTGGCGCATGAACCAGGGCGGGGGACCAGCGCATGCATACAGGCTGCTGGGAGGGACGCATGGGCAGCATGCCGCGCCGCCTGCCGCCAGCAGCAGAAGGGCATCCAGCTGCGCCCCTATAACTGATCTTGATTAATTATAAATAAAAGGAGGGACACACCGTTGCCGACGAGCACCCCCGCCACGATGGCGCCCGTGCTGGATGAGGAGCCACCGTCGCTGCTGCTGCTGCCGCTGCCGCCGGTGCCGACCAGGTAGGGCAGGCGGAACAGGTCCAGGCTGCGCAGCACTGCACCAGCAACAGCAGGGGCGCAACCGAGTGTCAAGGACCCCCCCATCGCGCCTGCAGCACCACCCAGCAGCAGCTGCAGCGCAGGGGACTCACGGTCCAGCGCTACGCCGCACTCCTCCTGGTGCTCAGGGCAGTACATGCGGTCGCAGATGTCGCTGCAAGGGGGGTGGCGGGCGAGGCGGCGGGCACAAACAACCGCATGAATGGGCGGCACTTGAATGGAGGCAGCCCCCTCGGCAATGGGTGTGTGTGCCGCTGCATGCTGCCGCTGCACAAGAAATCCTTGCGCACGGGCTGGCTGGCGGCGGGGACCACGCTCACAATGGCTGGCTGCCGTTGCCGGCAGCGGGCGGGCCTCTGTAGGACTGCGGCAGCGTGCGGTTGACAAACATCGCGCACTCGGGCGGCAGGTCCTGCAGGCAGATAGATGGGCAGGATAGTTGTGAATGCGCCTGAGCCTCCATGGACAACCAGAGCAGCTGACACTGCACCGGTACAAGCGGAGAGCAGACTCTCGCTCGCAGGCTCACATTGAAGACGCCGTGGCACTGCCACGGGCACTCGCTGTCCTTGGCGACCGTCAGCGTCGCCAGCACAGTTTTGCACGCGCTCAGCGGCCCCTGGATGCCGCTGAAGAACTTCTGACAGCTGGCATCGTTTTCGCCTGCAGCAGGGCGAAGCAAACACCATGAAAACAGCGGTGCCGGGCGCACAGGGGGCGCAGCAGGTAGTGCCTGCAACGTGCCACCCACGACGCCGCCAGTTGTTGCCGGTGGGTGGTGGCGGGAGGGGCGGCAGTTGCGGCTGTCCAGCAGGGCGCGGCAGGCCCTTCACTCTACCCCCAAGATGCTGAGGCACCGCGGGAAGCGGCAAGCGCCAGCCGCAAAGAGTTGGCTGGGCACGCGGTAGGTAATGGTCGTGCGCTCACCTCCTTCGGCCTCTGCAGCTGCGCTTGCAACCGCTGCACAAGCGAGCGTGAGCAACAATGAGCAGGCTGCTGCCCGCGCAGAGCCCATCCCGCTGTCCCCTTGCCAAGCCCTTATGTTCAGGGTGGTGCGCCAGCGGTCATCGTGGACACGCGGTGTGGCTGGAAGTGTAGGAAACCACCGCCTCGCCAAGGGGCACCGGCGGTGCCACCGCGACAGCGTACGCCGCCAGGTCAGCGGGCGTACAGAGCAGGTGGCGCCAGCTGCGGCGGGGTGACCACATTGAGAGGCGCCCCTACTGCTGAAGGCATAACCACCTGCCATGCATCGTTGCAGCCGTGGTGCTACTCCTGCTCCTATCAGCAACAACCTCCGACGCCCCCGCGGCGTTCAACCGAGTTGTTACAGGGGCTGGAATGCAACCAGCACAGGCAGGGCATATTGCGGCCATTATCTGGGCTCATACTGCTTGTTTTGTACAGGGAGGGCAAAAAGACGCCAGTTTTTGCCACGGGGGGTCCGTGCAAGGCGCGATTTAGATGGGAACACGCAAGTGAGCTGCAGCAGCAGAGGTACGGGCAACAGGGCAGAGCCGGAAAATGTTGGCATGGGGGGAGCAGCGCGGGAAAAAAAGAAGTGTTGTTCAGAGGAGGGTGAGGAGTTGAGATAGCACACAAAAGGGAATCCTAACAGATGGGAGGAGAGGTTTTAGACGGATGAGAAGGAATTCTAGGTGAGCCTACTTGTCACAGGGCCAGCATGATTGCAACTCTCACGCGTTGGCTGGCGAAGGAGAGGCCGGCGCCGCGGCGCTGGCCGCAAACGTTTTTGTCAAAATAGCCCTGCACACGCAAGGCAACAGGAGGGCCATGCTGAGCGCCATTTGCCCAGGTTCGAAGCAAGGACAGCAGGCAATGAGCAGCCCACCCGCGCCGCCAGCTGGCCTGCTCACCTAAGCTCTGTGATGATGTCAGCAAAACTGGGACGCTCAGAGGGATCCTGTGCCCAGCAGCGCTGGATGAGCGCCACATACGTGCCAAACTCGTCAGGCAGCAGCTGCAGGCGGCAGACAAGGCGGCGAGGAGGCATAAGGAAGGGCGGTCTCGTGCTTTCAACCAGCCCACTCGCAAATGCCGCCGGTACCAACAATGTGCCTGCACAGCACTGCGCGGTTCGGCCCCACGGGCCAACCAATGCAGGGAGGGAGGAGGCAGAGTGCCGCGCAGCGCACCTGCTCTGCGCCTGGCAGCTTGTCTCCAGCAGGGATGGCCAGCCGCTCGCCTCTGCTCACCATAAACACAAGCTGCATGACAGGCGACACAGGGCAGCGATACGCTGGATTCAGCTCTGCACTGTCTGGCAGCACATTCTCCAGCTAAATACATGCCTCCCGTTGTGCGTCAGGTGTGCCTGCCTCACCTGGTACAAGTTGGCACCCTCCCACGGCAGCTGCCAGGTCAGAAGCTCCCACAGAACCTGCAGATCAGAAAGCTACTTCAAGCGCAGCGCCAAGGGAGCAGTCGCCATCTGGCCCCTGATCCCAGGCAAGTGCAGGCAGGCGCAGGCAGCGCCATGCTCACCGTTCCAAAGGAGAAAACGTCGCTGGCGGCGGTGGCGTTCTGACCCATCAGCACCTCGGGCGCCTGCAACACCAGGCAGCCAAGAAAGCACGTGGTTAAAGCTGGCGGCAGAGCTTCCGCCTTCAGTCAGCCAGGACGACATCCACCCGACCCCAGCAGCCGGGCACAGAGGAGCATCGCACGCAGGCGGCAGGCGGCAGCTCACCAGCCAGCGCGGGTTGAGCAGGCCGCCTGCGGAGCTGGACCGCACGCTTTCTTCCAGCAGCTTGGACAAGTTGAAGTCGCAGACCTGGCAGGGAGGGTGCGCCTCAACAGCAGTTAGGCTGGCCGCCCAAGCCTGCAGCACACATGCTGACGTGTTGAGAGGGCCGCCCACAGCATCGCTCACCTTGACCCGCCACGCTGCATCCACCAGGAGGTTGGGAGACTTCAGGTCGCGGTGCAGGATGGGTGGGTTGTGGACATGAAGGCACAGCATGCCCTTGGCGGCATCCAGCGCCTGGAGGGCGGAAAGGCACAGCACCGTGAGCAGCAGGCACCGCCCTGGCAGCTGCTGCGGTGGACGACATCGCAGACTGCATTGAATGCCCCGGGAGCTCCGGGCACAGACAGGCAAGAGGGGCTCACCATGCTCAGGCGGCGGACCCAGGTCAGCTGCTGCATGCCCTGCTCGGAAGCGTGGGCATTGCGCAGCACATCCAGCAGCGAGCCCCGGGAGCAATACTCTGCACGGCCGGGGGAGGCGGTTTGTGGGTGCATGCACAGGGGATCGGGAAGCGCGAAATTCAAGCGCGGCAAGGCTGGCGGCAGCAGCAGCAAGGCCTGTGCGCCGAACGGGCTTGCCCAGCTGCATCACCAGCACGCACCGGTGACCACCGCTGGCGGCGAGGCACAGACGCCCAGGAAGAGCACGACGTTAGGGTGCCGCAGCGAGGCCATCAGCCCCGCCTCCTTCTGCAGCGCCTCCATCACGGGCAGCGGCAGGCTGAGCGTGCCGCTGCCGCTGCTGCTGCTGCTCCTGGCGGCGGCGGCGGCATCATCTGTTGAGATCAGCAGCTTGACTGCAACAATTGTCTCGTTCCAGGTCGCCAGAAACACCTGCGCTCCAAGCAGGGATGGGTCCCACGGTCAAAACACCACCAGCGGTCGGCGCTGCCGGCGAGGGAAGCACTCAGTGCGGCCAGGCTGTGACGCGGCGCAGCAGCCGGCTGCCCTCTGGACTCACTCACCTTGCCGAAGCTGCCCTCCCCAAGCGGCCGCTGTATGCGAAGCTCCGAGTATTTGAGCTGCCAGGGCTTGAGGTCCACCAGGCCGCTGCTGCGGCTGGCGTCGAGGCCCACCCATCCGCTGCTGCGCCGCCGGCTGCTCGTCCCGGCCCCGGGCGGCCGTGCCAGCGCGGTGTTGCTGCCCGCGGCGGCCTGCGACTCCCCACTGGCCTGCCGCTCCACTTCGCCGGCTGTGGGGGTGCTCAGCGCCTCGGAGCTGCCGGCCGCCGGCGATCCCAGCGACTCTGCGCTGGCTTCTGGCGCGGGGCCCAGCGCCTGTTCCCCTTGGCTGCCCTGCTGCTGCATGAGCTGGCCGCTGACCCACGTCAACAACGGGTCGCTGTGCACGCCGCTGCAGGCAGGCAGGCAGGCAGCAGGCAGGGACGCCCGCGGCACACCCATCCATCAGCCGACCGCCACAACTCCGCGGCTGCCAGCACAAGCCCCGGTGCTGGCACGTGGCGGGCTGCATGGGAGGCGAGGCGCACGCGCTGCGGTGCTGCGGCACGCAGTGCACAGCGGCCAGCAGGTGCCGGGCAAGCAACCGAGGGCCCGCACCTGAGCTCCCGCTGCGTGGCAGACATGCCGCTGTCGTACCGCATGATCTCCAGCTCATCCTGCTGCATGTGGCTGGCCGCCAGCGTGGTCGACGACTGGGCTGGGGAGGAGGCTGGCGGCGGCGGCGGCTGCCACCGCGCCCCGGCCCCTTGCGCGGCAGCCTGGGCCCACAGCTGCGCCACAGCCTGCATGCCATCCACGTGTTGCGGCAGGGTGACGGGGTGGGGGTGGCTAGCGCTGGCGGCGCAGATGAAGCTGGCAGCAGCAGCGGCGGGAGCCGCAGCAGCAACGGCACCGGGCCGCTGCATGTTCGCTGCAGGCAGTGCAGCAGCGGCGGCGCCAGGCGGCTGCACGGGCGCGGCAGCCAGGGCAGCGGCGCTCCCGCTCCTGCTGCTGGCCGCAGAGGCTGCGGCAGAGGGCGCGGCGGCGGCGGGGCCGCCGCGCGCGGCGACCGCGACCAAGGCAAGGCTGGCGCTGCGGACCTGCTTGCCGCTGTCGCCGCGCTCAGCGGCGTCTAGGGCTCCTGGGTGGTAGCTGCCGCCCATTGCTCCATTGCCGACGTAGGCAATGGTACCGTCAGGGCCCATGAGGCCAGTGGCGCCGGGAGCCAGTTCGAGCGCCTTGGCCTGCTCCGCGCGCAGCCGGCACTCGCGGCGGTGCCGCTTCAGCCACACGAAGCCCGCGATCAACAACACCATACAAGCTGCAGAAGGGAGCAGCAGCAGCAGACAGGGGCATAACAAAAAGGGTCGGCGACGGCGGCCAGGAGGCCGGCGGCGCCCATGCCATGGACGGCGCTCCAGCAGTCTCTGCGTGCGGCGGGAGCTGGCCCGCACCGTTGCCCACAACCACGCCCGCCACGATGCCTCCCACGTTGACGGACGAGCTGCTCCCGGTTTCAGCGGGCATGTTGTCTGGGAGGTTGAAGAGCGCCAGGCTGCGCAGCACTGCAGGAGCGGGGACCAGCGGCGGCGGCACAGGGGCGGCTCGACGGGCCGGCACCGGCACCAGCAGCCGTGCAGGCGCGCACAGGCAGGAGACTGGCTGGCTGCGCGGGAGGGGTGGATAGCGAGGGCACGCGGGCCGGGGCGGCCAGCTGGGCAACATAGGCAACCGGGCAGTACCAGCAGTGCCAGCGGGCGCACCCTCCAGCGCAATGCCGCACTCCTCGGCGGGGCAGAAGAGCATCTCGCAGATATCGCTGCAGGGGGCACAGGCGTCCGCACGACGGTTAGCGTGAGTATGGACGTGGCACGCTGCACGGCGCGTGGCACGATGGTGCAGGCGCCGCCAGGACCCGCGCAGCCGCGCTGCTGCGCTCACAACTGGCTGGTGGCGGCGCCCGCGGCGGTCTTCCCGGTGTACTTGTCCGGCAGCGTCTCGTAGACGTATTTGGTGCACTCAGGGTACATGTCCTGCAGTCAAGTTTTGATATGGACCTGACTTCTTCAAGGGAGATGTGAAGGCAGCCTGACTCTGCTTCGAGGGAGCCTGCGGCACAGCATGGCAGGCGGCCTGGACGCACCTTGAACACGCCCTTGCACTGCGATGGGCACTTGCTGTCACTGCCCGCAGGCATCTCTGCCAGCTTGTCCTGGCACTGGCGCAGCGCGGGCTGCAGCAGGGGTGCAGGGATGGGGGCCAGGTTAGGCAGGGCAGCGTGTTCGCACCAGCTGGCACCCATGGAGGCTCTGCCGTGGCTGCCTCACCTTGACGTCGGTGAAATACTTCTCGCACGTCTTGGCATCTGCAGCGCATCGCAGCAAGCACAGTGGCAAGTGGCAGGGCTGTTGAGTGGCCTGCCCGCCGGCAGTCCCGACGGGCGGCGGCGGCAAACGGCAGCGAGCTCCAGCTGGTTTCCTTGCCGCGCATCCACATCTGATCGGCGTCCTGTCGGTGCTGGGCAGAGGTCCAGAGAGCACCGTTGGGCGTTTGAGAGCACACACAGCTTCACGCGGCAGGCGCACCTGCAGAGGGTTCGCCCTCAGCGGCCGCAACCATGCCGCAGCACGCCAAACAGCAGGCCCCCAGCAGCAGCAGGGCTGTAGCCCTGCCGGGGAACCCCGCCATTGCGAGGTTGTTGAACACTGCAGCACGGCGCCCACACACACACAAGAACTAGCGGTGTGCAAGAGTGATCAAACTGCGCTATGCCGGCTGACAAGGCAGGGGTGGCCCAGCATGCCAAAGCAGGGTAACGGCGATTCGGGGGCGCGGGGGCGCCGCCGCCCGACATTGGGCAGGCTGCCTTGGCAACCCCTGATCCATGCCGTGATTCATGCACCTGATACATGCCGTGATTCATCAGCAGTTCTATCCATGCTGTGGAAAATGCAGCACTGTTGCGGCAGCAGCGCAGGTGGCCACGGCCGCATGTCTGCGGCGGCCCGACGCCCGCTCGCAGCCCACCGAAGTGCCCTCGTTGCACTTTAGCCTGGTGGGCCAGGCGCGGTGGGTGCCAGAACCTGCCTGGATGCTGCTGCGATGCGCGCTCAACTGATGCCTGCGATGCTGCGGCAGCGCCGCTTTGGAAAGCGGGAAAAGAAAGTACGTTTGGTAATGCACGTAGCCTGCTGTTGGCCGCGTGGACCGGCCATCGAGCACACCAGTCTCTGCATTCTCACACCCTGCCATCCTCCGCACCTGCAAGCCCTCCCCCGACGCACGGTCCGCGTTGACCTCCCACCAAGCCCTCAACCGCCTCCCCCCGCCCTCCTCCCTCCCGTGTCCTCCATCCAACCATGCCGCAAACCATCGTCTCGCCCCGCGCCGGCCTCGCGCAGCTCAAGCAGGTGGGGTTTGGGTTGCGCCGCCGCGTTTGCACGATCCGCAAACCAAGTCCCTGCCTGCGAAATGGACTCGAGGCTTGTTGCAAGTGCCATGCATGGGGGCTCTGCACGCGCCGCAGCCTGGTGAAGGCCCCTGCCGCGGCTGTCATGCCCTTGCGCATCGCCGCCGACGCCCGCTCCCGCCTCGCCCTGCCTGCAGGCTGCCGCTGCCGACGCCGCCGTCCGCGACTACTCCGAGTCGTGGGGCTATGCGGACGAGGGCCTGCTGCCCGGCAAGAAGCACTACCAGCGCGACTACACCGCCTGCCAGCTGGAGAACGACGACTACGCCGAGCGCCTGGGCGAGCTGGTGGGTGCCCCCAGCCCTGCGAGGGGCAGCTGAGCCCTGCTAGAAAGAGGGCTGCCGCTCCTGCTGTGCCAGACTCTGCTTCCCAGCTACCTCCCAGCCAGTTGCAGCCCTTAAATCACCTCACCTCACCTCCCTGCCCCGCCGGCGCTCGCAGGTGGCCGCCCAGTCCGCGGTGGCCGCCGCCGCCGCCGCCGTGGCCCAGTACTCTTCCGCCATGTCCTACGCCGCAGGCGGCCGCTCCGAGCACAAGGTGCAAACAAAGGGCAATGCTGCACATGCAAAACAGCGGCCATGTGCACGCGTCCCCTCTGCCGCGGGGCGCCTTGCCGCGAGGCGCCGCACCCACGCCCGTCATGCTGCGCCTGCTGTGGCTGTGCAGGCGCAGGGCGCCGACTGGGACTCCCGCCTGGACATGGCCGACTTTGCCGAGGCTCTGGAGGACCTGGTGAGTGAGCCACCTCAACTGCCCCAAGCCCCGGGCTTCCTACCTCTCACTGCGCCTCCGCAGGCAGACGCCGTCCCGCACCTGCAATTTGGTGCAACAGCCTGATGCCCTGGCCTGACTGCTCCCCCGTGCTCTCCCGTCCCGCTCCATGCAGGTGCACCGCGCCCAGGGCGCCCTGAGCGCCGCCGCCCGCGCCTCCGCCGCCTACAACTCCGCCATGGCCTATGCCGAGCCCGGGAGCGCGGAGCACAAGGCGAGGCTGCGGCGAGGTTGTTTACATGGGCTGGCGGGGCAGGGGGCCTTGCGCCGGGAGCAGCTGCTGCAGAGGGGAGGGCGGCATTCAGGCCCGACATATGCACAGTCTGAGCAAGGCTGCCTGGGCTGTCTGCTTTGGGTGCAGGCCGGCGCCGCCGCCCCCGCCCCGCTGGACCACGCCGACATGGCCGAGTGCCTGGAGGAGCTGACCCGCCGCTTCCGCGCCTGCGCCGCCGCCGGCCTCCCCGGCGGCGACGCCTGGCAGTATGCCGAGGCGGGGCGCGCGGAGCACAAGGCGGGCGCGGGCGAGGCCGCCGAGGCGATGCTGAGCACCGCTGACCTGGCCGAGCGCCTGCGCGAGCTCATCGCGGCCTGAGCCGGCCGCGTGGATGAGCGGCAGAGCCGCTTGCCTGCCCAGGCAAGCCCACCCATGCGGCACAGAATAGAATCAGCACCCAATTCAAAACTGCCGAGCGGCGCCCTCTACATTGCATCTTAACCCTCTCCTACCCCTTTTGCCCAGCCCGTTCCTTTGCTCACATTCATCCAAATGAGAACTTGCGCGAACACTTTGTGAAATTTAATTCTTCAACCTAGCGCTGTCTCTGTTTCCAGTGCCCTCCGCCCCATGCCCCATGATACCCCAAGTAGCGCTGTCTCTGTCTCTCGGTGCTCTCCCGCCTCATGCCCCATGATACATACCCCATGCCCTAGCGCTTGATTATTTCTTCACGTGATGCAGCGTGCTCCATTCTTTGATTCAAACTGAGCGGGACAGGAGCAACATGAGGGCGCCCCACAGCCCCTGTAAACAACCGTCATTGACGTAGCAAGGCAGGCAGGCAAGAGCAGCGTCGGTCACTGCCAGCCGGCGCTGAGCGACGCCGGTGGCCCCGCAGGCTGTTGCCAGGACTGCCCCCCAGGCGCTGCTGTCGCTGTTGCTGCCGCTGGGGTGGGAGGCGCTGCAACAGCGCTGCTGGCGCGAGCAGCAGCCACCTGCAGGCCACCACAGGGCAGCCTCAGGACGGAGGAGACGGAAGCAAGAGCAGGAAAAAGTGGCCCGCAGGGACCAGCAGCGCCCAGTCCCGCAGCCACGCAGCCAGCTGGGCAGCCTGGGCGGGCCTCACCTGAGCTGCGTGCGCCGCGTGCATGCAGCGCCACCTGCTCTCCTCGGCAGATAGCTCCCCCGGGTGCCCCGCGTCGACCGGCGGCAGCCCCGGCGGCCACGCACGCGCCAGCCGCTGCTGCCACTGCACGCTGAAGTCCTGCAGCCGGTCAATGAGCTCCAGCGGGGCGATCTCCCACACATAGTCGCTGCCTGCCGGGTCGGGCGCGGGGAGGTGGCCCAGCCGTGGGAAGCTCAGAGCCTCGCGGTGCAGCCGCATCTCCTGGCAGAAGAGCTGCGGGTCGGCCGCCGCGCGCTGCCCCGCCAGCCGAGGCCAGCCCAGCTCGCAGCACAGCCACCGGCTCTCTTCTGCTGACCTGTCGCGCGGGTAGGAGGCCGCCTGCGGCGGCAGCGGCAGCGGCAGCGCGCCCGCCAGCCGCTGGCGGAGCTGGATGGAGCAGCGCTCCGCCTGCTGCGCCTCGGCGTGCGCGTCGGCCTCGTCGTACTGCCGCTGTATGCGTACCGCCAGCTCAGCATCCGCCGCCAGCTGGCTGTCCAGCGAGCGGCGGCCCGGCGGCGGCGCCGCAGCCGCAGCCTCTGCCCGCCGCTGCCGCCGCTCCGCCACCTCCTTGTCGATTTCCAGCCGCCGCGCCGCCACGCGGGCTCCCGCCGTTGCTTCCACGGCTGCCTTCAGGCGCAGGCAGATGGCGGGCGGGGTGGCGGGCAGCCTGGCGCGGCACACGGGGCAGGTGTTCCTCCCAAATTCTATCGTCCAAGTGCTGTAGCAGTCGTGACAAAAGTCGTGGCCGCAGAGCCTGCAGGGGCAAAGGAGGCCAGCGTTGGATGCAGCGGCTGGCGGTGGAGATGAGGCATAGGACTGAGGTGGAGAGCGGCAGAGCGAGGGTAGGCTGACTCACCCAACCACAGGATCCACCAGGATGTCGGCGCAGATGGAGCAGTCCCAACCCCCTGCAGGCAGAGCAGGGGAGGAGCTATGGAGCGGCGCTGGCGCTACCGCCGCCCGACAGGCACCGCCGCCGCGGCAGGAGGGCTGGGCCTCCGCCTGCAGCGGCCCACAACAGGCATCAACAGCAGCAATGAGCAAGCTGCTGCGGCGTGCGGGCGGGGCACCTGTTGAGGGGTCAGGCTCCTGCCCGTCGCCTCCTCTCGGGACCCCAGTGGCCATGTTCGTGCAAGCGTCGCAATGCAACTATCACGGGGAGTGGCGCAGGATGAAAGAGGACACGATTGCCAGCTAGGACAGTGGAATGGAAGTGACACCAATCGAGCTTCTTGTTCTCGAATTTCATTGTATCTGGAGCCAATTGGAGGTCATTTGCTCGATTGCAGCGAGGCGGCGCAAATGGGGCCAGACCAGGCTGCGCCAGTTTCGCTCGACCTGGCGGGCTTCCAGGCGCTCATAGCGCAGCCCCTGTTGCTGCAGGGCCCGTTACAAGTGCTTATCGACCAGCGGCAGGGCCGAACACGCCGGTGCTGGCTGCCGGGAGTCGTTTCGGTGGTCCACCATCACGATTGCGACTTGGGCCGCCCTCCCTTGCACCCGCAGGCCGTGCTGGAGCTGCTGTTCGGTACGCTCAAGTCGCAGGCGGCAGCAATTGGCGAGCTGCAGGGGCAGGTGGCCGGGCTGGACGGCCAGGCGGCGGCGCTCGCCGCCGCCGGTGCGGATGCAGACGAGCGCGGCCAGGGCGCCGCGGCGGCGCTGCGCCAGCTGCAGTCGCGGCTGGAGGCGCACGAGGCGGCGGCAGCGCGGGAGCGGCGCGAGGCCAGCACCCGGCTGGAGGCGCTGGAGCGGCGGCTGCACGGCGCCAGCAACGTGGCTGGAAGGCAGGCGGCCCTGGATGACATAGCATCCATGCTGGGCGTGGCGGTGCCGGAGCCGGTGAGCCGACCCTCTGGGCCGCGCATTGCCGCCTCGTGGGGTGGCCGCTTACGATTGTGGCGGTGGGCCTTGCAAGCAGCTGTCAATTTCGAAAGAAAGAAAGGCTGACAGCGCCACGCAGTTGAGGGCGCCCTGCCCACCTGTCGCCACCTGTCCTTCCCGCAGGCGGTGCCCCTGGCCCCACAGGCCGATCCGGCGGCCTGTGCGGTGGCTGCACCATCCCCGCCGCCGCCTGCCTCCGCACACGTCTCTGCCGACGCCCTGGCAGAGCCCGACAGCTTTGCCCACCCTACCAACGGCAGGCGCAGCCAGAGCGGTGGCGCGGCTGTTGATGCCGAAGGCACTGCCGGCCGTGGAGCACCAGCCGAAGGCTCGTACGTGGCCGTGGAGGCAGGGGCAGGCACGGAGGCAGACAGCGAGGGTGACAGCGCTGCGGCGGCGGATCCAGAGGGTACAGATCGGCAAGCGGGCTGGGAGGAGGAGGCCCCAGAGGCCGCAGATGAGGCGGCGGCAGAGCACTGCATTGTATGGGTTGGTGCGGCGACAGATGGCATGGGCGGCGAGCGCCCCTCGACTGGCGGCCGCCGCTCCATGCAGCGTGCGAGCTCCCTGGGGCAGCCCGCTGCCGCCGCTGCAGCTCCGTGCCCTGCCGCAGAGCAGCCTTGTCAGGGCAGCCTTCCGCCATCCGGCCCAGGAGTGCCCGTCGCTGGCCCTGGCATGAAGACGGCGCAGCCAGGTTCCCGACGCACCACTCTGGCTGCTGCAGCATCGACCAGGGCCAGGACGAGCGGCGGCAGCGGTCGCCCATCTGGCACTGGCAGCGCGGCTGCAGGCCAGGCCGCCGCTCCTGCAGCCGAGCCGCCTCTGCCGCAGGCACGCAGTCACATGGCACTGCCAACAGAACACAGTGCAGAGGCAGAGGGATCCAGCAGGCAGGTACCCACCCACAGCCCGCTGCCCAGCCTGTCTTCGCCATCCAGCAGGCCCGCACCAACGGCGGCGGCCGCTGCTCGCCCCGAGGCACCCTCCCCGGCAGCCCTGCTTGCCGCCGTGCAGGCTGGGAGGGCCAAGCCTGCGACCGCAGGACAGGCACCACCCAGCCCCGCCTCCTCCCCAACCCGCCGCCTCAGCCAGCTGGGCAGGTCGCAGCAGGGCAGGCCGCGGGCGGCCTCGCTGCCGCTGGGCCCCGCATCCGCCGCCGCCGGCGCTGCCGAGCCAGCGGGGCAGGCACCAGCTGCAGCGGCCGGTCAGGAGGAGGGCCTGGGCGGGTTTGGGGCCAGCGCAGCAGAAGGCGCGAGCGAGGCCTCACTGGCGCCACCCTTTGGAGGCTCGGCGCCGGTCACGGGCAGGCGCAAGACAGGCGAGCACGAGGTGTTTCTTTCCACCTCCACGGCAGGATTGCCCTTACCAGGCCGAGGAGCCGCCCTCCAGCATCCACGCCTGCCCGCCGTATGCCCACTTACCCGGCCCTTTCTTTGCCCATCCTGGCACGATGCATGATGTGTCCGCTGCCCTGCTTCCCCTGCTGCCATGCTGCCCTGCCCCGCCTGCAGAGGCCTCTCGCAAGCTGCTGGAGGTGGTGGCACTGCTGCGCAAGCGCCCCAGCATCCAGGAGACGGGCCTGCTGTGGCAGCTGCAGGCCTCGCTGCACGAGACGGCGGAGGAGCAGGAGCGGCTCAAGGGGTGGGTGGGTGGGCTGCTGAGGGGGTGGGGCGATGGGGGAGATGAGGGGGGGAGAGAGAGAGAGAGAGAGAGACAGAGAGAGAGAGAGAGAGAGAGAGAGAGAGAGAGAGCAGCGAGTGCCGTGAGCAGTGCGTTGCCAGTGGCGGGGCGCTGCGGCAAGCGCTGATAGCAGCCGAACCCCTCTGCTCTCTGCACACACCCCTGCCGGCTGCACAAGCTCCTGCGTTGATTGACTCCTGCTTTGATTCATGGCCTGGCGCTCGCAGGGAGGTGAGGGCCCTGCAAGAGCAGCTGCAGGAGCAGCTGGCCTGCTCCGCCCGGCAGCTCGACGCGGTGCAGCCGCCGGCGGCCGGCGGCGGCAGCCTGCCCGCGGCGCCCGCTCCCTCTGGGGCTTCCATAGAGGAGTTCAAGGTGGGCATGGCCCAGGGGGTGGGCAGCTGGTGGTTGGAGTGGCAGGCTCAGCCTGCTGCTGCTGCCGCTGGGTAGCAGGTGTTCATCGAGGGCCTGCGCTGCCCGGCGCCGCTCCCCACTGCACCAGCACGGCATCGGGTGGGGTTCCTGCTGGCTCACACTCTGGCTCACACACTTTGCTTCCTGGCACAGGTGCTGGAGGATCGGGTGGATGTGCTGGGCTGCGAGGCCCAGCAGGGCGCCCAGAGGCTGGTCCGCCTGGAGGGTCAGGTGCAGGAAAGCTCCAAGCGGCTGGCGCGGCTGGAGGACGCGGCAGAGGCGGGGCAGGCGGCCGCCAGCCTGGCGCGCGCATCCTCCAGCGGTACCGCGGGCGACGCGCTGGCCGCCCTGCAGGGCCACCTGCTGGCGCAGCAGCAGAAGCTGCAGGCGCATGCGGATTCGCTGGCGGCGGGCATCCGGCAGGGGCTGGCGGGCCAGGTGGGGGCTGGGCTGGGGAGTGGTTTGGTAGGGAGGGCTGGGGAGTGGCGGCGCCCGCTATAGGGAGCAGCTTGGCCCTGCCGGCCTGCCTGCCGGCCTGCCTGCCTGCCTGCCTGTGTGCGGCAGAGTGGGCATCCATCTAATGAGGCACGCTGCCTAGCTGCGCCCACCCCCGCCTCCTGCCCCTCAGGTGCACAACGCGGTGACGGGGGCGGTGGGCGAGGTGGGGCGCCGCCTGTCGGAGCGGCTGGCCACTCGGCAGGACCTGCAGGCGCTGTCCTACAAGGTGTGTGGTGTGTGTGTGTGTGTGTGTGTGTGTGTGTGGTGTCGTTTGCGGTGTTGTGTGGTGGTGTAGTCGCAGTCGTTGGGGAGTGTGGTGTGTATGGTATGTGTCAGCATCGTGTGGTGAGTCGTGGTGTGTCAGTGTGTCTGTGTGGTGTGCTTGTTGGGGTGAGGAAAGACAAAGAGGCCTGGCCTGGCCTGAGCCTGAGGTCGACCTTTCTCCCTGCCCCTCTCCCCCCCCTGCCCGCGCCGCCTGCGCAGGTGACGGGCAAGGTGTCTCGGGAGGAGGTGGAGCGCATGCTGAGGGCGCACCGGGCGGCGGCTGCGGCGGCCGCGCAGACCGCGGTGGACCCTGCATGGGCGGGCCCCGCCGCCGGCATGAAGTTCAAGTGTATCAGCTGCGATGCCGACTTGCAGCCCTTCCTGTTTGCGGCTGCTGCCGGGGCGCTGGGCGGCGGCGGGCAGAACGGCGGTACCGCAGACCTGCGGTACTGCCAGCTCCCCGCCGCCTCCCCGCCGCGCAACCCGGGCCAGCCCTGGACGGCCGCCGTGGCGGGGGCCGCGGGGCCGGGCGCTCGCCCAGACTCGGCGGCTCCGCTGAGCGGCGGCAGCGGCGGCGACAGCTGTGGGCAGGCAGGCACGCACGTGCAGCCGCCTGCGCCGCAGCAGTCGGGGGTGCTCAGCTCCAGGCCATCTACTGGTGCCTCGCGGCTAGGCGCCCCCGTCAGCTGGATGCACCGCATGCGGCGCGACACGGGCGGCAGCAGCCACGACGCCCCCGCCGGCGCAGCAGCCGCTGCCTTGGCAGCCACGCCGCCGGCGGGGTCGCGCCGCGAGAGCGTGAACAGCGCCGCCGAGCTGCAGCAGCAGCCCTCGCTGACGAGCGTGGCCCTGCGCAGGCCGCAGACCGCCTCTCCCGTGGGCGGCGGCACCCCTCGCCAGCCACAGCCACAGCCACAGCCACAGCCACAGCAGCAGCAGCAGCAGCAGCAGCAGCCGCAGCAGGAGGGTGAGCAGGCAGAGGGCAGCGACGACTTCTATACTTCCATCAGAGAGGAGCCTGCTGGCGCTGAGGCCGCAGCAGCAGAGGAGCCCTCCCGTGCCTCCCTGGCCAGCAGCGCCAGCAGCTGCGGCGGCGGCGGCAAGGGCGGAGCTCTGCCAGCCCTGGCCTCTCCCCCCGGCTGCATCAAGGCCGCGCGGCCCGCCACCGCGGCGCTGCCCGCGGCAGGCGACTGGGAGCTGGCGCGGCTGGGCAACAAGCGCAAGACCACCGGCGCAGCCGGCGGGCTGGTGCACTAGGCGCCCAGCTCTGGTCGCAGGCTCTCTCCTCCACCTAGATGCTTGCCAGGCTTTGCCAGGCGGACTTGCTTATCAAGATAGTGCCCTGCCTGCTTTGATATTCCTTCTTGAGGTGCCCGAAACTGCCCTGACCTGCCTTGAACTGCCGGATTGATTGACCGCCCCGCTCGTAGCCAGCAGTAGCGATCAGCCTGCTTGTGTGTTGCAGCGAACAGTTAAGTAGGAGCAATGTAGCAAAATGGTAGCGGCAGAGGGCGGCGGCAGCCGTGATACAGTGGGGAACTACAGGGCTGCTGCGCGGGCATGAGGGGCAATGCGAGAGGACAGAGCAGCGAGGGGGGGAGCAGGAGGGGTGGAGGGGGAGCAGGGCAGGGCACTGCAGCATGCGTGCTGCGCTTGTGGGCAAAGCCCTGGCACCGTCGGCGCTCCGGGCGGGCGACTTCAGCTCAGGGAGGGCGCCGGTGGGCGCCGGCATCTTCCTGGTGTGGGTGGTACCGTCAGGCGGTACCACCAAGCTGTACCGCCAGGCTGTCACGCCAGGTAGACATACGTGGATCGGTCGGTGGCGTCTCGCTCCAGAAACTCGCGGTCTGCAGGGTGAGCAGGCGGCACGGGCGGGCGGTCGTGAGGGTTGGGCGGGTGGTGGAGGGTCAGCCGGGAGGTGGATCACAATGCATGCACACAGGGCGCAGGGCAGCCCTGTGTGCAAACAGGCTGCAGCCTGGCACAGCCGCCCCGCCCGCGGCAGGTGCCGCGGCAGCCCCCGGCAGGCCCGCGCCTCCCAACGCGCGCACACGACGCACGCCCCACATGCACCGTGCCCCGCAGCAAATCCCAGCCAACCCACACCCCACCCGGCCGGCCGCCCCACCTATGAGGCTCTCGATCCGT